AAAAAGATAAATGTTCAATTAAAATATGTTTCATTTATTTATTTGGGGATTTCGGCAGGTGTCATCAGCCTCACTGTTGGCTTGTTTTAATTATAATAATGTAAAATGCAGCTAAGAATGTAAATAGTGAAACAATAATGAATTGGATTATTATCACATTAAAATTTCAAAACACTTCATCAGATTCTAACTGGCAGGATTCTTTTACGTGCACGCCAACTTGTACACTTGACCTCGTCTGTTCATCCCATTTAAACAAAACCCTGCGGGAGAAAATTCTTAAGAACGTTGACAGCCAACAGAACATCCAGGTTAGTGAAACACCGTGGCTCCTACTAATCTCAGACGCCATAGTGGCTCAGTGTGTAAGAAGTTGGCTTGCTAACCTGGAGGTCCCATGTTCGATACCTGGGTTGGTCGAGAAAGTTCATCAACATTTTTCAGTGTGGATCCGGCTTGTCAGTGGTGCAGGACAGAGGTATACTCATTTGGTTGAGACATAGAACCTAGGTCCCGTGTACACATTGTCATGCACGTAAAAGAACCCTTGGCAATTGGAATTCGATATAAGAGTAGGCCATAGCACTGCTGTCTGGGCAAAATGTCCCTCATAGCACACTGTGTGGCATATGCCCGTCTTCATTAGCCAAGTCAGGGCATAACAGTGGGACATTAAACCCCATTTCATTTCATTTCATTTTCTAGTCTGTGCCAGGCAATCAACTTGTAAACCTTACATCTTTTGTCTAAATCAGGGGGTCTCTGTGGCTAAGTGTGTAAGACGCTGGTTCGCTAGCCTAGAGGTCGGGTGTTCGATCCCTGCATTGGCCGAGAAAGTTCATCTAGATTTTCCAGCATGGTTCCCCTAAGTCAGTGATGCAAGACGGAGGGCCTGATAAGGACAGCTGTCTAGTCGTTGGGATGGGACAAAAAACCAAGGTCCCATGTACACAATGGCTTGCACATAAAAGTTCCCTTGACAGTTGGAATTAGATATATAAGAGTAGGCCATAGTACCGCTGTCCGGGCAAAATTTCCCTCATAGCAAACTGTATGGCGTATGCCCGTCTTTATTAGCCCAGTTCGGAGCAGAACAGTAGGACATTAAACCCCATTTCATTTCATTTCATTTCGTCTGCATCTGTTGAATTGAAATATGGTGTCCCTCAAGGATCAGTGTCAGAACCATTAATTTTTACTAGTACACAACTTCCATAGAGGATAATATAATCTGTAGCCATGAAATTGATTTGCATTTTTATGTAGATGGTTCACAAGTTTAAAGTCGTTATCTGAGAAATTTAAATGGGGTTCAACTTTGAACATGTAGACAAACCACGATTACAAATGGGGCTAAACAAAAATAACAATAATAAAATTATAACAGATTTAAAAAATAATATTTTTATTTAAAATGAATATTATTTACAGTAATTAAATATTTACAGTAATTTGACTTTGATTAGAAATATTTACACCATTTGTACAATCAACAGGAAAACAAAATTACAAAATTAACAGGAAAAATATATTAACATGGAATTCTTTTAAAAATGTCCATCACATTGGAATTTGTATTTAAAAGACGGGAATTCCCTAGACAATATATTGTCTAGGGCTTGTCCCATCAAAAAGGGAAATCCCACATCAGATTAACCAATTTTCAGAGAGGTTTAATTCAAGAAATTTACCACACTGATCTGCAATGAATATTCGCTAGGCCGCTACAATCACTGATAAGGATGACATTGATGTGACTTAATGAGCCAAAAATATTAACTTTTTTCCTCCGACAAATTCAATTCTAAAACATTTTTTTTTAAGTATTAGAAAAATAAATAAAGACGTTTGAAGTATTTGTAGGTAAAAATTATTTCCTATTTAGTGTAAATGGGTATTAAATTGAGTAAAAGGCGCCATTCTGCTCGAATCAGTAACGTCTTATGTAAACAATGCAGGCACCATTGAGCCAATGATTGACCCCGCTTGATATGACGTCGTGTGTTGAAGGCAGTCATCTTTTACAGAGATATTAGAAGACTTTCGTGATCCTCTGTGAAACAGATTGGAAATAACAACACAATCATAGAGACAGGGTTTTTTGTGCTTTAGGGGTCATTTCAATGTCCAGATAATTAAAGTAACTTATTAGCTAAAAATCATAAGCTTTACTGTTCAATTAACTCTATAGTGTGTCCTGTGCTAGGTTTGTGTAATTGTTTGTGGTGCAGTTCTCCTGCATTTACTATTAACACTAATTATGCATAACTTAAGGGTAGGCAACTTTAACCTGGTTAGATCTGTTTGATAAGGCCAACTTCAAGTTTGGTCAAAGGTCACGAGATGTAAACAGGGCTAGTGCTAATCCCAACCCTAACTCTAGCCCTAATGCTTACTCTAACCCTAACCTACAATCTTGTCATTAATCACGTGCCCTAACCTTATTTACATCTCCGCAACCTTGACGAAAATTGAGCTGGCCTTAATAAATAGATTTAGCCCTTTAACCCTGATTAGACAAATATTGTCCGATTCACATATTTCACAAAATGATTGGCCTATTAATATAGTGGTTACTGTAAATTGGCAAAACACAATTTATAAAATATGTGAATCTTAACGAGCCATAATTATAGTAAATTTACCAGAGATCAGCAAAAAATAACTGTCTATATATTTACAAACTTAACAAACAATAAAACTTATAGATATAGTTTAAACCAATTAATGAAATGATATATCTATTATATTGTAGTAGGAGATGTTCCTCAACCCCCTTTCAATTTTGGAATAAAAATATTGTTGATAAGAAAAAGACATATATCTTTAAAAGAGAAAACAAAAGCTATAATGCATGGCTCTGATTTCAGTCATATTTACAGGTCATGACTGGCTGACAGTGAAAATTGACAGACTGGAGAACTGACCTGTCAGACAGTTAATATGACTTAAAATTAGAATTTCATAGAATTTAACATTAAAACATAATGACTACAGTTCAATTTAGAGGGTTTTTTTGTGTAAAACACTTAAAAATATACAAAAAAATTGTGATAATGCTAAAAATTGTCAAATTCTTTGGAAAACAATATTGTGCCATTCTGAGGCAGTACTATACTGAACAACAAAAGAAACGTTGCACTGAATTTGTGAATAAAGACCTTTATTTTGAGCTCAGAAATTTATAACAAAATTCATTTTACAATAACTCAAAATGAATGAATTACAGTGTTGATGCTGCAAAGCCCCTTGCAGTCAATGTCAATGATGACAAGCTGTATTTGAAAACGCGACGTTTCTTCTGCTGTTCAGTACACATCAAGAATTGACCAGGTGACAAAAGTTTGAATAGAAATTAATTAAATAACTTTAAAATAATCTATAGCTAGACAGATTGAATCAAATTAACAACCTTCACCTTACTACACGATATTATGTTCAGTTTTTGGAGGATGCTGTGACAGATGATGGTCATGCAAGTTAAACGATCAATAATTGAAGAGCCCCGGGGAAGAACGATCTAAGTCACTTTTTCAACGAACCCCTGTTAATAGAGCCATCTGGTAACAAATTGTATAAGCTTTCTGTGGAACAATCAATTTTAGGTAAAAACGACGAACCAAGGCCCTTTCTGAAATGGCCTCCCGGAAAAATAAAAGTCCATAATACTCTTTATTTAACCTTAATTTGAATGAAAAATTGGAGTCAGTTGTATTGGTAATTATGATTCGTATAAACATCATATGAAATTATAATTAAACCATCTTGTTCTCTTCGCATCCAGCATTCTCGTCCAAAAGTCTGTTTTGCCTTTTATGTGAAAAAACAAAAATGTGACTTAGATCGTTCTTCCCCTGGACTCTTAATATGAAACAACCTCGTTGATTTGGGTCAAGGATAAAAATGCAGTTTTCAACCCACCAACAATTTGCAAATATGTGCTCCTTAGACTAAAAGCTCCTGGGTCAAGGATAAAAGTGAAGTTTTCAACCCAACAACTATTTGCAAGTATGTCTTCCTTAATTTAAAAGCTCCTTGGTCAAGCATAAAAGTGCAGTTTTCAAAGATATAACCACCAGTGTCCAACACATCTCATGTTTCAGATATACCACAAATCGACTATAGTATGTTCTACACAGCCTAATATTTCTCGACGCCAGTGGGAGAGACACATATTGGGTTTTTGAACCACTGGATCTTCTTTTTATTTCAAAATAAGCAGTTGATTGATCCAATGAACACTTTTGTTTTAACCCAAGTCAAAGAGGCTTAGCTCCCTTAAACATACATCTCTAAAATTAGGTCATATTAGAAAAAATTTTAAACAACTATTAAAAGGATTAGAATTTACACATACAATGAAAGGTTAAAATCTGATTGAAACACAGATCCTCATTTGTTTCGGTTTTCTTTTTATTGTTCAAAATTTCATTTTACTTGCCTTTACTACACTAGGATCTGGAAGAGTTGTTATATAACACGCGTTCTGGATGACGCGAGGGATTAGCCAATGAAATGGTCTATTACGGCAAGTTCTTGGCGAGCTGAGAACGGGACTGTGGGTAAACCACTAGAAATGTCAATGCTGATTGATTAATCAATCTGACGTCATAGGTGTCGAAAACTACTCGCATGAACCCTGACATGACCTTCCACTACAGCTGGTCAGATCTTCATGTAGTAGAGACCATCGAAAGTATAAAAAAAAAACAGAACGAAATATAGATCTGTATTTTAATCAGATTGCGAAAGAATATAGTCTAGATCATCAAGTGTGTAGATTGCACATGTACATATAAGTCTTGATGACATGGATTATGGTAGATAGAACAGACAACACTGAACATAACATAAACAATAACAATGAACATCCATATTAAGGCCTGTCGGAAAGTTTTGCAAATATGTATTCCTTAGTTTAAAAGCACTTGGAATCCCATTGTACCTCACTATGGTACACTGACAGTGCCCCCCCCCCCCCACCTCTCCCCCCCCATGTCCTCAATATAAAATATGAATTTCCGATTAACTTCAACCATCTCTACAACAGTGGTTATTCAAATTTCTAAAATTCTGTAATATTATGTAAATAAGCTTAGATTTATTCGCATATTTCCATTTAATCAATTTTATATATTTAAATACAGAATTGAGCAAATGAAGAGAATATTAAAAGAGTATAAATAATATAACGAAGCCTATATATATAGATGTATATACACACATTTCGTGAATCTAAACTCAAGGGACTGGATTCTGTCGACTACTATAGAACTATCAATTAGGCATTTTATCATTCCATATGTCTGACTGAACACGGAAGTGATATAACGGCCTGATGTCATTTAGAATAGGTTATCCAGTGTGTTGATAGAGGTATGGAACGTAGTAAGTTTGAAACTTCCTGTTTACAAGTGAAATGGTGCCAATGTGTATATAATAGACTAGGTTATCCAGCCTGGTGATGATCTGTGATAGTGAGCGTAGTAACATGTCGGGTTAAGAGAGTAGGTTATCCAGCCTGCGGACGATCTGTTATAGTGGTATGGGAGCATAGTAACATGTCACTGTCCAATTTAAAACTTTCGGTTTATAATATATATATAATTTATAATAATAAAATCTGTTAGTTATATCTGGCTAATAAATGAAATACGAAGCTAAATACATTAAAACTTTACGATCAAGATCGTTATTATTCACTTCAGTCAATGTTACAGACAAGTTTGAAAAAAAAAAAAACACGCAAAAATTTGTTAAATTAAAATATTTTAAAATTATCTTAATAAAGAACTTTAACTGAATATCTATAAAGGCCTACAAACGTAAAAAAAGAAACATCTGCAGAAAATATTTTAAACTCAAATCACCAAATTGGAAGTATTTGACTTGGTATATTGACGTTTGACCTTTGACCTTGACCATTCCCGACTACATTCGTTAAGAGTATCTTATATCAAATTTAAACTTCTTGACTTTAATTTAAAAATGCTCTGTTTTGCCGTTTGTTGTCAGGCCCGTAGCTAGCATTGGAAAGGGGTGGGGTCGTAGCCCATACTGATATGGTAACGTTGGAAGGTGGCTTAGTATTGCGTCCAGTGGAAAGGGCACGGTTCCTTTCTACTAGCTATGGGCCTGGTCAGACTCCAGGCCAACACTGTAATCTATTTTTTAATTCAATGATTAAAGTGAATGGTATGGCAATTAAAATGATAACATTTCTACCTCTCTAGAAGAGTTCAAAACGTTAAACAATGAATGAATGATAATTCTAAAATGGAACAGCTGGATCTGCATATATTCTATCTCCCGTTCCGTAATCGTCGTCATGGCGATTTCTCTCCAGTGTCTCATAATTAAAGTACGTTACTTTGTCTGTATCCGTTTGTTTCTGAAAATATAAAGAAAGAATCCTAGTCATTTGGAGAATTATTTCGAATAGTGTAAAGCTGGGAAAATTTAAAATTTGTTTAATTTGTTGATGATAATAATGATCCTTCGTTTAATCGCAGAGCCGCAGTGGCTCAGTGGGTACGACGTTGACTTGCTAATCTAAAGGTCCCGTGTTCGATCCCTGCGTTGGCCGAGAAAGTTCATCAGGATTTTTCGGTGTGATTCCTCCTTGTCAGTGGTGCAGGATCGAGGGGCCTGGCAAGAGATAACGTATAGTCGTTCGGATGAGATGAAAACCTGAGGTGTCGAGTACACATTGACATACGGTTGGAATTTGATATAAGAGTAGGTTGTAGGGTCGCTGTCCAGACTGTATGGCCGTCTTCATTAGCACAGTCGGAGCAGAACAGTACGACGTTAAACCCCATTTCATTTCATTTCTTTTAATCGCTCATTTAAAAAATATTAATTCAGTTTTTCATGAGTGACCACTCATCACAGGCATGTAAAACCAGTTAGGTTTTTTTATGAGACATAATTTGTATTCAAAATAATTAATATCTACGATATAGAAAATACAAAGACTTGCTTAGATACTGAGTAAAATGAAATCGCACATTATCAGCAACTAGCACATATAGCCACAACTCTAATAGATTCTGACACTGTAACCTGCGTCTTATTTAAAAGGACAATAACACTCTTGCTGGCTTGACAGCTCCAGAAAATAAAAAATAGCCTTATTCTAAGTACTAGATGTGTTAGTGTCCTACCTGTTGTGTAAATTACCCATTAAATCCTATTTTACTTGTCCAGAGGGTTAAAAAATATTTTTAAATCCAAGTAACATTTGAAAAGCTTTACATCAGGCTATTCAAATCATTGAGTTGAATTTTTCCAATTTTTTAAATTAGGTGTGTTAAGATGAAATTTGTATCATCAATTAATTGGAATATTGTAAAATAGTACAATTTGTTGACCAGAATAAAGATTGGGACATATTATTCAGTTACAACAAGAGTGGTATTGAGCCTTTAATCTTGTGTATTTAGCACTCATTTCTTTCACATTCTTTCAATATCAAATTTTTGTTTAAAATTTGTAAAAATCATTTAAAATCACCAAAAAACATCTAATTTGTACTTGTGTCCAGTTTAAAGCTGACTGATTAATTTTAATAATAACTGTCCAATTTACAAGCATTTAATTTTCGGACCACTGTTCAAAAATTAATTAGGTTACTTATTTTTTAACAGTGATCGTGAAATTAAACGCTTGTAAATGGTCAGCTTTAAACCGGACACAAGTAAAAAGTAGATGAATTTGGGTGATTTTAAGTGATTTTTATGAATATTCAAATGCTTGTAAATGGTCAGCTTCAAACCGGACACAAGTAAAAAAAAAGATGAATTTGGGTGATTTTAAACAATTTTTAAGAATATTCAAAGATTTGATATTGAATGAATGTAAAAGAAATCAGTGCTTAATAGGCCTACATAAGATCAAATAAAACGCAGGTTACAGTGGTACATGTATCTTCTTCTTGTCAGAATACCATCATACATTATTATCATTATTACCATCTGTACACTGAGTGGTCGTCAGTCGGGAGAGATCTTCAATGGCTACTATACTGATCAGAACAATGTGCTTGATGGCTTGGATTTAAATCTCAAATTCACTATGAATAACAGTAATCAGAGTGCTCTCCCCTGACATTTACACAATGCACAGACGGCACAAAATGAATGCAATTAACTGGGTCCAGGACTATAAAACTATTTTTACACTAAACTCAAGTTTCATTTTAATTTTAATCGAAATTTTATTCCAAATGGAATTGGGAAACAAGCTAGGCCTATGTTGACCGAGCATCAGAATCTCTTGTTGTTAAGGCTCACTGTGAATTATGTAATTCAAAGTAGGCCTTCTATCAGAATTTTTGTTTTTAACACAGTCCAAAAATTTATGTGGAAACTAATGCGTTTTAGAGTGAAAGAAATATTTGAGTAACTCTTGAATTTGATTTGAGTGAAAAAAACACCTTTATAGTCTGTCTTCAGCCCTGAAAACTTAAAATCTAAAGCAGATTCAAACAGATTTTTTGTCAAAATGATTTCAGGATGTTTGAATATATTCAAAAGGACATATTTTTTATGATTATTGAGTATTGAAAATGAATCTGAAGTTGACCCAATTCATTTATTCATGCAAAAATCAGTTTGAATCTGCAAATGTTAAAGATACATTCCATCGATCTCATAGGACGGGTCTATGCAGACATTATTTTACGTGTCTGTAAAGACCATGCATGTTTAAAGATTTATTCCTTCGATCTTGTAGGTCGGATCCTCCAGAAAATCTCTTTTTTTTGTAAAAGTATATGGTATCTGTAAAAATGACCACAGAGGTTAGTGAATTTAAGATCGTGAAGTGCTATGAAATATATCTTTAAACAAAAAAATTGTTTAATATAAAATTGAAGCAGACATGTTAATGAATTCAGTTGGGGATGTGACTAGCTTTTATCATCCCTAAAAAAGCTATGCATGCATCTTTCATTCACAGGCAAAAGGGGCTTGTCTATTTTATTACTACTTTCACGAAGAATAGGGACATACGTTTTTTCCATTTTATGAAAGCTTTTAAAATTGTTACCTTGCATCTTTCATTCAAAGGGAAAAGCAACCATCTATTGTATTATTACATCTTTTTTACGTTGACACCCCTAAATGTTCCCAAATCCACCTAACCATATGATCAAGAAATAACAACCGCTCACCCCTAGTTAAGCTACCACACAAAAAGCAGGCAGACAACAGTTAGGTTGCCAGTTAGTGATACTTTGACATTTTTGCCCAGTGTTTTTCGGTTTATCCAGTATTTTTCTAGAAAGATTGGGTGTCTATATATATACTTTTCATATACCAAATTTGCCATACTTTTAATGGAAATAACCACCCAATATACTTTCGGGACAAGGCATCTTTAATCGCAAAAAGGGCTTTATTTCGTGAAACATAGGGACATACACTTTAAGGGTTGATGTTTCAATCCGTACAAAAACTTTATTCCCTACTTTCAAATTTAGAATTTGTGAATTAATTTTAAAAGTGTCTTGTCATGCAAGTCTACATAATTGATTGATTCGCTATCATGATATCAATCTTTTTATGAAGATAATCTTAACATGCGAAACAGAATCTTAATATGTGATCATGCGGACATGCGGACATGCTTCTTATTTCAAAATTTGTACGTTTTAAATGTTCAGATAACAAGGAATTGTGTCTTTTTTTTGGGATGAGGCAGAAAACCTTGAATACAGACATTAATTAACTTATCCAAACCATAATCAACTCTCGATGTCATCTTGTGTGTCAGATTTTCACTGGATTTGAATTTGATTTGCTGCTCAACGCTCATTGATGATTTAATGATTAAGTAATGATTATCAAGGCTAGGCCTAATATTCGAACGCTAATATCTCAGTTCAGAGTGGAGCAATTTGACTGAAATTTTCAGCATATTCCCTTTACATTATGTAGTTTAAACTATTATAGTGAGAACTGCCAGCTCTTTATCCAAGCTTCCATAATGTCCCTTTAACCCAGTCGAAGCAGAACAGAAGGAAATTAAACCCCATTTTATTTCAATTAGTTGTGAATGTTGAGCATGTTTTAGTAAGGGACAGAATAAGTTGGAGGAGGGAGGGGCGTGGGGGAGGGGCAGGTGATCAAGCAGATGTAATGTCAGGATGCATAAAAGGACACATCTAGGGGTTTTACACCCCACCAACCTCATCCTTTAAACTATTGTCAGGTTCATAAAGGTTTTGTGTACTACCATTCTCCATCATGGCATTGTCTTCTCCTCGTAGGTGGGCTCGCGGCAAACCTTTAAACGTCGAATACTCCTCCATGTTTATTGAGTGACGATGGGATTTCTTCCGCGAGCTTCTACTGAAATATACACAAATAATCGATTTTAAACTGGATATCGGAGACAAGATATACAAAGTGGGTGGGGCCTAAATCAATCTGACCTAAAAATACAGATCTTATTCAAAATGTCTCCGAGTAATAAAAACACCAGAGAATACTAGTCAAAATGAGACACAGTATAATAAACACAAGAGAATCCGAGTCAAAATGTCAACCAGTAACAAACACCGGAGAATCCTAGTCGAAATGTCAACCAGTAACAAATACCAGAGAGAGTCGAAATGTCAACCAGTAACAAACACAAGAGAATCCTAGTCAAAATGTCAACCAGTAATAAACACAAGAGAATCCTAGTCAAAATGTCAACCAGTAACAAACACCGGAGAATCCTAGTCGAAATGTCAACCAGTAACAAACACCGGAGAATCCGAGTCGAAATGTCAACCAGTAACAAACACAAGAGAATCCTAGTCAAAATGTCAACCAGTAACAAACACAAGAGAATCCTAGTCAAAATGTCAACCAGTAACAAACACCGGAGAATCCGAGTCGAAATGTCAACCAGTAACAAACACAAGAGAATCCTAGTCAAAATGTCAACCAGTAACAAACACCGGAGAATCCTAGTCGAAATGTCAACCAGTAACAAACACCGGAGAATCCGAGTCGAAATGTCAACCAGTAACAAACACAAGAGAATCCTAGTCAAAATGTCAACCAGTAATAAACACCGGAGAATCCTAGTCAAAATGTCAACTAGTAACAAACACCGGAGAATCCTAGTCGAAATGTCAACCAGTAACAAACACTGGAGAATCCGAGTCGAAATGTCAACCAGTAACAAATACCAGAGAATCCGAGTCGAAATGTCAACCAGTAACAAACACAAGAGAATCCTAGTCAAAATGTCAACCAGTTATAAACAGTATTACGGAGAATTGTCTCCAATGTAAAGCATGTCATCGTATACTTACGCACAAACAACGCAAAGGGCAATAAGCAGCAGCAAACACAGTAAACCCAGCGTAACAGATACGGCTATAATAATCGTTCGCTGTCCTGAAATAAAAAACATCATTTAATTTACAGATACAGGGTGTGAAGTTAAACTTAAATTAATATAATGCTTGATTTTCTTTTTTTTATCAGAAAAAATCAATTTTTCATGGTCGAATTCATGTTAATATAAACTCAGATTGATTATTTAAATGATGATCGAGGCTAGGCAGAAATTGCAATTGCTTAATTCTCGGTTCATAGTGGATCAATTTGAATGAAATTTTCAGCAAATCGCCTTTACGTTATCTGGTTTTTAACTATTATAGTAAGAACTGCCAACTCGTTCTCGAATCTCCCTTAATGTATCTTTAAATAATACTAAACCTGGTAGTTATTATGAAAGACTAGGTTCTATAACAACACTTGATAACCTCATAGTTTGAAATCAATCAGATTTAAAATAGGCCCATCAATTTGGTTCACAACAAATAAAGATTGATAGAGAGCATAGATTGATAAAATTTTCTAAATATTGAACGGAGTCGATTCATTTTTGAACTTATATCCCTATTCAACTTTCACAATATTGTAGTTTGCAAGGGATTCTTAGTGTGGCACTCTCAGATTCTTTAAACATTGTTCTGAGCTCTGACCTCTTTATGCCCTAGTTAAGGGCAATAATTCTGCTGTTAATTCACTTTCGAATTCATCTTAGTCATGAATATAATAAGTTTGATGTAAATCGGTTTAAACATGTGGACTCCACTGCCTTCGCAACAAGTGTAGACGGACCAACAGACATACGTGACAACAATATGCATTCAAGCTAAATGTGAGAGCATAAAAACACCATTAAAACTACAATAATGTAATAAAAACTACTCTATGTAAATGATATCAGGTGTTTCTAGAAAAAAGAAACATATACACCCTGTAGTTAAAATTTTTGTGACTATATGAACTCCTCCGATAAGAAGTGATATGAGATGTTCTAGAAACCAGTAAGCAAATACTGTCCTGTACATAACACCAGTGTTGGGATTTCAATATTTTTCTTGTCAGACATTTTTACCAAAACTAAAGGGACAAAACTCTGATCATTATTTAAGCAGGCGGTTTCAGACAACAATTAAAAATAATGTGTCATCAAAACTTTCAAATTCATATGTAGCAAAAAAATTCTCTATTTAATTCCCGTACGGTATTCAGATTTATGTCTACAAATATTCCTACAAATATTCCTAGAAATATAAAGTATACTCTGCCCTGTACATGGCATCCATCACTACTTATAGCTCAACTTGAGAAGTGATATCAGGGGTTCTAGAAATATAAAGTATATTCTGTCCTGTATGTCACCACTAATAGCTCACCTTATTGAGAAGTAGGGGGTTTGGATGGCCGAATGGTTAGAGTGTGCGTGTTGTATCATAAGATCTGTCATTGTCAAATGGTGTGCTTTCGATTCTCTGGTTGTACATGACAAGGAATAGGGCCGCCTGTCCAACCTCGTGTGATTTGTCCGGTTTTCTCCCACTGCTAAAAACCCCTATGCGTCAGCAAATTATTGAAATAAAATTGAACCATATCTTAGTCCCAAAATGACCTAGTTTATCCATTTATCTCTCACGCTCTCATATTGAGGAGTGTTATTAAGTGTTCTAAAAGTGGTATCAATACTTATAGCTAAATAAGAACTTCTTAAAAGAGTAATTAAGCCTACCCTGCTTGTACATAAAACCCTGAATTACCACAGCTAAAAATAGACCTAAATCCTCTTTCTTTCATTGCAAAAATTAAATAAACAAGCCAACAGTGAGGCTGATGTCCCCCGCCGAAATAGGAAAATAATTAGAGGACACATATAAATTTATCACAAATTATCTTTTACAAAGTATTGAACAATCAAACAGTATATCTTTACTTATAGTCTAACAATCAAAGTAGGAGAGTTATTGTTTTCCAAAGTCTCGACCAATCAAATTGCGTATCGCTCTGCTTACCCTGAGCAGAAAATGCTCATTATCAAACTTAGTCAAGGTATTACTGTAATGAAACTATACACCAAGTTTCATCAATCTCACTTAATTAGAACTAAAGTTATCGTGTCCCAAAGCATCAACCAATCAAATTGCTTATCTCTGCTTACCCTAAGCGGAAAATGCTCATCTTCGAACTCCATCAAGGCATTGACCTAATCAACACATACACCAAGTTTGAACATTCTAGCTCAATTAGGAAGAGAGTTATCGTGCCCCAAAGTATCAACCAATCAAATTGCTGCTTACCCTGAGCAGAAAATGCTCATTATCAAACTTAGTCAAGGTATTACTGTAATGAAACTATACACCAAGTTTCATCAATCTCACTTAATTAGAACTAAAGTTATCGTGTCCCAAAGCATCAACCAATCAAATTGCTTATCTCTGCTTACCCTAAGCGGAAAATGCTCATCTTCGAACTCCATCAAGGCATTGACCTAATCAACACATACACCAAGTTTGAACATTCTAGCTCAATTAGGAAGAGAGTTATCGTGCCCCAAAGTATCAACCAATCAAATTGCTTATCTCTGCTTACCCTAAGCGGAAAATGCTCATCTTCGAACTCCATCAAGGCATTGACCTAATAAACACATACACCAAGTTTGAACATTCTAGCTCAATTAAAAGTTATCGTGTCCCAAAGCATCAACCAATCAAATTGCTTATCTCTGCTTACCCTAAGCGGAAAATGCTCATCTTCGAACTCCATCAAGGCATTGACCTAATCAACACATACACCAAGTTTGAACATTCTAGCCCAATTAGGAAGAGAGTTATCGTGTCCCAAAGCATCAACCAATCAAATTGCTTATCTCTGCTTACCCTTAGCGGAAAATGCTCATCTTCGAACTCCATCAAGGCATTGACCGAATAAACACATACACCAAGTTTGAACATTCTAGCTCAATTAGGAAGAGAGTTATTGTGTCCCAAAAAGTGTGACGGACAGACAGACGGACAGACAGACGGACGGACAGACGGACAGACAGATGGACAGACAGACGGACAGACAGACGGACAGACAGACGGACGAACCCATTTTAATAGTCCCCTGCTTTCTTCTAAAGGCGGGGGACAAAAAATACGCAAGTGACTTCTACTTTCAAAATATAGTGCAGGGTTCACTAGGACCAGCCAGCTAAGATTTGAAAGTTAAAATAAGGTCAATAAAACTGTAGAAATATACAACCTTGAGTAAGTTTTGAATTGTCTGAAATAAGTAAATCATAAAAGGCTATACTACGTCAGTGAAGTGTCAAAAGGGTGAATCTAAGAATTTCTAAAGATTAAGAAATAGAACCTTTTGCATTTCAAAATTTCCACAAATCAAGATAAACATTTGGGCACATGATACCCAGAACAGTCCTAATTGGGGTAGAGATATACATCTTAGACAGAAATGTGCATATCAATTGGGAGATTTTAAAAATGCAAAAAAGTGTATTTGACTAATGTCCCGAGATATACACCCGTTTGATACTTCACCAACGTGTCTAGCTTCTTCCTAATACTTGTTCACCTTCGAAGATATCATTCATCCCCAGGTGCAACCCTTGCAAACTACAATACATACTGGGGGTTTACAGAGAAGGGTTTCCAGGTGGTTTATTATCAAACCACATCAAGTTGATCATCATAAAATAATATATTTGGTACTGAGCGTCATCTGAGGGAATGTAATCCCTTGCAAACTACAATATTGTGAAACTCAAATCTCTAAAATTAACCTCTGTCCAAATAATATTCATTTTCCTTCTGTAACAAACTAAGGTTATGCACTGAAATGGTTGGGTTAGGTTTAGAATATGAGTTGATAGAGTTGGGTTTAGAATGTGAGTTGATAGAGTTGGATTAGGGTTAGAATGCAATTTGTTAGAGTTGGGTTAGGTTTAGAATGTGAGTTGCTAGGGCTGGGTTAGGTTTAGAATTTGAGTTGATAAAGAGTTGATAGAGTTGGGTTAGAATGTGAGTTAATATGACTGGGTTAGGATTAGAATGCGAGTTGATAGGGCTGTGTTTAGTTTAGAAGGTGAGTTGCATGATAGGGGTGGGTTAGGTTTAGAATGTGATTGAATAGGGTTGGGGTAGGTTGAGAATGTGAGTCAATAGGGTTGGATTAGGTTTAGAATGTGACTGGATAGGGTTGTGATAGGTTTAGAATGTGAGTCGATAGGAATTGAAATGAAATGAAATGAGGTTTAACGTCCTACTGTTCTGCTCCAAAATGGGCTAATGAAGACGGGCATATGCCATACAGTGTGCTATGAGAGAAATTTTGTCCGGACAGAAGCACTACGGCCTACTCTTATATCGAATTCCAACTGTCAAGGGATCTTTTACGTGTACGCCAATGTGTACACGGGACCTCGGGTTTTCGTACCATCCGAACGACTAGACAGCTGTCCTTGTCAGGCCCTCCGTCCTGCATCATTAACAAGGGGGAACCAATGAGTCGATAGGGTTGTGTTATGTTAAGAATGTGAGTCAATAGGGTTGTGATAGGTTTAGAAAGTGAGTCAATAGAGTTGGGTTAGGTTTAGAATGTGAGTCGATGGGATTGACTTAGGTTTAGAATGTGATTGAATAGGGTTGGGTTAGGTTAAAAATGTGAGTCGATAGGATTGTGTTAGGTTTAGAATGTGATTGAATAGGGTTGGGTTAGGTTTAGAATGTGAGTTGAGAGGGCTGGGTTAGGTTTAGAATGTGAGTTGATAGGGTTAGGTTGGGTTTAGAATGTGAGTTGATAGGGTTGGGTTAGGTTAAGAATGTGAGTTGATAGGGTAGGGTTAGGTTAGGTTTACTGTTATAGATAATGACTCACTCATTGCTTCTAGATCTTCTTCCTGACAGTTCTGGCCTGTATAACCATATGTACATCTGTAAACATTATAAATAGTAATTTAGTTCAACCATCATTTCACTAAAACCATCCGTAACAACCTATCATTTCTCATAGGATATGACTTATGGACTACAAATCCATCTGCAAGTGATACTTATCTTCTTGTTCTTCTTTGGGACGACGTTGTTCATAAAAAGCCGAAGGATCCGCTTATTCAAGTACAATGGACATGAAACCTGGCATGTATGTTCGTTGGACAATTGTGCATCGATGGACAAATGGTGATGACGTCCTGGTCGGTTTCTAGTCCATACATTGTACTTGTCATACCAGTCAGGTCCCACCATATATTAGTTGTGATATATATATATAATTTGATTAAAGGACTACTTTAACTTACTTGCATGCGTAATTCGTCTCCGCTCGCACATTGACACATGTAGCATCGTTTTTACATGGACTACTTTTACAATAATCCACCACTGAAAAATAAATACATGTATTTTAACATCATCCAGGGGTTTGGATGGCCGTATGGTTAGCACGTGTGTTGTATCATAAGGTCTGTCATTGTAGTGCAAGGAGTAGGGTCGCCTGTCCAACCTCATGGGTTTTCTCCGGGTCCTTTGGTTTCCTCCCACTGCTAAAGACCCAGACGCGCAAGCGAATTATTGAAATAAAATTGTTAGACGCAAAATGACCTAGTTTGAGAGAGAGAGAGATGGGTTTAACACCCACTCTAGGACATTTCGACACTTGTTTTTTTATAGTTCAAAATTTCGTTTACTTGTCTTTACTACACTAAGAAATGAAATGAAATGGGGTTTAATGTCCTACTGTTCGCTCCTATACTGGGCTAATGAAGACAGGCATACGACAGTAAAGTGTCCTATGAGGGGAAATTTTGCCTGGGCAGCGGCACTATCGCCTACTCTTATATCGAATTCCAACTGCCAAGGAATGTTTTACGTGCATTCCGTTGTATACACGGGACCTCGATTTTTCGTCTCAAACGAAGGACTAGACAGCTGTCCTTGTCAGGCCCTCCCTTCTGCACCACCGACAAGGGGAAACCACGTCGGAATATCCCGATGAACTTTCTCGACCAATGTACTACACTAGGATCTGCAAGAGTTATATAACCCGCATTCTGGATGATGTGAGAGATTAGCCAATGAAATGGTCTGTTACTGCAAGTTATGGAAACATCAACACTGATTGGTTAATCAAATGTCTGATGTCATAGGGTCAAAGGCCGATTGTATGAAACCTGATGCTACCTCCCACTAGGGGGGTTGGATGGCTGAATGGTTAGCGTGCGTGCGCTGTATCATAAAGTCTGTCATTGAGTCGACTGGCGTGGTTTCGAATCCCCGTTTGTACGTGGCAAGGAGTAGGGTCGCCTGTCCAACCTCGTGGGTTTTCTCCGGGTCCTCCAGTTTCCTCCCACTGCTAAAGACCCCTACGCACAAGCGAATTATGTAAATAAAATCAAACCATATGTTAGTCCCTAGTTTGTGTCGAGTGGACGTTAAACCCCATCTCTCTCTCTCTCTTTACCTCCCACTACAACCAGTCAGATCAGTGTAGGTCATGTATTTTAATCAGATTGGACTTTGTGATATTATAGCTTTATACTTACATGTACATTTTTTGGTTGTCATGTCATATTCGTATTGACCTCTACAATCACAGGTATATGTACCTGGTTGATTGACACACCTGATACCTTCATCACCACATAACATCTTAATACTAGTCTCGTTACCATCACTACCCATACATTCATCAATATCTATATACAAAATATACACAATACTCAGCATTATCTATATAGAAAATATACAAAATACTCAACATTGTTCATCATAGAAAATATACAAAATACTCGGCATTATCTATATACAAAATATACAAAATACTCAACATTGGTCATCATAGAAAATATACAGAATACTCTGCATTATCTATATACAAAATACTCAGCATTGTCTTATATACAAAATACTCATCATAGAAAATATACAAAATACTCAGCAGATAAAATATACCAAATACTCATTATTATTCATCTAACATGTGTGTGGGGGGGGGGGTGGTTGGATGGCCGAATGGTGAGCATGTGCGCGCTGTATCATACGGTCTGTCATTGAGTCAACTGCCACAGTTTCGATTCCCCAGTTGTACGTGACAAGGAGTAGGGTCGCTTGTCCAACCTCATGGGTTTTCTCTGGGTCCTCCGGTTTCCTCCCACAGCCAAAGACCCCTACGCACAAGCGAATTATTGAAATAAAATTGAACCATGTGTTAGTCCCGAAATGACCTAGTTCATCTCTCTCTCTCTTGTAATTTTACGTTGTTTTTTTTTTAATTATTAGTTCAAGGAGGAAACGAGCCACTGAGTCAGCAGTTAAAATAGAAGCAAATTATGAAATATCATTTAGCCAACCAATCGCTAGCGTCTTACCCACTTAGCCACGTGATCCCCATACATTATTGGAGATTAGATAAAAAGAGCTGACAGTTCTCACTATAATAGTTAAAAACTAGATAATATAAAGGGATTGACCCACTCTAGACCGAGATATTAGCGATTGAATTTCGGTTCTTAAAGTTATTTTTTATTGTTCTGACAGATATAGATATAACAGAAACAATATTAACAGACGGACCAAGTAAATATGGTTACACGGTGGACAATTTGAGTCCAGGTACCCAGTATAGTTTTAGAGTTACAGCCTATAACTTTCACGGTTATGGTGAACCTAGCCTGCCATCAAGTAAGTTTAATTTATATAGTTGCTCACGGTCTTTAATACAACATTCACGGTTATGGTGAACCTAGCCTGCCATCAAGTAAGTTTAATTTATATAGTCGCTCACGGTCTTTAAAACATCAATAGAAGCTCAATCTGATTAAAACACAGACCCTATTTCGTTTCGTTTTTTATAGTTCAAAATTTCGTCTTTACTACACTAAGATTTCGAAGAGTTGTTATATAAACAGCGTTCTGGTTGAAGTGAGGGATTAGCCAATGAAACGGTCTGTTGCATCGAGTTTTTGGCGTGCGATGCACGCAACTGTGGCTATCCTACTAGAAACATCAACGCTGATTGGTTAATCAAAAGTCAGACGTCATAGGGTCAAAAGCCGCTCGTATGACCCTGGATGCAACCATCCACTACAACTGTTCAGATCTTGATGTTATAGAGGCCATCGAAAGTATGAAAAAAAAACGAAACGAAATATAGATGTGTACTTTAATCGGATTGATAATTGCTACGAGAGATGGGGGTGGGGGTTGACACATGCGCACTGTATCATAAGGCCTGTCATTGAGTCAAATGGCGTGTTTCGAATCCCCGGTTATACGTGACAAGGAGTAGGGTGGCCTGTCCAGCCTCGTGGGTTTTCTCCGGGTCCTCCGGTTTCATCCCACTGCTAAAGACCCCTACGCGCAAGCGAATTATTGAAATAAAATTGAACCATATGTTAGTCCCGAAATGACCTAGTTTGTGTCGAGTAGATGTTAAACCCCATTTCTCTCTCTCTCTCTCTCTCTCTCTCTCTCTCTCTCTCTCTCCCGCTATGAGAGATATCATCTGGAGTATTTATTGATGTTTATATCTTTACAGAGTTTTTTGCTATACCAGCTGCTGCCCCAGCTGATGCTGTACAGGGTGTTGGTGGTGGAGGAGGAAGTGTTGGGGAACTCAGGGTTCATTGGGAGGTAACCAAAAATACATTTTACTATAACTCAGTACTCCCGCCCGCCATGTTGGATTTTAAAAACGTACCTTTTATGACCGAAATAATAGTGTTTGAGTTTTGTTATCCGACTAAGAAATATATAAATATATATGTTTTAGATCATAGGATCTATCATTGAGGCATGAGGCGTAGTTTCAGTGTCACACTTGTACGTGACAAGGAGTAGGGTTGTCCGTCTAACCTTGTGGCTTTTCTCTCTCTCTCTCTCTCTCTCTCTCTCTGACTAAAACATAGTGTTTAGATGAGTATACCAGTGTTTTGTTATACAAATATGTTAAGTTTTATTTTTTATGTAGAAATTACCTATAGGACAACACGGTGGACCCGGTCTACATTATAAAGTTTACTGGAGAAAGAAAGATAATATTTATGGCAAATGGCTTGTATCGGTAAGTAAGAGTTGTCGGCCTTGTATTTAGGAAAATAAGCAGTGAAATTAGGTTTCATCCAAATGGCCATACACTACAGTTGTGGCACAAGGGAATTATGCCCGGATAACGTCATTTCCGGATACTCTTTATCGAATTCCTACTGCCTCTTACCTGAACGCCAATAAAGAAAACCATGTGTGTTATATTTATACAGGAGTCACCTGTGCTATGTGCTTATATACTCTTCAAAAAAAAGTAGGGGATATTGAAATGCAAATACCTATGCAGGTTGCGATATGATAAATAATCATTTGACATGCTTTGAGAGTATGTTCACAGATGAAGAACTTATCGCCCCAACAGAACCACTGAGCTGCACCTGCGACACGCAATAGCGCTATACACGGGGGCGGGGGTCATTGTCAAATTTGACACTTCAAGTAAGGGTTGATGAAAACTGCCGCGTGCTGGTTTATCTATCCATGCTTGCTTTCCTATCGGTTCTTGCATAAGATTTACTGTTTAGCGTATCTTTGCTTTAGTGTGTTACATTTAATTTGATCGGGAGACGTGTTCGACGACGTCAACGTCAACGGACAACACTGCAAGAATTGGCCGTGGCACTGCAAGAAGAGTCGGTCAGATTGCCCCAAATCGTGATTGGACGATTGATTAGGAGCATGCCACGACGAATTGCTGAACGTCTGAGGATTGGTGGAGCAATTACTTATTATTAAGACAAAAATCAAAAACGTCCATTTTCACTTTTGACGAGTGAAATGGGGCCGTCAGATAAGTCGCCCATATGAACTGTTTATGTTTAAGTGTAGGCCATTGGCCTGTTATTAACATACACTGGTTTCCACAGTTTTGTATTGTTTCTGAATATCCCCTACTTTTTTTGAAGAGTATATTTATATAAGGAATCCACCTGTGTTTATATTTCTACAGGATCCACCTGTAGCAGGTGAAAAGGAAGTATTTATCACTATAATAGAATATCAGTATTATTATACCGAGTATGAAGTGAAAGTAGGAGTAGTAAATGATCTGGGAGCTGGACCAAACACTACAGTAGTTGTTATATTTTCAGCCGAGGATAGTAAGTATATTGTTCTCCTGTTTCTTCTTGTTCTTCCGTCTATTCTTGTTCTTCCGTCTATCCTTGTTCTTTTCCCCTTTCCCTTGTTCTTGTTCTGCTGCCTGTCCTTGTTCTTTTCCTCTTTTCCCTGTTCTTGTTCTTATCCGTGTTCTTCTCGATGTTCTTGATGTTCTTCTCCCTGATGTGACCCTTCTCTTTGTTCATGATATTTCCTTGTTCTTGGTCTTCCGTTTGTTCTTCCGCTTCATCTTGTTCTTTTCTTTGTTCTTTATCACAATTCTCCTTGTTCTCTTCCTTGTCCGTTTTATGTTCCTTGATTTTGGTGCTCTCCCTGTTCTTATCAATGTTCTCCGCCCTGCTCTTGGTGTTCTGCCTGTTCTTTTAACTACTCTTGGTGTTCTACCTATTCTTTTCCCTGTTCTTGGTGTTTTCCTTGTTCTTTTCTCTCTTCTTGGTGTTGTTCTCCTTGTTCTTTTCCCTCTTCTTGGTGTACTCCTTGTTCTTTTCCCTCTTCTTGGTGTTCTCCTTTTTCCTTTCCCTGTTATTGGTGTTCTCCTTGTTCTTTTTTCCTGTTCTTGGTGTCGTCCTTGTTCTTTTTCCTGTTTTGTTGTTCCCCTGGCTCTCTCGTATGTTCTTGTTCTATTCTCTGTTCTTCGTGTTTTTTCTCTCGTTGTTCTTGCTCTTCTCCTAATTAATCGGCCTTTCCTGGTGCTTGTGCTTATATCTGTTCTTGTTCTTTTTTTTGTTCATCTTCTCCTTGTTCTTCCCCTTGTTATCCGCCTTGTCATTCTTATTCTTGTTCTTATTCTGGTTAGTAATCTTCTTCTTCGTCTATTTCTCAATGTTCTTGGGACGGCATTCTTCTGAAAAAAAATTCTTGCCCCCACCTGACTGGGTATTTGTTTAGGTCCGTTAGCACTATGTGAAACAAAGGAAGAACAAGATTGTGATAACAAAACACGTGTTACAGTAAATTCCGCAAAATGTTTTGAAAGTTTTCACTATCCATAAATTTGATTGTGGGTATTTCTAGGGTCGAACGAGCTGTGCCTTTATATGTCTTTATATATCGGGGGGGGGGGGGGTAACCAACCTAATCTGTTGTTAGACCAGGAACTGGGCTCTAACCGCTACTCAACTGGTTACGGTTCGATTCGTTGGGGCGATTTTTCGCTTGACGTTACACTTCCATGATGGCTACGATGATGTCATAATCATTTCCTACTTCTTGTTTAAATTAGATTAGGTCTATTCAATACTGATGACGGCCATATTGGAATTAAATGTCTCAGACTTATATTTTACTCTTGTAACCATTTCAGTGCCACTTGCAACACCGGCTAACGTGAATGGCGCGGAGCTTAACGCCACAGCAGCTGACATATTCTGGGATCCATGTCCAGACGATCGGGAACATATGAAAGGCCGTGTTCTAGGCTATCAGGTAGCGTTTATCTTCCAGTAAATCAATTTAGTAAACGGAAATGAAATGATATGAAATCGGGTTAACGTCCTACTATTTTGCTCCGACTTGGTTTAATGGAGACGGGCATTGGGGTATATTTTGCCCGGACAGTGGCACTACGGCCTACTCTTATATGGAATTCAAACTCCCAAGGGATATTTTATGTACACAGCATGTATATACGGGACCTCGACCTTTCGTCCCATCCGAACGACTATATACATTGCTCACTGCGGTTCGAGTTATGTGGTATTTGCAAAGACTAGATCCCAAATTACTCTGTTTCAAAAACTGAAAAACTTTTTTTTTAAAAAATCGTTAACATATGAAATCCATTGAAGAGTCGGCACACAGCATGGTTTATGTCCGTCTTTATTAGTTTTTTTTCGACGTGGTTTCCCCTTGTCAGTGATGCGGGGCGGAGGGCCTGACAAGGACAGCTGTCTAGTCGTTCGGATGGGACGAAAAACAGAAATCCCGTGTATACATTGGCATGCAAGTAAAAGATTCCTTAGCAGTTGGAATTCGATATAAGAGTAGGCAACAGTGCGGCTGCCGGGGCAAAATTTTCATCATGCTCGTCTTCATTATCCCCGTCGGAGCAGAACAGTAGGACGTTAAACACCATTTCATTTCATTTCCGTCTTAATTAGCTCGGTTGGTACCGAAAATTGATGGATTTTCATAAATTAAAAAATAATTTCACTTAGAGGTAGTAGATAGATTTATGTGAAAATGATTGAATTATCTCCCATTATTCAGGTCAATTATTGGCTGGAGGGTATGACGTACCAAGATGCCCTGTTTAGTCGCCATCTTGGACAAGCCGATTTCGGTCGGATAATCGGACTGGATGAGAATTCTGACTACTGGGTGAACGCCCAAGTGTACAATACAGCAGGTTTAGGACCAAAAAGTGAAGATGCCAGAGTTTCAACTTGGGCGTCGCGTAAGTATAAAGGAATGAATGAACTGGAGCTTTATGACACGCCATCTCCAACCTTGCTATAGGGAGGAATTGGGTTTAACGTCCACTCAACACAAACTAGGTCATTTCAGTACTAACACACGGTTCAATTTTATTTCAATAATTCGCTTTCGCGTAGGGGTCTTTAGCAGTGGGAGGAAACCGGAGGACCAGGAGAAAACCCACGAGGTTGGGCAGGCGATATAATGCGTCAAACATGGTGAAAAATTAAACAATGAATATAATATGCATATAAAAACAAATATCACGGGGTTTTAAAATTAAAAATAGAATTATCGTGTAAGTTATATAAACATTGATTTTCTTTGACGGTCGGTCGTGATCCTAAATACGTAAACAATGGTTGACGGGCTTGATCCTAAATACGTAAACACTGGTTGACAGTCGTGATTCTAAATACTTAAACATTAATTTAAATGAAATGAAATGGGGTTTAACGTCCTACTGTCTTGCTCAAACATTGTTTGACAGTTATAGGCGGATGACTGTTTGAAAGATGACCACAAGAGCAGGTTTATAAGTTAATTTTTATATTTCAGCACCGTTTTTATATCCTGAATATGTGAATGTAACATCTCGAGATGAGAGCAGTATCAATGTCTGGTGGAGAGGTATAAGCACTACAATACTAGAGGAGGCTCTCAGAGGATATAAGGTATACTTTTAAAACAAATAAAATATAAAGGGATTTAATGTCCTACGAGTCGGCAAGGCCAGAGCTAGCGAAGACTGAATAGTTTAAACATGCGATTTACCTAACTAGGGTGAAACGAGTTAAAGTATATCTGATGTGTTTTGTGGCGTGTTTAACAGTTAAAGTATGTTTGATGTGAAATGAAATTGGGTTTAACGTCCTACTGTTCAACCCCGACTTGGCTAATGAAGACGGGCATACACCATGCAGTGTGCTATGAGGGAAGGTTTGCCCGGGTAGCAGCATTATGACCTACTCTTATATCGAATTCCAACTGCCAAGGGATCGTTTTCTTCATATCTGTCCCCGTCCTGCACCACTGACAAGGGCAAACCACATTGGAAAACCAGATGACCTTTCTCGGTCAATGCAGGGATCGAACACGCGACCTCCAGCGAGCCAGGGTCTTACCCACTTAGCCACGACGGCTTCATTTAACAGTGGTAGTATGTTTAATGTGTGTTGTGATGTATTTAACAGTTTAATTTAATCCCACGTGTTTTATTGTGTTTCAGCTGCGTTACTGGGAATCGTCACAAAATATGAATACAGCCCAGGAAGTGGTTGTAGGCAAGGTAACCCATGCTGTAATACCCAACGTAGAGAGGGGAATCACCTACAGTCTACGTGTGTTGGGCTATAGTTATGGTGGAGATGGCAAGAAATCGCCTACCGTGTATTTTACTTTAGGTGGACAACTGCAAGGGGTAGATCTCTACACCACTGAAATTCTGGCTAGAGGTTTTACCACCCGGATGTCGCTAACTCTAATTATAACGAGCTTAATCAGCACTTGGTTTTTCTAACCATGACAACCCAGATGTCGCTAACTTTAATTATAATCAGTTTAATCATCACGTGGTTTTTGTAACCATGGCAACTGATTATATAAAGCAAACCGATGTTTGGCAACTAAAGAAGGGCGAATTTATCGTACGGGAACACGTTTTTTGGGTTTTTTTTGTTTTTAGTTTCAGTCTAAGGGAATCCAAACTATTTATTATAATTACCATAGTTCGTGTGTTGCTTTAAAACCCAATCTGATTAAAATACAGATCTATATTTCGTTTTAGTGGAAGGTCGTGTCAGGTGTCATGCGAGCGGCTTTTGACCTTGTAACATCAGACATTTTCGAGTGGTTTACCCAAAGTTCCGCGCACATCTCGCCAAAAACTCGCCGTAACAGACCGTTTCATTGGGTAATCCCTCACTTCACTATGTGCAGATCATAGTGTAGTAAGACAAGTAAAACGAAATTTTGAACTATAAAAAACGAAACGAAATAGGATCTGTGTTTTATCAGATTGGTTAAAACCATGATGGTCGACAAACAACTGCTATCGGTTGTGTTTAAATGTAATACATATCGAACTGAACCGGTTTGTTTGAAACCCGAACAAGTTCCCTAAGATTAATTCGTCAATAATGTATATATGTATATAACAACCATTGTCCAGATCAATAGGTTATTTTTCGGGTATGTTTGATTAATAGAATCCGGGCTGGTTCAGTCTCTGTTTATTTATTTTTTAAAATCTGAAATCCATAATCCAGTAAATATCACAGGCTAGCGATGCCATCGATAGTTTATTATGGTTTTGTTTTGTTAATAAATGTCTAATTAATAGTATATATAACATTTCAGGCCTAAATAAAGACCTGCACTAGGCAGATTTAGGTCTTGTATAATGTATGTTTAATTGACCTGCCATGACGTTTCATCAAGGCAGCGTATGTTTTGTTTTGTGATATAGATGATTTTACATTAAGCGATGTAGCTTAAAACTGAAACAATAACAGTCCCGGGGTGTCTGTCTTGCCCAAATTGGGCTAACCTATCTAATGAACTATCAAAATGATAATGAACCGATATCAAAATGATAATGAACCGACATGGAATGGAAGTATGGTATGGACTTTTTATATTTTTCTCGAAATTCAGTCCTTTTTATAAATTGTCCGATATCCTCTTACAGTCTCATATAACAACTTTTGGTCTTCGAAGGAATCATTAGTGAGCAGATATTCGTTATATCAGTTATATAGAAGGATAACTTGTGTTTTCATTTTGCTTTCGTCACTTCCGTTTCTTCAAATCTTCGTTACGCATCAATAGAATCAATGATCTCTGTGTTAAAATTATATTTGGAACCTGTTAACCAGTTTTATCACATCTGCAATAATGGCTGACACCAATATTGTCCTTTAAACCCCACTCCAATACACATACATGATAATGGCTGACAGCAATATTGTTCTTTAACCTGTCGAGTTGATATACGTCGTAGTAGTGTACATTAGTATATATAAGGGCTGTGTGTGGATTGCCGAATGGTTAGCACGTGCGCGCTGTATCATAAGGTCTGTCATTGAGTCAACTGAGATAGTTTCGAATCCGCAGTTGTACGTGACAAGTAGGTCGTTTGTCCAACCCCGTGGGTTTTCTGCTGGTCCTCCGGTTTCCTCCCACTGCTAAAGACCCTTCGCGCAAGCGAATTATTGAAATAAAATTAAACCACATGTTAGTCCCGAAACCACTAAGCTTATAGAGAACTGATATACAATTACATATTGGTGTAGTAGTGTAAATCAGCAAATAATATATAAGTTTAATAAGTTTAATTTACATAATCATGGTTCAAAGCACAGGGTAATAATTGGAGTTAACATGGATTCCATTATACACACACGCACAGTTCACTAGCAGATAGCCGTAAAATGGCGGTTCTACGAAGAACTGACTATATCCAAATATCCAAAAATGCTTCATATTTCTATATATTTTTTTTACAATCATGTTAGTTGTCTTTATTTAATAAAGTATTTTCTTTTATATTCCCGTATTTCTTCATAATTTGAAATATTATATACCTTGCTCTTATTTTTATGACTCACTATTTATTTGGGGAAATCATTTATTGATAAGGTGAGTAAAGAACCATATAAGGAACTTGGGCAAGGCACGCTTAGAACCATATAAGGAACTTGGGATGTTCATGCTCAGGGGAGGGGTTAAAGAACCATATAAGGAACTTGGGAAGTTCATGCTCAGGGGAGGGGATAAAAAACCATATAAGGAACGTTATTGTAAGGCCATTCCCAAGGGAGGGGTTAAAGAACGTTATTGTAAGGTCATGCCTAAGGGAGGGGTTAAAGAACCATATAAGGAACTTGGTAATGTCATGCCTAAGGGAGGGGTTAAAGAACCATATAAGGTAAAGTCATTGCCTACCAGAGGGGATAAAGAACCATATAAGGAACTTGGTAAGGGCACGCCTAGGGGAGGTATTAAAGAACCACATAAGGAACTTGGGTAAAGTCACGCCTAAGGGAGTAGTCGGATATTGATTTGGGGAGTAGCTCAGTGAAGAGAAAGTTCAATTAGGATTTTCTAAAGACTATTCATGTACAGTTTAGTAACCAGATTTAATGATTAAAATATGCTAAATTTATTTTTGAATTCATTTGCTCGAACCCGTCTTTCTCCCCCTAATGCATTGTCATATAATGTAACGAAAGGGGTGTGTATAAAATATAACTTTAATTTATAATTTTGAATTGAAAGATTTGAAAAGAATAAATTGTAAAGGGTATCTATGGGTTATATATACATTGTGTATTGTAGATTGCATATTTTAACAAATATTTTAGACAAGATACTGAATAAGTCGGTTATACACGTTTAATCCTGTTAATTATGTCCAATGGAAGCGGGGCGTTTCTTGCTCAATTGGACAGACCGGTTCTGTAAAACTTAGAGACTCCAACAAATTGAGAAGGTGAAATCGGCCATTTTGAATGTAGAAATAATGTGGCAATTTGATCAAATCTATTAGGAATGTCCAATTCGCCAATAACACAAGGAATAAATCCTGAATTGATGCGTATTTAGGTCTACAATTAATTTGAACAATTTTGATTGATATTCAGTTCTAATTGGCAGACATCCTAAAACTGACTATAGAGAGAGAGTCGGAGCTGGCGAATGATCTGGATTCTAGACTCTCTTTTAGACATGTGTCAAGATTCATATGTGTGTGTTGCTGGCGGATCCAAGGATGTGGTAGATATGTACCCTTTCTGAATTGGTATCGCCAGGAAGGGGCGGGGGGGGGCGAAACTTTTTGCAGGGTTGAGCTTGCCCCCACCCGTAGTTACGGGCCTGGGTTTCGTTTTACACTCGTACAAATATTCATTGACCCGCACATGATGCCAGTGGGGACCCCAGCTGCACAATTGTCTTCTGAGATATGCTTTTCTTTGGTCATTTCAAATGGCGCTCGAATTCATTATATCCATAGAATCGTGTAATGATCTTAAAATATTCATTGTGTTTTAAATATTGGATATTAGGATCACATATTCACGTTAAGATAATAACATCAATATTGATTGAAATAGATCACTATTGAATTCCAATTCGTGTTTTTAATTTCTAATATAATGGATAGTATTAAGTTAGAAGTTCAGATATTCTCTATTATCCTGTTCACATTATGATTCATGTACAGTTTAATAACCAGCTTATATAGGGTCTAACATGCCCTAAATTTCTATTTGGTATTCACTTATTCGAACCTGTCTTTCGTCTCTTAATGCCTTGTCACAATAATGTAACGAAAGCGGTGTGTATAATTTCAATTCGTAAATTTGAATTGAAGGGTTTGAAAAGAATAAATTATAAGGGCTATTTATGGGCTGTACAGACATTGTGTATTGTAGCGTTCATATTCTAACAAACACACATTTAACTATAAGGGTTGAAAGGTAATACTTGACCAATATTACTGTATAACGCCTTAAATACAACTGTTATTCAACCAGATGATTAAAGACAAGGTACACAAGTGGATCGGTGTTATACATGTTTAAACGTGTTGTAAAAGTCAGACTTCAACTTATTGGAAAGGTAAGAATTTCCGTTCATTTAATTATTTCTAATGAAAGGGGATTCTTTTCTTACTCCATTGGAACTGGAACCGGATAGACTGGTTTCATAAGAGAAGGGACTTCCAATAAATTGAGACAGTTAAATCGTCCATTTTGAATGTAGAAATTTGTTCAAGTCTATTAGTAATGTAATGTCGATTACACAGGAAATAAATCATGAAATGATGCATATTTAAGTCTACAATTAATTTGAACAATTTTAATTTATAACCAATTCTGAATGGCGGACATTCGAACAAGGGCTGAAGAGGGGATGGGGCTGGAGTACACTCAGGATTCTAGAGCAAAAAAATAAGGAACGTACCACAATCTCTAGTTTAGACATGTCGGATGAAATTAAAATGCGTGTTGCTGGCGTTCCCGATAAAATTGGTACCAGAGCGGATCCAAGAATGTGGTAGATATGTGCCATTTCTGACTTGGTTCCACCTTTCACCCGTACATGATGTCAGTAGGGACACCAGATGTACAATTCTATATAAATATTGTACCATTTCAACTGCGCTACAGATTTGGTACCTCTAGGTCTGTTGATTATTTTGTACTTATTCAGATTTATGTTCAAGACAAGAAGAACTTCTTTCCTAAACCGCTCCATGGATGTATTTTACAAATGTCATGCGTCATGGCTAATTCTAACTATATAGTGTTGGTTTTGTACACCCTGTACTTAGTCCGGAATGTTGTACGGTTTCACTAGGAATTTCATATATACTGACTTCAAGTTTAATAAAACCTATTGTACTTGATAACGATAAGAGGATACTTGTCGAAACGTTGTGACTAGTAATTGATTGTTTCCCGTTCTGTTAGTGTGTATGATTGTGTTTATAGATAATTTGTTGGCCAATATGACTGGACCATGGTCACATATAGAAATGAAATGAAATGCGGTTTAATGTCCTATTATTCTGTTCCTGACCGGGACCGCTGTTCTGTACCACTGACAAGGGGAGATTATAACAACTTGTGATATATTTGTAAGAATAAAGCTGACGCTCATGGATTGGGGTATATCATCAATCATTTAGTGAAGTAGATTACAATTCTACCTTTAACTAAATGATTGGCGACCAATACAAATCGACCAATTCCCAGTTCTTCTGTTCAAATAAAAAAGAACAAGGCTAAGCAATAATTATGTCTTGTAAATAGGTAAATATTCTATTTGACAAGTCTTATCGGGCAATTCGAAATAGTTAAGCATACTCCTCCCCGTGTACTACACCAGTCATTAATAATTACCTTTCAATTTAAACGAATACTATATTAAACTAAAACATAATTTTATTTGTCAGATCCAAGTTGAGATTGCTAGGTACTAACAAAGGGAAGATAACTCGATCCTTGACAGTCATCAGTGAGTCAAAATGTCTTTATGGAGTATATACTGGATATTACGAGATGTTGGTCCTACTCCTATATTCCTTCTATTGGTTATTTTGTTTATTACGTGGTATTTATATCCATATACAAGAAACACAAACCGTCTTCAGGATGAATCAGAATCAGAAAACCAGACTGTAGATACCGAGACAGATAGTAACAATGTGAATAGTTCGAGAGATGAAGGAAGTGACGTAATAAACAGTAAGTACATGGATTTACTTACTTGTGCTCCTTAGACCAACAGGGTCGTTACTAGCTCAGAGCAACGAGGGGGGGGGGGGGGAGTGTTCTCGGGGGTGCTGTAATATTGACGGACAATGTATATCTATTTTTTTTATGGTCGAAAATTTTTTCATATCTTTGTCGGAATAGGTCGGATGTTAAAAATATGCCCGTATTGTTACCCAACAATAATCCACCGAGAAACATTATATATCAAACAAAAGTGGGTTCTCGGCACTGACGTCCGGACTAGTTGGATGGCCGAATGGTTAGCATGTGCGCGTTGCATCATAAGGTCTGTCATAGAGTCAACTGGCATGGTTTTGATTTCCCAGTTGTATGTGACAAGGAGTAGGGTTGCCTGTACAACTTTGTGGGGTCTCCAGGTCCTCTGGTTTCCTTCTACTGCTAAAGACCCCCTATGCGCAAGAGAATTGTTGAAATAAATTTGAACCATATGTTAGTCCCAAAATGACCTAGTTTGTTTCTAGTGGAGGTTAAACCCCATCTCTCTCTCTCTCTCTCTCTCTCTCTCTCTCTCTCTCTGGAATCACAAATGGTTTTCGTTGTTAAATGGTGTATAATGTGTGATTTTAATGAACCGCCATATAGTCGGTGAAGTGTCAAACAGGTGTATCTAAGAATTTCTAAAGATTAGGAAATAGAACCTTTTGCATTTCAAAATTTCCACAAATCAAGATACAACATTTGGACACATGATTCCCAGAACAGTTTTAATTGGCGTAGAGATACACAGCTTAGAAAGAAATGTACATATTAATTGGGAGATTTTAAAAATGCAAAAAAGTGCATTTGACTAATTTCCTGAGATACACCCTTTTGACACATCACCGATGATATGGCTCTGCGAATAAGTTGTGTAACTCTGATTGCTTGAAATTATTTACTGGCGTATAAATTTTAGCCAGAATTATTAATAGTGTAATGAGAACTATATCAAACTGATAAGAATAGGCTACTAACATTACATATAAAAGTAAAAACAGCAATATATTAAATAGCTAAGTCTCCACCTCAGTATCATCCAAAGTCTTCGACACTGAAAACACAAATTATTTGTCAATTTAAATCAACATTGATGTTGTGATCTTACCGGGAAAAGATGGGCTTCTGATACCCAATATTTATAACGAAATAAACGTTACAGGGCTTAAATATTAGTTATTTAGCTCCTTTAATTTTCTTTTGGTTAGTAGTAACTCGAAATTCACCTTTTTTTTATCCTTTTTTATCTTTTCAGAATCAATAGCAGCAACAAGTAAAACAGATAGTTGTCAGATTAACCAATCATACGACAGTAAACCTCCATCTGGGTCGTTAGATTTACGAGTTACCTGATCATCGTAAACCCAAACAATTGACACACCAGTAGAAACATGTTTCCATGGAAACCAGATACAACCTTCATGATAATCTAATTAAATACATATACAAAATTTGTTTCCTTTTTTATACTTCATATTTTTTGAAGTCCAATGAAATTAAATTTGAGAGTATAAAAAAGGATATTAAAGTATGATAAATGAAATGAAATATGAAAGTATAAACCTAAATAACATTTGAAGTAGAGTAACAAAATGAAAGTAAAAAAACGAAATTTGAAGTATCACGACAAAATGAAATTTGAAAGTTTAAAAATGAAATATTAAAGTATGAAAAACAAAACTTTAAGTTTATGAAAAATAAAATTTGAAGTATAAAAACTAAATGAAATTTGAAGTGTGAAAAATAAAGCTTGAACTATGAAAAACAACATTTGGTGTTCAAAAAAAAAAATGAAGTATAAATTTGAAGTATTAAAATGAAATGAAAATTTGAAGTATGATTTTATCAGGTTGTTCTATGTTTTCTACTGGTGGTGAATTGTTTGGATTTAAAACCAAATATCAGCTGTTTTCATCAACGATACCATTTATAGTCATTATCCGAAGTTACCATATTTTAACTGCCTATCACGGATTCTTGATGATTGATTTCAGGAGAATCCTTGTGGATTAGGCCTTCTTGATTGGGATCTTGTTCACTGATCCTTGTGGATAAAGTTCTATTTCCCTGATCCTTGTGAATTAAGCCTTATTCATTGGGTCCTTATTCACTGATCTGAGCGAATTAGCCCTTATTCATTGGTGCCTTCTTCACCGATCCGTATCAATTAAGCCTTATTCATTTGGGTCTTATTCACCAATCTGTGTCAATTAGGCCTTATTCATTGGGGTCCTATTTACTCATCCTTGTGAATTAGGCCTTATTTAATTATGGTTTAGGGTTAATAAAATCTGGTTTTTAAATATAAAATTGAACAGGGAAGTAGAACTTTCACTTCCATGAATTGATTTTAGATAGGTCCAGGTTTCTTCATGATTATGAGGTTAAATGATTTGTAAGAAAACAGCTGATTTTCTCTTGCCTCTGGTCAACAAACTATCTGATATTATATTGAATTAGGCATCTGATCTGCTAGTGATGTGAAAATTGATGCTCAACTAAATAGGAGTTGTCTCCCTTTAGTCTTCAGGATGTTAAAAAAAAAATGGTCTCTGAAAAAAACATTCCTGCAAGTTTGAGTGTATATGTCGTAGAGGATACTTGATGGAACGTTCCAAATTGGAATTCTCTCAATCCCAATAATAGCTGCAATCAAATGAAAAGGAGGATTTCAGGCTACAACTCTTGTGTTTAATTACATTGTGATTCTACTAGCACCATCTCAGTTGTCGGGACTGACATAACTGAATTCCATGTCACTCCTCTACATTTCTGCAAATTGACAATCTTACATGAATTTTATTAACTACTTAATTTTTTTTCGGTTTATGGAATTTAGTGGCAATGTTAAATTCTATAAGGGTGACAAAACTTTACATTATAGACTTAAGTTAAGAATTTACTCAACTTTCAATCACTGTTTATGAGAAATATCTTTGATCTAGAAACACAACACTTAGCACATAGTTTCTTAATGATGTATTTGATGCATTAAAACAACAAAGGTTTTATAAAGGGCTATATTTTAGTTTAAATAAGGCGAACGATTTTAAGTAAATTCTTAACTTAAGTCTGCAAATGTTTTGTGAAACCGGTACCTTAACTAGTTGAGTTTTAGTGGGAATCGGATTCTGTCTTCTTCAACAAATGTCAGTTAGTTTTGTTTATATGACGACTAAATGTTTAAATAAAGCAAATATATTCATTGGTCTGATACAACCAGAGATAATTGAAACTTTTATTAATTAAGTTATGAATAATGAGATTTTAGACCAGTGATGAAAAAAAAATATTGATGAATAATAATGTTTTATTCAAATTATGAATAATAATGTTTTATACAAATTATGAATAATAACATTTTGTATGAATTGTGAATAATAATATTTTATATAAATTGTAATAAAATTTGTTACAACTTATAATGGAATTTATTGCAAATTATAACAGAATTTGTTACAAATTATAACGGAATTTGTTTACAAATTATAACGGAATTTGTTTACAAATTATAATGGAATTTAATACAAATTATAACGAAATTTGTTAAAAATTATAATGGAATTTGTTACAAATTATAACGAAATGAATTTGTTACAAATTATAACGAAATGAATTTGTTAAAAATTCTAACAGAATTTTTTACAAATTATAACGGAATTTGTTACAAATTATAACGGAATTTGTTACAAATTATAACGGAATTTGTTACAAATTATTACGGAATAAAAATTATAAAGGAATTTGTTGCAAATTATTACGGAATAAAAATTATAACGGAATCTGTTAAAAATTATAACAGAATTTGTTACAAATTATAACAGAATTTGTTACAAATTATAATGGAATTTAATACAAATTATAATGGAATTTGTTACAAATTATAATGGAATTTGTTACAAATTATAATGGAATTTAATACAAATTATGAATAATTACATTTTATACAAAGTATAAATAATGGAATTTAATACAGCAAGTGTATTATAATGATTTGTGTATATTAAAATACTGAACATACAGTAATTATATTTAATTTCAATCAAATTCAAAACCTGATGGAGTATACGACTTCTGATATGGAGTAAATATATTTAATTTAAATGAAATTTTAGACTTGATGCTAATAATATGACTTTAGTTAAAGCATTAGTTATGGGTAAAGCTCCTCTAGTTTAATCAGCTTTTATTCCACATTCTTACATTCGACTGCTTTTATTTTTTTATTTTTGAAATAAAAACAGCCCTTTTACTAGACGTGAAAACCATAATATTTTTTTTAAATAAAATCAGCCCTTTTACTGGAAACAGGATTATCTAAGAACCGTAATATTTTTTTTGTATGACCTTATCAAATACTAAACTATGATGATATTTGTATCAGAGGACTATTCAATCAGTTAAAGTATTAGTGAGGGGTAGTTAGGTTTTACTCGGGATTCTTGTATATTGTTTTAAACGCACAAATCTATTTAAAGGGGCATCATGGGAGATTAGATAAAGAGCTGGCAGTTCTCGCTATGATAGTTAACAAATAGATACTGTTATTGGCAATATACTGAAAATTTCAGTCAAATTGCTTCACTCTGAACCGAGATATTAGCGATTGGATTTTAGGCCTAGCCTCAATCATCATTACTAAAAAAATAGTCTCGATTATCCATTTTTGGATTTGATTATCAATGAGCATTGAGCAGCAGATCAGATTCAAATCCAGTGAAAATCCGACACATAAGACAGCATCAGAGTGAGAGTGATGAAACTTGGTGTAAAGTTTCATTAAATCAATACCTTAACTAAGTTTGATAATGAGAATTTTCTGCTCAGGGTAGGCAGGGAAATAAGCAATTCGATTGCTAGAGACTTTGGAACACAATAACTAAAATGGGTATGTCTGTCTGTCTGTCCGTCACACTTTTTGGGACACAATAACTCTCCTTCTAATTGACCTAGAATGTTCAAACTTGGTTTAGGCATTCATTAGTTGAATGCCTTAATGGAGTTGGAAGATGAGCATTTTCTGCTTTCTGGTCGATGCTTTGGGACAAGATATATTTAATTCTAACTGATGGCGAGTGATGAAACTTAGTGTATAGTTTCACAACCGGGTACTTCAAAACCTTAACTGAGTTTGATTGTGAACATTTTATGATTAGACTAAGTATAGATAATCAGTTTGATTGCTTGATAATTTTGAAAAAGATAAATGTTCAATTAAAATATGTTTCATTTATTTATTTGGGGATTTCGGCAGGTGTCATCAGCCTCACTGTTGGCTTGTTTTAATTATAATAATGTAAAATGCAGCTAAGAATGTAAATAGTGAAACAATAATGAATTGGATTATTATCACATTAAAATTTCAAAACACTTCATCAGATTCTAACTGGCAGGATTCTTTTACGTGCACGCCAACATGTACACTTGACCTCGTCTGTTCATCCCATTTAAACAAAACCCTGCGGGAGAAAATTCTTAAGAACGTTGACAGCCAACAGAACATCCAGGTTAGTGAAACACCGTGGCTCCTACTAATCTCAGACGCCATAGTGGCTCAGTGTGTAAGAAGTTGGCTTGCTAACCTGGAGGTCCCATGTTCGATACCTGGGTTGGTCGAGAAAGTTCATCAACATTTTTCAGTGTGGATCCGGCTTGTCAGTGGTGCAGGACAGAGGTATACTCATTTGGTTGAGACATAGAACCTAGGTCCCGTGTACACATTGTCATGCACGTAAAAGAACCCTTGGCAATTGGAATTCGATATAAGAGTAGGCCATAGCACTGCTGTCTGGGCAAAATGTCCCTCATAGCACACTGTGTGGCATATGCCCGTCTTCATTAGCCAAGTCAGGGCATAACAGTGGGACATTAAACCCCATTTCATTTCATTTCATTTTCTAGTCTGTGCCAGGCAATCAACTTGTAAACCTTACATCTTTTGTCTAAATCAGGGGGTCTCTGTGGCTAAGTGTGTAAGACGCTGGTTCGCTAGCCTAGAGGTCGGGTGTTCGATCCCTGCATTGGCCGAGAAAGTTCATCTAGATTTTCCAGCATGGTTCCCCTAAGTCAGTGATGCAAGACGGAGGGCCTGATAAGGACAGCTGTCTAGTCGTTGGGATGGGACAAAAAACCAAGGTCCCATGTACACAATGGCTTGCACATAAAAGTTCCCTTGACAGTTGGAATTAGATATATAAGAGTAGGCCATAGTACCGCTGTCCGGGCAAAATTTCCCTCATAGCAAACTGTATGGCGTATGCCCGTCTTTATTAGCCCAGTTCGGAGCAGAACAGTAGGACATTAAACCCCATTTCATTTCATTTCATTTCGTCTGCATCTGTTGAATTGAAATATGGTGTCCCTCAAGGATCAGTGTCAGAACCATTAATTGTTACTAGTACACAACTTCCATAGAGGATAATATAATCTGTAGCCATGAAATTGATTTGCATTTTTATGTAGATGGTTCACAAGTTTAAAGTCGTTATCTGAGAAATTTAAATGGGGTTCAACTTTGAACATGTAGACAAACCACGATTACAAATGGGGCTAAACAAAAATAACAATAATAAAATTATAACAGATTTAAAAAATAATATTTTTATTTAAAATGAATATTATTTACAGTAATTAAATATTTACAGTAATTTGACTTTGATTAGAAATATTTACACCATTTGTACAATCAACAGGAAAACAAAATTACAAAATTAACAGGAAAAATATATTAACATGGAATTCTTTTAAAAATGTCCATCACATTGGAATTTGTATTTAAAAGACGGGAATTCCCTAGACAATATATTGTCTAGGGCTTGTCCCATCAAAAAGGGAAATCCCACATCAGATTAACCAATTTTCAGAGAGGTTTAATTCAAGAAATTTACCACACTGATCTGCAATGAATATTCGCTAGGCCGCTACAATCACTGATAAGGATGACATTGATGTGACTTAATGAGCCAAAAATATTAACTTTTTTCCTCCGACAAATTCAATTCTAAAACATTTTTTTTTAAGTATTAGAAAAATAAATAAAGACGTTTGAAGTATTTGTAGGTAAAAATTATTTCCTATTTAGTGTAAATGGGTATTAAATTGAGTAAAAGGCGCCATTCTGCTCGAATCAGTAACGTCTTATGTAAACAATGCAGGCACCATTGAGCCAATGATTGACCCCGCTTGATATGACGTCGTGTGTTGAAGGCAGTCATCTTTTACAGAGATATTAGAAGACTTTCGTGATCCTCTGTGAAACAGATTGGAAATAACAACACAATCATAGAGACAGGGTTTTTTGTGCTTTAGGGGTCATTTCAATGTCCAGATAATTAAAGTAACTTATTAGCTAAAAATCATAAGCTTTACTGTTCAATTAACTCTATAGTGTGTCCTGTGCTAGGTTTGTGTAATTGTTTGTGGTGCAGTTCTCCTGCATTTACTATTAACACTAATTATGCATAACTTAAGGGTAGGCAACTTTAACCTGGTTAGATCTGTTTGATAAGGCCAACTTCAAGTTTGGTCAAAGGTCACGAGATGTAAACAGGGCTAGTGCTAATCCCAACCCTAACTCTAGCCCTAATGCTTACTCTAACCCTAACCTACAATCTTGTCATTAATCACGTGCCCTAACCTTATTTACATCTCCGCAACCTTGACGAAAATAGAGATGGCCTTAATAAATAGATTTAGCCCTTTAACCCTGATTAGACAAATATTGTCCGATTCACATATTTCACAAAATGATTGGCCTATTAATATAATTGTTACTGTAAATTGGCAAAACACAATTTATAAAATATGTGAATCTTAACGAGCCATAATTATAGTAAATTTACCAGAGATGAGCAAAAAATAACTGTCTATATATTTACAAACTTAACAAACAATAAAACTTATAGATATAGTTTAAACCAATTAATGAAATGATATATCTATTATATTGTAGTAGGAGATGTTCCTCAACCCCCTTTCAATTTTGGAATAAAAATATTGTTGATAAGAAAAAGACATATATCTTTAAAAGAGAAAACAAAAGCTATAATGCATAGCTCTGATTTCAGTCATATTTACAGGTCATGACTGGCTGACAGTGAAAATTGACTGACTGGAGAACTGACCTGTCAGACAGTTAATATATCTTAAAATTAGAATTTCATAGAATTTAACATTAAAACATAATGACTACAGTTCAATTTAGAGGTTTTTTTTGTGTAAAACACTTAAAAATATACAAAAAAATTGTGATAATGCTAAAAATTGTCAAATTCTTTGGAAAACAATATTGTGCCATTCTGAGGCAGTACTATACTGAACAACAAAAGAAACGTTGCACTGAATTTGTGAATAAAGACCTTTATTTTGAGCTCTGAAATTTATAACAAAATTCATTTTACAATAACTCAAAATGAATGAATTACAGTGTTGATGCTGCAAAGCCCCCTGCAGTCAATCTCAATGATGACAAGCTGTATTTGAAAACGCGACGTTTCTTCTGCTGTTCAGTACACATCAAGAATTGACCAGGTGACAAAAGTTTGAATAGAAATTAATTAAATAACTTTAAAATAATCTATAGCTAGACAGATTGAATCAAATTAACGACCTTCACCTTACTACACGATATTATGTTCAGTTTTTGGAGGATGCTGTGACAGATGATGGTCATGCAAGTTAAACGATCAATAATTGAAGAGCCCCGGGGAAGAACGATCTAAGTCACTTTTTCAACGAACCCCTGTTAATAGAGCCATCTGTTAACAAATTGTATAAGCTTTCTGTGGAACAATCAATTTTAGGTAAAAACGACGAACCAAGGCCCTTTCTGAAATGGCCTCCCGGAAAAATAAAAGTCCATAATACTCTTTATTTAACCTTAATTTGAATGAAAAATTGGAGTCAGTTGTATTGGTAATTATGATTCGTATAAACATCATATGAAATTATAATTAAACCCACTTGTTCTCTTCGCATCCAGCATTCTCGTCCAAAAGTCTGTTTTGCCTTTTATGTGAAAAAACAAAAATGTGACTTAGATCGTTCTTCCCCTGGACTCTTAATATGAAACAACCTCGTTGATTTGGGTCAAGGATAAAAATGCAGTTTTCAACCCACCAACAATTTGCAAATATGTGCTCCTTAGACTAAAAGCTCCTGGGTCAAGGATAAAAGTGAAGTTTTCAACCCAACAACTATTTGCAAGTATGTCTTCCTTAATTTAAAAGCTCCTTGGTCAAGCATAAAAGTGCAGTTTTCAAAGATATAACCACCAGTGTCCAACACATCTCATGTTTCAGATATACCACAAATCGACTATAGTATGTTCTACACAGCCTAATATTTCACGACGCCAGTGGGAGAGACACATATTGGGTTTTTGAACCACTGGATCTTCTTTTTATTTCAAAATAAGCAGTTGATTGATCCAATGAACATTTTTGTTTTAACCCAAGTCAAAGAGGCTTAGCTCCCTTAAACATACATCTCTAAAATTAGGTCATATTAGAAAAAATTTAAACAACTATTAAAAGGATTAGAATTTACACATACAATGAAAGGTTAAAATCTGATTGAAACACAGATCCTCATTTGTTTCGGTTTTCTTTTTATTGTTCAAAATTTCATTTTACTTGCCTTTACTACACCAGGATCTGGAAGAGTTGTTATATAACACGCGTTCTGGAGGATGTGAGTGATTAGCCAATAAAATGGTCTATTACGGCAAGTTCTTGGCGAGCTGAGAACGGGACTGTGGGTAAACCACTAGAAATGTCAATGCTGATTGATTAATCAATCTGACGTCATAGGTGTCGAAAACTACTCGCATGAACCCTGACATGACCTTCCACTACAGCTGGTCCGATCTTCATGTAGTAGAGACCATCGAAAGTATAAAAAAAAAAACAGAACGAAATATAGATCTGTATTTTAATCAGATTTTGAAAGAATATAGTCTAGATCATCAAGTGTGTAGATTGCACATGTACATATAAGTCTTGATGACATGGATTATGGTAGATAGAACAGACAACACTGAACATAACATAAACAATAACAATGAACATCCATATTAAGGCCTGTCGGAAAGTTTTGCAAATATGTATTCCTTAGTTTAAAAGCACTTGGAATCCCATTGTACCTCACTATGGTACACTGACAGTGCCCCCCGCACCCCTCCCCCCCGCGTCCTCAATATAAAATATGAATTTCCGATTAACTTCAACCATCTCTACAACAGTGGTTATTCAAATTCCTAAAATTCTGTAATATTATGTAAATAAGCTTAGATTTATGTGCATATTTCCATTTAATCAATTTTATATATTTAAATACAGAATTGAGCAAATGAAGAGAATATTAAAAGAGCATAAATAAAATAACGAAGCCTATATATATAGATGTATATACACACATTTCGTGAATCTAAACTCAAGGGACTGGATTCTGTCGACTACTATAGAACTATCAATTAGGCGTTTTATCATTCCATATGTCTGACTGAACACTGAAGTGATATAACGGCCTGATGTCATTTAGAATAGGTTATCCAGTGTGTTGATAGAGGTATGGAACGTAGTAAGTTTGAAACTTCCTGTTTACAAGTGAAATGGTGCCAATGTGTATATAATAGACTAGGTTATTCAGCCTGGTGATGATCTGTGATAGTGAGCGTAGTAACATGTCGGGTTAAGAGAGTAGGTTATCCAGCCTGCGGACGATCTGTTATAGTGGTATGGGAGCATAGTAACATGTCACTGTCCAGTTTAAAACTTTCGGTTTATAATATATATATAATTTATAATAATAAAATCTGTTAGTTATATCTGGCTAATAAATGAAATACGAAGCTAAATACATTAAAACTTTACGATCAAGATCGTTATTATTCACTTCAGTCAATGTTACAGACAAGTTTGAAAAAAAAAAAAAAACACGCAAAAATTTGTTAAATTAAAATATTTTAAAATTATCTTAATAAAGAAATTTAACTGAATATCTATAAAGGCCTACAAACGTAAAAAAAGAAACATCTGCAGAAAATATTTTAAACTCAAATCACCAAATTGGAAGTATTTGACTTGGTATATTGACGTTTGACCTTTGACCTTGACCATTCCCGACTACATTCGTTAAGAGTATCTTATATCAAATTTAAACTTCTTGACTTTAATTTAAAAATGCTCTGTTTTGTCGTTTGTTGTCAGGCCCGTAGCTAGCATTGGAAAGGGGGGGGGGGGGTAGCCCATACTGATATGGTAACGTTGGAAGGTGGCTTAGTATTGCGTCCAGTGGAAAGGGCACGGTTCCTTCCTACTAGCTATGGGCCTGGTCAGACTCCAGGCCAACACTGTAATCTATTTTTTAATTCAATGATTAAAGTGAATGGTATGGCAATTAAAATGATAACATTTCTACCTCTCTAGAAGAGTTCAAAATGTTAAACAATGAATGAATGATAATTCTAAAATGGAACAGCTGGATCTGCATATATTCTATCTCCCGTTCCGTAATCGTCGTCGTGGCGATTTCTCTCCAGAGTCTCATAATTAAAGGACGTTACTTTGTCTGTATCCGTTTGTTTCTGAAAATATAAAGAAAGAATCCTAGTCATTTGGAGAATTATTTCGAATAGTGTAAAGCTGGGAAAATTTAAAATTTGTTTAATTTGTTGATGATAATAATGATCCTTCGTTTAATCGCAGAGCCGCAGTGGCTCAGTGGGTACGACGTTGACTTGCTAGCTAATCTAAAGGTCCTGTGTTCGATCCCTGCGTTGGCCGAGAAAGTTCATCAGGATTTTTCTGATGTGGTTTCTCATTGTCAGTGGTGCAGGATCGAGGGGCCTGGCACGAGATAACGTATAGTCGTTCGGATGGGATGAAAACCTGAGGTGTCGAGTACACATTGACATACGGTTGGAATTTGATATAAGAGTAGGTTGTAGGGTCGCTGTCCAGACTGTATGGCCGTCTTCATTAGCCCAGTCGGAGCAGAACAGTACGACGTTAAACCCCATTTCATTTCATTTCTTTTAATTGCTCATTTAAAAAATATTAATTCAAATTTTCCATGAGTGACCACTCATCACAAGCATATAAAACCAGTTAGGTTTTTTTATGAGACATAATTTGTATTCAAAATAATTAATATCTACGATATAGAAAATACAAAGACTTGCTTAGATATTGAGTAAAATGAAATCGCACATTATCAGCAACTAGCATATATAGCCACATAATAGATTCTGACACTGTAACCTGCGTCTTATTTAAAAGGACAATAACACTCTTGCTGGCTTGACAGCTCCAGAAAATAAAAAATAGCCTTATTCTAAGTACTAGATGTGTTAGTGTCCTACCTGTTGTGTAAATTATCCATTAAATCCTATTTTACTTGTCCAGAGGGTTAAAAACTATTTTTAAATCCAAGTAACATTTGAAAAGCTTTACGTCAGGCTTTTCAAATTATTGAGTTGAATTTTTCCAATTTTTTAAATTAGGTGTGTTAAGATGAAATTTGTATTATCAATTAATTTGAATGTTGTAAAATAGTACAATTTGTTGACCAGAATAAAGATTGGGACATATTATTCAGTTACAAAAAGAGTGGTATTGAGCCTTTAATCTTGTGTATTTAGCACTCATTTCTTTCACATTCATTCAATATCAAATTTTTGTTTAAAATTTGTAAAAATCATTTAAAATCACCAAAAATCATCTAATTTGTACTTGTGTCCAGTTTAAAGCTGACTGATTAATTTTAATAATAACTGTCCAATTTACAAGCATTTAATTTTCGGAACACTGTTCAAAAATTAATTAGGTTACTTATTTTTTAACAGTGATCATGAAATTAAACGCTTGTAAATGGTCAGCTTTAAACCGGACACAAGTAAAAAGTAGATTAATTTGGGTGATTTTAAGTCATTTTTATGAATATTCAAATGCTTGTAAATGGTCAGCTTCAAACCGGACACAAGTAAAAAAAAAGATGAATTTGGGTGATTTTAAACAATTTTTAAGAATATTCAAAGATTTGATATTGAATGAATGTAAAAGAAATCAGTGCTTAATAGGCCTACATAAGATCAAATAAAACGCAGGTTACAGTGGTACATGTATCTTCTTCTTGTCAGAATACCATCATACATTATTATCATTATTACCATCTGTACACTGAGTGGTCGTCAGTCGGGAGAGATCTTCAATGGCTACTATACTGATCAGAACAATGTGCTTGATGGCTTGGATTTAAATCTCAAATTCACTATGAATAACAGTAATCAGAGTGCTCTCCCCTGACATTTACACAATGCACAGACGGCACAAAATGAATGCAATTAACTGGATCCAGGACTATAAAACTATTTTTACACTAAACTCAAGTTTCATTTTAATTTTAATCGAAATTTTATTCCAATTGGAATTGGGAAACAAGCTAGGCCTATGTTGACCGAGCATCAGAATCTCTTGTTGTTAAGGCTCACTGTGAATTATGTAATTCAAAGTAGGCCTTCTATCAGAATTTTTGTTTTTAACAGTCCAAAAATTTATGTGGAAACTAATGCGTTTTAGAGTGAAAGAAATATTTGAGTAACTCTTGAATTTGATTTGAGTGAAAAAAAAACCTTTATAGTCTGTCTTCAGCCCTTAAAACTTAAAATCTAAAGCAGATTCAAACAGATTTTTTGTCAAAATGATTTCAGGATGTTTGAATATATTCAAAAGGACATATTTTTTATGATTATTGAGTGTTGAAATTGAATCTGAAGTTGACCCAATTCATTTATTCATACAAAAATCAGTTTGAATCTGCAAATGTTAAAGATACATTCCATCGATCTCATAGGACGGGTCTATGCAGACATTATTTTACGTGTCTGTAAAGACCATGCATGTTTAAAGATTTATTCCTTCCATCTTGTAGGTCGGATCCTCCAGAAAATCTCTTTTTTTTGCAAAAGTATATGGTATCTGTAAAAATGACCACGGAGGTTAGTGAATTTAGGATCGTGAAGTGCTATGAAATATATCTTTAAACAAAAAAATTGTTTAATATAAAATTGAAGCAGACATGTTAATGAATTCAGTTGGTGATGTGACTAGCTTTTATCATCCCTAAAAAAGCTATGCATGCATCTTTCATTCACAGGCAAAAGGGGCTTGTCTAATTTATTACTACTTTCACGAAGAATAGGGACATACGTTTTTTCCATTTTATAAAAGCTTTTAAAATTGTTACCTTGCATCTTTCATTCAAAGGGAAAAGCAACCATCTATTGTATTATTACATCTTTTTTACATTGACACCCCTAAATGTTCCCAAATCCACCTAACCATATGATCAAGAAATAACAACCGCTCACCCCTAGTCAAGCTACCACACAAAAAGCAGGCAGACAACAGTCAGGTTGCCAGTTAGGTTGCCAGTTAGTGATACTTTGACATTTGTGCCCAGTGTTTTTCGGTTTATCCAGTATTTTTCTAGAAAGATTGGGTGTCTATATATATACTTTTCATATACCAAATTTGCCATACTTTTAATGGAAATAACCACCCAATATACTTTCGGGACAAGGCATCTTTAATCGCAAAAAGGGCTTTATTTCGTGAAACATAGAGACATACACTTTAAGGGTTGATGTTTCAATCCGTACAAAACCTTAATTCCCTACTTTCAAATTTAGAATTTGTGAATTAATTTTAAAAGTGTCTTGTCATGCAAGTCTACATAATTGATTGATTCGCTATCATGATATCAATCTATTTATGAAGATAATCCTAACATGCGAAACAGAATCTTAATATGTGATCATGCGGACATGCGGACATGCTTCTTATTTCAAAATTTGTACGTTTTAAATGTTCAGATATCAAGGAATTGTGTCTTTTTTTGGGGATGAGGCAGAAAACCTTGAATACAGACATTAATTAACTTATCCAAACCATAATCAACTCTCGATGTCATCTTGTGTGTCAGATTTTCACTGGATTTGAATTTGATTTGCTGCTCAACGCTCATTGATGATTTAATGATTAAGTAATGATTATCAAGGCTAGGCCTAATATTCGAACGCTAATATCTCAGTTCAGAGTGGAGCAATTTGACTGAAATTTTCAGCATATTCCCTTTACATTATGTAGTTTAAACTATTATAGTGAGAACTGCCAGCTCTTTATCCAAGCTTCCATAATGTCCCTTTAACCCAGTCGGAGCAGAACAGAAGGAAATTAAACCCCATTTTATTTCAATTAGTTGTGAATGTTGAGCATGTTTTAGTAAGGGACAGAATAAGTTGGAGGAGGAGGGAGGGGCGTTGGGGAGGGGCAGGTGATCAAGCAGATGTAATGTCAGAATGCATAAAAGGACACATCTAGGGGTTTTACACCCCACCAACCTCATCCTTTAAACTATTGTCAGGTTCATAAAGGTTTTGTGTACTACCATTCTCCATCATGGCATTGTCTTCTCCTCGTAGGTGGGCTCGCGGCAAACCTTTAAACGTCGAATACTCCTCCATGTTTATTGAGTGACGATGGGATTTCTTCCGCGAGCTTCTACTGAAATATACACAAATAATCGATTTTAAACTGGATATCGGAGACAAGATATACAAAGTGGGTGGGGCCTAAATCAATCTGACCTAAAAATACAGATCTTATTCAAAATGTCTCAGAGTAATAAAAACACCAGAGAATACTAGTCAAAATGAGACACAGTATAATAAACACAAGAGAATCCGAGTCAAAATGTCAACCAGTAACAAACACCGGAGAATCCTAGTCGAAATGTCAACCAGTAACAAATACCAGAGAGAGTCGAAATGTCAACCAGTAACAAACACCGGAGAATCCTAGTCAAAATGTCAACCAGTAACAAACACCGGAGAATCCTAGTCGAAATGTCAACCAGTAACAAACACCGGAGAATCCTAGTCGAAATGTCAACCAGTAACAAACACCGGAGAATCCGAGTCGAAATGTCAACCAGTAATAAACACAAGAGAATCCTAGTCAAAATGTCAACTAGTAACAAACACCGGAGAATCCTAGTCGAAATGTCAACCAGTAACAAATACCAGAGAGAGTCGAAATGTCAACCAGTAACAAACACAAGAGAATCCTAGTCAAAATGTCAACCAGTAATAAACACCGGAGAATCCGAGTCAAAATGTCAACCAGTAATAAACACAAGAGAATCCTAGTCAAAATGTCAACTAGTAACAAACACCGGAGAATCCTAGTCGAAATGTCAACCAGTAACAAACACCGGAGAATCCTAGTCGAAATGTCAACCAGTAACAAACACCGGAGAATCCGAGTCGAAATGTCAACCAGTAATAAACACAAGAGAATCCTAGTCAAAATGTCAACTAGTAACAAACACCGGAGAATCCTAGTCGAAATGTCAACCAGTAACAAACACCGGAGAATCCTAGTCGAAATGTCAACCAGTAACAAATACCAGAGAGAGTCGAAATGTCAACCAGTAACAAACACTGGAGAATCCGAGTCGAAATGTCAACCAGTAACAAACACTGGAGAATCCGAGTCGAAATGTCAACCAGTAACAAACACCGGAGAATCCGAGTCGAAATGTCAACCAGTAACAAACACAAGAGAATCCTAGTCAAAATGTCAACCAGTAACAAACACAAGAGAATCCGAGTCAAAATGTCAACCAGTAATAAACACAAGAGAATCCGAGTCAAAATGTCAACTAGTAATAAACACCGGAGAATCCTAGTCGAAATGTCAACCAGTAACAAAACACCGGAGAATCCGAGTCAAAATGTCAACCAGTAATAAACACAAGAGAATCCTAGTCAAAATGTCAACTAGTAACAAACACCGGAGAATCCTAGTCGAAATGTCAACCAGTAACAAACACCGGAGAATTCTAGTTGAAATGTCAACCAGTAACAAACACCGGAGAATCCGAGTCGAAATGTCAACTAGTAACAAACACCGGAGAATCCGAGTCGAAATGTCAACCAGTAATAAACACAAGAGAATCCTAGTCAAAATGTCAACTAGTAACAAACACCGGAGAATCCTAGTCGAAATGTCAACCAGTAACAAAACACCGGAGAATCCGAGTCGAAATGTCAACCAGTAATAAACACAAGAGAATCCTAGTCAAAATGTCAACTAGTAACAAACACCGGAGAATCCTAGTCGAAATGTCAACCAGTAACAAAACACCGGAGAATCCGAGTCGAAATGTCAACCAGTAACAAACACCGGAGAATCCGAGTCGAAATGTCAACCAGTAATAAACACAAGAGAATCCTAGTCAAAATGTCAACCAGTAACAAACACCGGAGAATCCTAGTCGAAATGTCAACCAGTAACAAACACCGGAGAATCCGAGTCGAAATGTCAACCAGTAACAAACACTGGAGAATCCGAGTCGAAATGTCAACCAGTAACAAATACCAGAGAATCCGAGTCGAAATGTCAACCAGTAACAAACACTGGAGAATCCGAGTCGAAATGTCAACCAGTAATAAACACAAGAGAATCCTAGTCAAAATGTCAACCAGTTATAAACAGTATTACGGAGAATTGTCTCCAATGTAAAGCATGTCATCGTATACTTACGCACAAACAACGCAAAGGGCAATAAGCAGCAGCAAACACAGTAAACCCAACGTAACAGATACGGCTATAATAATCGTTCGCTGTCCTGAAATAAAAAACATCATTTAATTTACAGATACAGGGTGTGAAGTTAAACTTAAATTAATATAATGCTTGATTTTCTTTTTTTTATCAGAAAAAATCAATTTTTCATGGTCGAATTCATGTTAATATAAACTCAGATTGATTATTTAAATGATGATCGAGGCTAGGCAGAAATTGCAATTGCTTAATTCTCGGTTCATAGTGGATTAATTTGAATGAAATTTTCAGCAAATCGCCTTTACGTTATCTGGTTTTTAACTATTATAGTAAGAACTGCCAACTCGTTCTCGAATCTCCCTTAATGTATCTTTAAATAATACTAAACCTGGTAGTTATTACGAAAGACTAGGTTCTATAACAACACTTGATAACCTCATAGTTTGAAATCAATCAGATTTAAAATAGGCCCATCAATTTGGTTCACAACAAATAAAGATTGATAGAGAGCATAGATTGATAAAATTTTCTAAATATTGAACGGAGTCGATTCATTTTTGGACTTATATCCCTATTCAACTTTCACAATATTGTAGTTTGCAAGGGATTCTTAGTGTGGCACTCTCAGATTCTTTAAACATTGTTCTGAGCTCTGACCTCTTTATGCCCTAGTTAAGGACAATAATTCTGCTGTTAATTCACTTTTGAATTCATCTTAGTCATGAATATAATAAGTTTGATGTAAATCGGTTTAAACATGTGGACTCCACTGCCTTCGCAACAAGTGTAGACGGACCAACAGACATACGTGACAACAATATGCATTCAAGCTAAATGTGAGAGCATAAAAACACCATTAAAACTACAATAATGTAATAAAAACTACTCTATGTAAATGATATCAGGTGTTTCTAGAAAAAAGAAACATATACACCCTGTAGTTAAAATTTTTGTGACTATATGAACTCCTCCGATAAGAAGTGATATGAGATGTTCTAGAAACCAGTAAGCAAATACTGTCCTGTACATAACACCAGTGTTGGGATTTCAATATTTTTCTTGTCAGACATTTTTACCAAAACCAAAGGGACAAAACTCTGATCATTATTTAAGCAGGCGGTTTCAGACAACAATTAAAAATAATGTGTCAACAAAACATTCAAATTCATACGTAGCAAAAAATTCCCTATTTAAATCCCGTACGGTATTCAGATTTATGTCAGTAATATTCCTACAAATATTCCTAGAAATATAAAGTATACTCTGCCCTGTATATGACATCCATCACTACTTGAGAAGTGATATCAGGGGTTCTAGAAATATAAAGTATATTCTGTCCTGTATGTTACCACTAATAGCTCACCGTATTAAGAAGTAGGGGGTTTGGATGGCCGAATGGTTAGAGTGTGCGTGTTGTATTATCAGATCTGTCATTGTCAAATGGTGTGCTTTCGATTCTCTGGTTGTACATGACAAGGAATAGGGTCGCCTGTCCAACCTCGTGTGATTTGTCCGGTTTCCTCCCACTGCTAAAGACCCCTATGCGTCAGCAAATTATTGAAATAAAATTGAACCATATCTTAGTCCCAAAATGACCTAGTTTATCCATTTATCTCTCACGCTCTCATATTGAGGAGTGTTATTAAGTGTTCTAAAAGTGGTATCAATACTTATAGCTAAATAAGAACTTCTTGAAAGAGTAATTAAGCCTACCCTGCTTGTACATAACACCCTGAATTACCACAGCTAAAAATAGACCTAAATCCTCTTTCTTTCATTGCAAAAATTAAATAAAAAAATACGCAAGTGACTTCTACTTTCAAAATATAGTGCAGGGTTCACTAGGACCAGCCAGCTAAGATTTGAAAGTTAAAATAAGGTCAATAAAACTGTAGAAATATACAACCTTGAGTAAGTTTTGAATTGTCTGAAATAAGTAAATCATAAAAGGCTATACTACGTCAGTGAAGTGTCAAAAGGGTGAATCTAAGAATTTCTAAAGATTAAGAAATAGAACCTTTTGCATTTCAAAATTTCCACAAATCAAGATACAACATTTGGGCACATGATAACCAGAACAGTCCTAATTGGCGTAGAGATATACATCTTAGACAGAAATGTGTATATCAATTGGGAGATTTTAAAAATGCAAAAAAGTGTATTTGACTAATGTCCCGAGATACATCCTTTTAATACTTCACCGACGTGTCTAGCTTCTTCCTAATACTTGTTCACCTTCGAAGATATCATTCATCCCCAGGTGCAACCCTTGCAAACTACAATACATACTGGGGGTTTACAGAGAAGGGTTTCCAGGTGGTTTATTATCAATCCACATCAAGTTGATCATCATAAAATAATATATTTGGTACTGAGCGTCATCTGAGGGAATGTAATCCCTTGCAAACTACAATATTGTGAAACTCAAATCTCTAAAATTAACCTCTGTCCAAACAATATTCATTTTCCTTCTGTAACAAACTAAGGTTATGCACTGAAATGGTTGGGTTAGGTTTAGAATGTGAGTTGATAGAGTTGGGTTTAGAATGTGAGTTGATAGAGTTGGATTAGGGTTAGAATGCAATTTGTTAGAGTTGGGTTAGGTTTAGAATGTGAGTTGCTAGGGCTGGGTTAGGTTTAGAATTTGAGTTGATAAAGAGTTGATAGAGTTGGGTTAGAATGTGAGTTAATATGACTGGGTTAGGATTAAAATGCGAGTTGATAGGGCTGTGTTTAGTTTAGAAGGTGAGTTGCATGATAGGGGTGGGTTAGGTTTAGAATGTGATTGAATAGGGTTGGGGTAGGTTGAGAATGTGAGTCAATAGGGTTGGATTAGGTTTAGAATGTGACTGGATAGGGTTGTGATAGGTTTAGAATGTGAGTCGATAGGAATTGAAATGAAATAAAATGGGGTTTAACGTCCTACTGTTCTGCTCCAAAATGGGCTAATGAAGACGGGCATATGCCATACAGTGTGCTATGAGAGAAATTTTGTCCGGACAGAAGCACTACGGCCTACTCTTATATCGAATTCCAACTGCCAAGGGATCTTTTATGTACACGCTAATGTGTACACGGGATCTCAGTTTTTCGTACCATCCGAACGACTAGACAGCTGTCCTTGTCAGGCCCTCCGTCCTGCATCATTAACAAGGGGGAACCAATGAGTCGATAGGGTTGTGTTATGTTAAGAATGTGAGTCAATAGGGTTGTGATAGGTTTAGAAAGTGAGTCAATAGAGTTGGGTTAGGTTTAGAATGTGAGTCGATGGGATTGACTTAGGTTTAGAATGTGAGTCGATAGGATTGTGTTAGGTTTAGAATGTGATTGAATAGGGTTGGGTTAGGTTTAGAATGTGAGTTGAGAGGGCTGGGTTAGGTTTAGAATGTGAGTTGATAGGGTTGGGTTGGGTTTAGAATGTGAGTTGATAGGGTTGGGTTAGGTTAAGAATGTGAGTTGATAGGGTAGGGTTAGGTTAGGTTTACTGTTATAGATAATGACTCACTCATTGCTTCTAGATCTTCTTCCTGACAGTTCTGGCCTGTATAACCATATGTACATCTGTAAACATTATAAATAGTAATTTAGTTCAACCATCATTTCACTAAAACCATCCGTAACAACCTATCATTTCTCATAGGATATGACTTATGGACTACAAATCCATCTGCAAGTGATACTTATCTTCTTGTTCTTCTTTGGGACGACGTTGTTCATAAAAAGCCGAAGGATCCGCTTATTCAAGTACAATGGACATGAAACCTGGCATGTATGTTCGTTGGACAATTGTGCATCGATGGACAGATGGTGATGACGTCCTGGTCGGTTTCTAGTCCATACATTGTACTTGTCATACCAGTCAGGTCCCACCATATATTAGTTGTGATATATATATATAATTTGATTAAAGGACTACTTTAACTTACTTGCATGCGTAATTCGTCTCCGCTCGCACATTGACACATGTAGCATCGTTTTTACATGGACTACTTTTACAATAATCCACCACTGAAAAATAAATACATGTATTTTAACATCATCCAGGGGTTTGGATGGCCATATGGTTAGCACGTGTGTTGTATCATAAGGTCTGTCATTGTAGTGCAAGGAGTAGGGTCGCCTGTCCAACCTCATGGGTTTTCTCCGGGTCCTTTGGTTTCCTCCCACTGCTAAAGACCCAGACGCGCAAGCGAATTATTGAAATAAAATTGTTAGACGCAAAATGACCTAGTTTGAGAGAGAGAGAGATGGGTTTAACACCCACTCTAGGACATTTCGACACTTGTTTTTTTATAGTTCAAAATTTCGTTTACTTGTCTTTACTACACTAAGAAATGAAATGAAATGGGGTTTAATGTCCTACTGTTCGCTCCTATACTGGGCTAATGAAGACAGGCATACGACAGTAAAGTGTCCTATGAGGGGAAATTTTGCCTGGGCAGCGGCACTATCGCCTACTCTTATATCGAATTCCAACTGCCAAGGGATGTTTTAAGTGCATTCCGTTGTATACACGGGACCTCGATTTTTCGTCTCAAACGAAGGACTAGACAGCTGTCCTTGTCAGGCCCTCCCTTCTGCACCACCGACAAGGGGAAACCACGTCGGAATATCCCGATGAACTTTCTCGACCAATGTACTACACTAGGATCTGCAAGAGTTATATAACCCGCATTCTGGATGATGTGAGAGATTAGCCAATGAAATGGTCTGTTACTGCAAGTTATGGAAACATCAACACTGATTGGTTAATCAAATGTCTGATGTCATAGGGTCAAAGGCCGATTGTATGAAACCTGATGCTACCTCCCACTAGGGGGGTTGGATGGCTGAATGGTTAGCGTGCGCGCGCTGTATCATAAAGTCTGTAATTGAGTCGACTGGTGTGGTTTCGAATCCCCGTTTGTACGTGGCAAGGAGTAGGGTCGCCTGTCCAACCTCGTGGGTTTTCTCCGGGTCCTCCGGTTTCCTCCCACTGCTAAAGACCCCTACGCACAAGCGAATTATGTAAATAAAATCAAACCATATGTTAGTCCCTAGTTTGTGTCGAGTGGACGTTAAACCCCATCTCTCTCTCTCTCTTTACCTCCCACTACAACCAGTCAGATCAGTGTAGGTCATGTATTTTAATCAGACTGGACTTTGTGATATTATAGCTTTATACTTACATGTACATTTTTTGGTTGTCATGTCATATTCGTATTGACCTCTACAATCACAGGTATATGTACCTGGTTGATTGACACACCTGATACCTTCATCACCACATAACATCTTAATACTAGTCTCGTTACCATCACTACCCATACATTCATCAATATCTATATACAAAATATACACAATACTCATCATTATCTATATAGAAAATATACAAAATACTCAACATTGTTAATCATAGAAAATATACAAAATACTCGGCATTATCTATATACAAAATATACAAAATACTCAACATTGGTCATCATAGAAAATATACAGAATACTCTGCATTATCTATATACAAAATACTCAGCATTGTCTTATATACAAAATACTCAGCATTGTCTTATATACAAAATACTCATCATAGAAAATATACAAATTACTCAGCAGATAAAATATACAAAATACTCATTATTATTCATCTAACATGTGTGGGGGGGGGGGGGTTGGATGGCCGAATGGTGAGCATGTGCGTGCTGTATCATAAGGTCTGTCATTGAGTCAACTGGCGTGGTTTCGAATGCCCGGTTTTGCGTGACAAGGAGTAGGGTCGCCTGTCCAACCTCATGGGTTTTCTCCAGTTTTTCCAGGTCCTATATGATCTATATGTTAGTCCCGAAATGACCTGGTTTGACCACAAGCAAATGATTATAATGAAAATACATGTTAGTCCCATAATAGAGTCAAATGAAGAAAATATTGTACCTTCACACGTATTAGCAGCTAGATCCCACGGCTTGTAACCAGGACGACAGGCACAGGTGAAAGTTCCATTTAATGTTTGACAGGTGGTCGATGACTTGTGACAATTATTGTTAAAGTCTTCGGCACATAAATCATATTCATCTGAAATATAAATAAACCACACATATGAGAAGTGGTGTCAGGTGTTCCAGCAAGAGTAAGCATACCCTGTCTCATACATGATACCCTTCACTACATATAGCTATATATCAAGTGGTATTAGGTGTTCTAGAAAGAATAAGCATACCGTCTCATACATGATACCCATCACAACCTGTAGCTAGATGATATCAAGTGGTATCAGGTTTTCCAGAAAGAGTAAGCATACCCTGTCTCATACATGATACCCATCACTACATATAGCTAGATGATATCAAGTGGTATTAGGTGTTCTAGAAAGAATAAGCATACCCTGTATCATACATGATACCAATCCCAACCTGTAGCTAGGGAATATCAACTGACGTCAGGTGTTCCAGAAAGAGTAAGCATACCCTGTCTCACACATGATACCCTTCACTACCTGTAGCTAGATGATATCAAGTGACGTCAGGTGTTCTAGAAAGAATAAGCATACCCTGTCTCATAAATGATACCCATCACTACTGACAGCTAGATGATATCAAGTGACGTCAGGTGTTCTAGAAAGAATAAGCATACCCTGTCTCATACATGATACCCATCACTACCTATAGCTAGATGATATCAAGTGGTAACGGGTGTTCTAGAAAGAATAAGCATACCCTGTCTCATACATGATACCCATCACTACTGACAGCTAGATGATGTCAAGTGGTATTAGGTGTTCCAGAAAGAGTAAGCATACCCTGTCTCATACAAGACAACACATACTGTGTTATCAATTTGACATCATCACACTAGAAGTGGCATCTGATGTTCTATAGTGCTGGCACGATATATCCTTGAATCGATGTATCACAATTCGTCTTCTCACGATTCGCGTATTGAATCACGAGATGCTGAATCGACGTATCTCATGTCCTTTTTTATGTTTTATGTTTTTTTGTCGGTTCAGATGTTGGATGCTCGATTGTCAGTCCAGAACGTCCTGAATTGACAGAATCGAGTGAAATGAAATTCAGTCCTGTCACAGTTCTGTCAGTCCCGACAACTGAGGTGGTGTGAGTAGAATCGTGACTTTATTAAGCACAACTAATATGTTTCAGCTATCATGATTGGATGGGATACTTTTCATGCGCTCGGCACATGCGTTATAGCTCGAAATTACCCTTTTCACTTGATTGTCATTATTTTGGGGGATTGAGAGAATTCAATTCTGGAACGTTCAATCAAGTACCCCCTAAATAACCTATCACTCAAAATTATCACTGTGACACATTATCCACACAAACACTCTTAAATTGTTTTTGTCCTTATTTTGATCCACATCAATATCGTGTCATAAGACAGTTTTATTTTATTTCCTCGACCTCAGCAGGACTAAAAATATCAATTATTCATTTATCCTGTTGTTTTCTTGGTAAATATTGACCTGGGACCTGTTTCACAAAAACCTAAATCTCCTTAAAATTGTCTTAAATTAAAATTTCATCCAAACTTAAGATAGATGAGTTTCACAAAACGATTTTGAGCATTTTAGATAAAATCCACTAAAATAATAGTGCATACATTGGAGTGCACATAAAAGATCCCCTGACAGTTGGAATTCATAATAAGAAAAGGCTATAGCGCTGCTGTCTGGGCAAAATTTACCTGATAGCAAAATGCATGGCATCTGCCCGTCTTCCTTAACCCAGTCATATTCCTGAAGCAACGACTGCGAGTTTTACAACATCTGGACGTTGCTAGATTACTTCACAATTCTCGAACTTATAGCCACGTTATCTACAGACACATGAACAGTAGTGTCCAAATTGTAGGTTGTGACATCTACAGACACATGAACAGTAGTGTCCAATCAGAGGTTGTGACCTAGCGGCCTCTACGGAAACCTTGACATTGAACGAACCTTGAACTTTGCAACTCGATTATCACAGGTAGACATTTTAGCTTGAAAGCGCGAGACTTGGTATACGCGATGATTGAGGAATCTGATTGGCTCCCAAGCTGGGCTTGTACCCAATTGAAATTAGTGCCAAAATATGCAGGGCATTACGTGAAGGGCTTGATAAGATGTACGTAGTTAAAGCGAGATCAAGCCTTTTATTGAAGATGTAGCCCAGTAGGAGCAGAACAGTAGAACTTTAAACCCCATTTCATTTCATTTTGCTTACCTTGTACCATGGAACCATTTTTGGACACCCCAATGAGTGAACCAAAACTACAGCTGTCACCACTACACGTAAAACCTGAATTAATGGAATTATGTAAATCGGACACAGCGATTGGTTGGCTAAATGATATTTCATAATTTGCTTCTATTTTAACTGCTGACTCAGTGGCTCGTTTCCTCCTTGAACTAATAATTAAAAAAAAAAAACGTAAAATTACAAGAGAGAGAGAGATGAACTAGGTCATTTCGGGACTAACACCTGGTTCAATTTTATTTCAATAATTCGCTTGTGCGTAGGGGTCTTTGGCTGTGGGAGGAAACCGGAGGACCCAGAGAAAACCCATGAGGTTGGACAAGCGACCCTACTCCTTGTCACGTACAACTGGGGAATCGAAACTGTGGCAGTTGACTCAATAACAGACCGTATGATACAGCGCGCACGTGCTAACCATTGTTAAGGGCATTGAGAAAAACATGTCTTTATTCAACATTTTTTGACAAAAAACATAATTTAACGATATCAGGAAGGTTAAAGATTCTCAAAGTGGTTGAAATGCATATGAATGATTCCGACTCGGATTATATCGATGACATCGATTCTAAGGTGATATTTCTGATGAAAAGGATTTAGAATGATTTGCAAATTATAGATCAACTTATCCCCAGCAACTTTTTTATTGGTGTCAAGAGTCTATCACTTATAATTATCAGGCAGTAGTCGATTGAAATAGGCATACAAAATATTTCACTTTAGCCTTTATTTAACCTGACCACTGGATGTCATGACGTCATTTTGACGGCAACCGGTAAAGGGTTAAAGTGGATGTGTTAAATCACTCAACCCCTCGAACATCCCTTCACCTCAGAAAGTCAGAAGGAAGATATCGTTTGAAACATAAGCAATAGCTTACCTTGTGTTGTATTCATAAAATCTTATAACCATTACATTCAAAAGATGGTCTTTCAGTTTATTAGAACTATCTATTGCTGTCGTTACCTGAAAATATTAAAAACAAAGTATGTAACATCCTCCATTGATCACTTAATTGGAGATTGGACGATTCCCAAACCATGTGCCAGGGTCTTCGCTGTGGGGAGAGGAGAGAGAGAGAGAGAGAGAGAGAGAGAGAGAGAGAGGTTAACATCCACTCTTAAGATCAAGATTCACTTCATCATTGTGTTCTGGTAACTGTACTTGAGATTTTATGATTCAAGGCAAACCGCTAACCATTCTACCATCCAACCCCCATGCTGGGGGAGGAAACTGGTTTCCCTATCTCACATCCTAATCTCAAACCAGTTGTAGAACCCACGACCCCAAGCCAAAGTTGACTGGCCAGCTAGAGCTAGATCATTACAGTTGCCAAAAACATCAACAGTAATGTAACTAGGTTATTCTGTAACTAGGTTATTCTGTAACTAGGTTATTCTGTAGCTAGGTTATTCTGTAACTAGGTTATTCTGAGCCTAAAACCTGCTATATTTCTAATTTCAATAATTTGCCTATGCACATTCTCAAATCTGTCCTTGTGTACACTGGACCTCAGTTTATTGACCATCCGAATGACTAGACAGCTGTTCTTGTCAGGCCCTCCGTCCTGCACTACTGCATCGGAAAATCCTGATGAACTTTCTCTGCCAATGCAGGGGTCGAAGAAGTGACCTCCAGGCTAGCGAGCCAACATCTTACCCGCTTAGCCACCGTGGTTCCACAGACTTATGTAAATCCCCTCTCCCTATTCCTGGTCACATACAAATGTCCGATTTAACACATGATTTGCGCAGATAACAGGTTGTAGGATCTACTGCAGATTCATTAGACCCCCCCCCCCCAACCTGAGCTAACACAACTTTCAAACAATAATTGCCAGGGAAACCATGTGTCTTAATCTGGCCACAACTGTTCATCTGATTCAAGCAATTTATGGAGGTCTAAGGAGTCTAGTTGTGGTTTGAGGGGGTTTAAGGAGCCTAGTCAGTGTGGTTTAAGGAGGTGTAAGTTGTGGTCCAGGAGCTTAGTCAGTTTGTGGCAGTGTAAGGAGCCTAATTAGGGCAGTTTGTGCTGGTCTAAGGAGCATGGTTATGGTCGTTTGAGGAGGTCTAAGAACCCTAATTAGGGCGGTTTGAGGAGGTGTAAGGAGAATTGTTAGGGTGGTTTGAGGAGGTGTAAGAAGCAGTTTGAGGGGTCTAAGGAGCCTTGTTAACGCAGTTTGAGGGGTCTAAGGAGCCCAGTTAGGGTGGTTAGAGGAGGTCTAATGACCCTTGTTAGTGTAGTTTTGGATTAAAACTATAAGATGCACAACATACTTCGGTTTCAACTGTTGAAGCCAAATTCTTAAACTCTTCGGAGGTTTTGTCTTCAAGTTCAGGCATCCATTTCTGTACTCCGGGCACTGAATCAAATACGAATGTTCCACCAAATATGGCAGCCACTAATAAATAAACAAACATGATTCATTAAATTATATCATCACTAATTATATAACGGTTCTAAATTTTAGTTTAGGGCAAAAGAAAATATAATGCTTATGTTTACGGTTTCCTAGTTCCCGAAAATAGAAATTATATCATCACTAGTAATCATATAACGGTTCAATTTAACCTAATTCTAAATTTTAGTTTAGGGCAAAAAAAATAATACTTGTGTGTACAGTTACTTGGGCACCAAAAAAAGCCTTTTTTAGCTCAAGAAATAAGGTCAGTCAGCTATGGTGCAAAAACAGATATTTTTCTTTCATTGGCCTTAACTCAAATCAAAGCATTTTATTGGCTACTTTAAATACAAACTTTTACAAATACTGTAGATAGGTAGGTAATATTATAGGACAGGTAAACAAGTAATACTTGGGACAGGTAATATTGTAAGACAGGTAATATTGTAAGACAGGTAATACTGTAGGACAGGTAGACAGGTAAGGCCACACAAAATAAATGTCTTGTTTCTCGGGCAACTGACAGCTGAAACTGTAGGGAGGGAGGGCGGTTTCTTTTTTTTTTTTACTCATTGATGGTGCAAAATAAAATTTGGCTATTGCTGAAAATTGTTGGGGCGGGAGGGCGGTCTTTCTTTTTTTTTTTTTTTAAATGAGAAAGTCATTACTTGTTTACGTTTTTGCTTTCCGTTATATTCAACTTTATTGTACATACTTAAAACATAAACCCAAAATCAAGTCTACTAAAACACTGAGACTGAACACTGACTGAAAGGAAAATAATTTTCCATATTTAATTCACATAATTGAAATTGGTTTAAAATAAAATTCCATACGACTATGTAATAGCCCTCCATAAAGACAACAATATTTTTAAAAACTAAGCCTCTTTCACCAGGTGTATCAAAAATAATTATCATGGTAAACAGTATTTAAAACTAAATCTAGTATCGCCGGTTTATTTATAATTATTTACCGAATTCCAACCAATGCATGTCACACCGTGTCATCGGTATTGGAGATTGCCGGAAATACTGTTTCTTGGGATATTCGGTGTGTTTCTCAGGATATTCGGTGTTCTATCCGGTGTTTATATTGAATGACTATTTAAATCTAACTAACAACTGGTCAGTAAAACCATCAAATCGGTAATCCAATTATTATTTTCCGGATTATCGAAACTACCGTAAATGTGCTAATAATGACCCAGATTCTAAGGTATGCATTATGACGACTATCGTCATCGTATCGTATTCTTAGCTATAATTAATTAACCTGTTCTACGGTTCATTATTTTATCAATAGGATTTTCCAAACAAGGACCGACTGAAGCCGGCAATAATGAGCCGATTACGATCGAATGATTGAAATATTGTCGCCAATGACTTTTAACACGAATCAAATTCTAGTTTATCAGGGGAGGTAATTAATATCACGTGATACAAAATGGAGGTTCTTTCGATATCAATAAAAAAGGCAAATCTGCCAAACTTCGCCATTGTTCGGATAAAAAAGACAGCATGTTCATCTGAATCAGTTTTAATACATTTGAATAGATATACATGTATGGCGGATGTAGGTACATGCGGGATATTTTTTTTACGACTTGCTTGTCGATGTGCGGGCGGGCGTTACATATTTATTTTTTTTCATCAAGACTAATAAATAGACTGCACGCGCAACCAATTTTGCGTGCGGGCGGTGCCCGAGAAACAAGTTATTTTATTTGTGTTGCCTAATATTGAAAGACAGGTAGACAGGTAATATTGCTGGACAGGTAATACTGTGGGACAGGTAGCTATAGACAGATAATACTGTAGGACAGTTAGACAGGTAATACAGGTAGACAGTAATACTGTAGGACAGGTAGACAGGTAATTAGGCAGGTAATTACTGTACACAATGTACAGGTAATATTACACGCTATATTTAAGAAATATTGCCCACTATATTCAAGAAAATATAGAATATTACATGAAGTGATGAATAAGATGTACGGAGTTCAAGCAAGATCAAGCCTTCTATATAAGATGGGGAGAGAGAGAGATGGGGTTTAATGTACACTCGACACAAACTATGTCATTTCGGGACTAACATATGGTTTAATTTCATTTCAATAATTCGCTGACGTGTAGGGGTCTTTAGCAGTGGAGGTAACAGGCAACCCTACTCCTTGTCACGTACAACCAGGGAATCGAAATCATGCCAGTTGACTCCATCCAACCCCCCTATAAGATGGGGAATATTGAACACTAAATTTAGGTAAATGATGTGATTTATACTAACCTTTTTCGCATTTATTGGCTGAATTTCGTTTATACATAGCTTTACAATTACAGGTGAAACCACCAGGTATGTTGGAACAATATTCACCATCAGTACAGTTATTCATCGTAACAGTTTTACATTCATCTATATCTGTAATAAACAACATATTTACATTTATCTATAAAAAAAACAATTTTTTTTACATTTATCTATACCAGTAAACAACATTTTTACATTCATCTATATCCATATAAACAACATTTTTACATTTATCTATTTTTGTAATAAACAACAGTTTTACATTTATCTATTTTTGTAATAAATAACATTTTTACATTCATCTTTTTTTTGTAATAAACCTTTTTACATTCATCTTTATCTGTAATAAACATTTTTACATTAATCTATAATAAACAATATTTTTACATTTATCTATATCTGTAATAAACTCTGTTTATGAGGAATCTCATGTCTTCTTTCAATCTGCTAAAACTACCTACCTTGGCACATTCCTTTCCCCATTAATTTGTATCCATGACGACAGGAACAGGTATAATTACCAATGGTATTAAGACAATCGTGATTACATTCGTTATCCTTCAAGCATTCATCTACGTCTAAAATAACAAAATCAATACATAGAGAATCTCTTACCAGTCTTTTTTGATATCAAAAAATATCAACACAAGTTGATAAATTAACAAAAGATAGGTTGCCAGGCAACGAAACATACGCCCACAGCAGCTATATCATCCGGGCAGTCAACAAGAGTTGTCGCATATTTTTACTTTTTTCAGTAATGAAACATTTATAATACATTAAAATCTGATTAAGAGTAACAACTCATTAAGTAATTATCAGAAAACCATTAGAATTTGTTTGTTTTTTATAAAATTCGGCCCCATGCTAACGTTTAGTATACGAAACTTTTAACATCATGGATTCAGCTCTTCAAGTCCTAAAGATTCATTGAAAATCAATATACTTGTTCGTCTCAAGACCTTAAACTCTGTGTATCAATCTGAAGTCAATCGGATGATAACTTTAGCCTCTAGAGAGTCACAAGATTTTTCAAAGTGATCAAGGGACATAATTTTGGCAGTAATTATCCGAACTCGTTGAAAATCAATATGTGTATAAATATAAAGTCAATCAGATATTAACTTTAGCCTCTCGAGCGTCCACAAAATTTTTCAAAGTGATCAAGGGCCATAATTCTGGCAGTTATTATCGGAAATCGCTGAAAATCAATAGGCTTCTTCGTCTCATGCCCTTAAACACTGTGTATAAATTTAAAGTCATTTGGATATTAACTTTAGCCTCTAGAACGTCCACAAGATATTTCAAAGTGAGCAAGGGCCATAACTCTGGCAAAAATTATCGGAAGTCGTTGAAAATCAATAGGCTTCTTCGTCTCATGACCTTAAACACTGTGTATAAATTTAATGTCAATCGGATATTAACTTTGACCTCTAGAGCGTCCACAAGATTTTTTGAAGTGATCAAGGGCCATAACTCTGGCAGTAGTTATCGAAAATCGCTGAAAATCAATAGGCTTCTTCGTCTCATGATCGTAAACACTGTGTATAAATTTAAAGTCAATCGGATATTAACTTTAGCCAATTGCATGTGGACGCTGGACGGACCGACGGACGGACGGGGGAGCGACAACAATATACGACCACATTTCAATGTGGGCGTATAAAAACGAGGCTCTGCCGAGGTTTTTTTTTACTTTATCAATGAGTGTTGATATTTTTTGATATCAAAAAAGACGAGTAGGAGATTTTATTTATCACCCAATCCCTTCTTACATGCACAAATAGATAAATATAATTCTTTGCTGTAGATTTCACTTTTACTGAACATTACAGCGCAGTGATACATCATTTTTTGACAGCAATTCAACCATTGCAAAGTCCTTTATATTGGCCCAGTGTTTCTATCAAGGTCAATTGAATAACAATAGTTCGTTTTTGAAAAAAAAAGTTACTTTTAATAAGAAATGTACTGTTCTTTGAAAATAAAAAAAAGTAGTTCTTTTTCAACTGACCAATCAAATTCATGTAAAGCGATATCTCCTAAGGAGATATCGCAGTAGATTATGAAATATATCACACAAGCGATATCTACTGTAGAATGTATTATTGGGTGATAAAATCTTTTATATAAACTGTGTGCAATATTCAAGACTTAATCTTCTCACACGAATAAGACACTATTCTGCCTAACCCCTTGAACTACTTGTCATAGGTCCTTGTGTGTGACCAGTGCAGTGTAGAGCAATGCATGTGTTGGTAGTTGGCAAGGCGTAGAGATACCGCAGGGATGTTGAACAAATTTTAGTCGTTTTTTTAAAACATGGTTATAACATAGAAATATAGATATGATGCATGCAATGCAGTATTACTTGTGTCTGCTTTGTGTAGTCTCTTGTGGCAGCTTGCAGACAAAAACCATTTGCAACGATGCCAGCATAATGCCAGAGTGAACCTATCATATGATGTAGACCACATGTTGCGAAGGTGTATATGCTGTGGCATAACTACAGAGTGACCCTATATGCACTACCTACTCCAGGGCAAATCCCAGCCATGTGAGACTAGCCTAAAGTAAAGTCTTTAATACCGTACAAAATAAAAAGAACTCTTTTAAAAAAGCACATTGATTTAGGAATGGACGCTGTATCTGAAAATGGAGGTGAAAATTTTCCTACCCACTCTTCCGAAAGACTATGTACCAGATATCGTTGAAGAGAGGCTATAAACTATTTCACTTATGAGACCCCTCCCCACAACTGTGGATTTCATAGATTTGTCCCAGATATTTTTGTCTAACATTTGTTGCGTAGTAATATAGGATCTACTTAAAGCTGCAATTTCATATTTTTAAGTTATATTTTTAAAATTTATTAAAATAAAGCCTTAAAATAGATGGTATCCATGAACCGTCCTACCTTGTTAAAGAATAATCCTATTAATCCTATACGTCACTATTGCCAGCTGAGAAATTGGTAAAAATATCATTTTTAACTTCAAATTCCAACGTTTGAGGCAATAGGAAAAAAAGGGAGGTAATGTGTCTTAAACACAATTGAGCAAACCAGAAAAGGATGACTGATACTTAAACATACATTATGCAAGAGCTAAATCTGCCTATTGCAGGTCTTTCTTTAGGCTTGGAATGTTATCTAAGTTATTAATTAGACATTAATTAACTTATCCAGACCATAATTAACTCTCGACATTTACTGGATTAGAACCCAGTCTGCTGCTTCTGATTAAATAAAAAAATGGATAATCGAGACTATGTTTTTTATCGTACCTACTTTAGTAATGATGATTGAGGCTAGGCCGAAAATTCAATCGCTTAAAGATGGGTTCCCGCATACAAACTGGGTGATTTAATGGTATATATGGACTAAAAACATATTCAAACTAATTAATTTGTCATAATTTTGCTTCAAATCCTTCTCAAACATTGTAATTGCAAAGGAATGTCCTGCTATAAAAATTTGATCAAACCAAGTCACGTTTACGTCACGTGACTTATCTCTCTTGGAAGTCAGGAGAGAATTCATTGCATACATAAGACGATGTTGTCTTTAATCGCTTACTATTTATTACAAATATCAAATCCTAATTAAATTCTCAGATTATCCACTACCCGCGTCTTTTTCCGTCATTTTTATCTCAGAAAGTGTTGTACGTCTAACTCTTCATAAAGTTTATCAACTTGTACATCAAGCGTTGAATGCTCGCGTGTGACCTTTGACATCACGCGTGCAGAAACTCCTAATCGTCGGGCTGTTGATTAGGGGAACCCTTACATTTTTGTCCTGTATTCGCTCCATGAGTGTTTTTCGGGGAATCCAGTATTTTTCTAGTAAGATTGGATATGTCTACTTTCCATATATACCAAATTTACCATACTTTTATTGGAAATAACCACCCGATAAATACTTTTCTGGGAACCCATCTTTAATTCCCGGTTCATTGTGGATCAATTTGACTGAAATTTTCAGCAAATTGCCTTTACATTATCTAGTTTTTAACTATTATAGTGAGAACTGCCAGCTCTTTATCTAATCTCCCATAATGTATCTTTAAGACTACAGTTTTATGGCAGTGTCAAAAATATCACACACCCTAGATTGTGAGGCCCTAGGCCTCGGTCTGCCTAGCCTGTAGATAATTTCATCACTGGATAGACTAGCCTCACATCCATAAGCAAACCCTAGGTAGAAGCAGACGTAGAAGAAAAGATTTTTTATGACTTACCATAGCAACTGATTCCGTCTCCGATTAAACCTTCTGGACATGAACATGGGTTCTCCTGATTGGTTGTATTACATAACGACATATCATAACACTGTTTACAGACGTCTTTCTGTATTTCACAATATCTACCTTCGTGATTTGCGGAACAATTACACGGCTGATCTCTGACAAATCCTGTAAATATACAAACGCAATGAGAGAGAGAGAGAGAGAGAGAGAGAGAGGATTTAACCTCAACTCGACACAAACTAGGTCATCACTCGACACAAACTAGGTCATTTCGAAACTAACATATGCTTTAATTTCGGGTCTAACATGGTTCAATTCTATTTCAATAACTTGGTTGCGAGTAGGACTCTTAAGCTGTTCGAGGAAACCAGAGGACCCAAAGAAAACCAACAAGGTTGGACCAGCAACCTTATGAAGTAACGCCACCAAATCTCCCCTTTTAAAGAGTCTGTTATTTCTAGGGTTTGTATTTGTCCTGAGGGCCGCAGCATCTCAATCAGTAAATCCAGGAGGTAGTGGGTTCGATCCTGGTATGGGCCAAGAAAGTTCCACATGGTTGGACAGGCGACCCTACTCCTTGTCATGTACAACCGAGGAATCAAAACCACGCCATTTGACTGAATGACAGACCTTATGATACAACGCACACACACTAACCATATCGCCATCCGTGCAGCAGGTAAGATAGCAGGTATTCTTAGAATACGAACTACAAAATAAATTCATTACCTGTGTTCATTGTGCGTAGGAGTATTTAGCTGTGGAAGGAAACCGAACGACTCAATCAATTTGTTAAGGCCAGCTCAATTTTTGTCAAGGTCGTTCAGATGTAAATTCGGTTAGAGCATTGATTTTTGGCAAAATTATAGGTTAGGTTAAGGGTAAGAATTGGGGCTAAGTCCAGGGTTAGGGTTAGGGTTGGGATTAGCGCTAGCCATGTTTACATCTCGTAACCTATGACGAAAAATTTAGCTTACCATATCATTTAGCACTAAACAGACCGAAGGACCTGAAGAAAACCCAAGAGGTTTGACAGGCGACCCTACTCCTTGTCACGTGCAAGTGGGGAATCAAAAACACACCACTTGACTTCAGGACAGATCTTGTGATATTACATGCATTCACACCCCGCGCTCCTCACCTGTATAATAAATAAATACATACCTGTGTTTATCATGCTCGGCAGACATTCTTCAGTTTTATTACACAAACATAATTGTAGAACTGGTTGTAAAAGACTTGAAGCACCATGTTCATCTGTTGCTGTAAACTTTATAAACCAATCCATCATCACGGTTTCACGTTTTATAATGAGTTTAAACTCTCGACTTGTCTCATCTTTAAAAAAAAACAACAACAATTATTGGCAGAAAGGGAGAGTGAGACAGGAATGTAAATATTTGTTTATACAAATCTCTGGGGAGATGCCTAGACCGTTTGTACAACTGGGGATGCCTATAAATCTTTGTTTATCTGGGGGATGCCTAGATTGTTTGTTTATCTGGGGGATGCCTAGATTGTTTGTGTAGCTGGAGATGCCTAGATTTTTCATAAAGCTGTTGGTGCCTAGATCGTTCATATAGCTGGGGGTGCCTAGATCGTTCATATAGCTGGGGGTGCTTAGATCGTTCATATATCTGGAGATGGCTAGATCGTTCATATAGCTGGGGATGGTTAGATCATTTGTGTATCTGGGGATGGTTAGATCATTTGTGTATCTGGGGATGCCTATAGATTGTTTGTGTATTGGGGGGGGGGGCTAGATCGCTTGTACATCTGTGGATGTCTAGATTGTTTGTATATCTGGAGATGCCTAGATTGTTTGTATAGCTAGGGATGGCTATAGATTGTGTGGCTGGAGATGCCAATAGTTCGTTTGTATAGCTGGGGTTGCCTAGATCGTTTGTATAACTGGGAAAATCTAGAATGTCAGGTGCAGATTTAGGGGGCAGATCTGGGGACTTGGCCACCCTCCCAATGAGACCAAACAAGCGCCTCTGACAGGATGTTAACTAAATTTCATTTGATACATTACTCAGTTTATACTTACTAAAAGTGTAAAGTGTTTCATTAATGGTGGTATTGATGGTAACTGTGAAACTATTACTTTCTGCATCCATCACATTCAACATTTGTGTTGATTCTCCAGTGTTATAGTTCCAGTACATTGGGTTTTTAAACATGGGTGGAGTATTCACTTAAATAAAAAACATATATTTTAAACATGGGAGGACTCAATAAAATATAAAACATACATTTTAAACATTGGGAGTATTCACTTAAATAAAAAACATATATTTTAAACATGGGAGGACTCAATAAAATATAAAACATACATTTTAAACATTGGGAGTATTCACTGATATAAAAAACATATTTTAAACATGAGAGGACTCACTGAAATAAAAAACATACATTTTCACTGAAATAAAAACATATACATTTTCACTGAAACAAGAACTGCCACTTACCAGGTTTTTTCACCAACTGAAAAAACTAATTGTTTGATTTAACAACTGTGGATTTCATAGATTCGTCCCAGATATTTTTGTTTAACATTTGTTGCGTAGTAATATAGGATCTACTTAAAGCTGCAATTTCATATTTTTAAGTTATATTTTTAAAATTTATTAAAATAAAGCCTTAAAATAGATGGTATCCATGAACCGTCCTACTTTGTTAAAGAATAATCCTATTAATCCTATACGTCACTATTGTCAGCTGAGAAATTGGTAAAAATATCATTTTTAACTTTAAATTCCAACGTTTGAGGCAATAGGAAAAAAAGGGAGGTAATTGTGTTATTATTTCCTGTGTCAATGATTTTTGAGGGTGGGAAATAATGCCCATGGTCGTATAATAGTGAGTTGATAATCTATTGAGCAAAAGACATAGAAATAATTATGTTTTGACTTTCTTAGAAAATATGAAATTATCGCTTTAACAAACACAGATTTCGTTTGTGGTGTAGTAATATAGGATCTACTTACCAAACATAGATTTCGTTTGCATAAACATTTCATACTCCATTTTTGTGCTATTTGCAAATGCTCCACTACCTGTAACGGCATAGTCAACAAGACAAGGGATATTCTCGTTACATAGAGCCATTGCCGTCTGCTGTGTGTTATTATCCCCGTTAAATAACATGGTTAAATTACTACTCATATCTCTATAAAACATCGGCATAAATTCCGGGTGCTGATTGGTCGTAAAATTGCCGTCAATGAGCGTGTAATTAAATAGAGATGAAGCCTCATCTTGAACCAGCCCTGAAACAGATCAGCAAATTCCGCTTGAATAATACATTACATAAGGTTATCTTAAGGCAACACAAATAAAATAACTTGTTTCTCGGGCACCGCCCGCACGCAAAATTGGTTGCGCGTGCAGTCTATTTATTAGTCTTGATGAAAAAAAATAAATATGTAACGCCCGCCCGCACATCGACAAGCAAGTCGTAAAAAAAATATCCCGCATGTACCTACATCCGCCATAAATGTATATCTATTCAAATGTATTAAAACTGATTCAGATGAACATGCTGTCTTTTTTATCCGAACAATGGCGAAGTTTGGCAGATTTGCCTTTTTTATTGATATCGAAAGAACCTCCATTTTGTATCACGTGATATTAATTACCTCCCCTGATAAACTAGAATTTGATTCGTGTTAAAAGTCATTGGCGACAATATTTCAATCATTCGATCGTAATCGGCTCATTATTGCCGGCTTCAGTCGGTCCTTGTTTGGAAAATCCTATTGATAAAATAATGAACCGTAGAACAGGTTAATTAATTATAGCTAAGAATACGATACGATGACGATAGTCGTCATAATGCATACCTTAGAATCTGGGTCATTATTCGCACATTTACGGTAGTTTCGATAATCCGGAAAATAATAATTGGATTACCGATTTGATGGTTTTACTGACCAGTTGTTAGTTAGATTTAAATAGTCATTCAATATAAACACCGGATAGAACACCGAATATCCTGAGAAACACACCGAATATCCCAAGAAACAGTATTTCCGGCAATCTCCAATACCGATGACACGGTGTGACATGCATTGGTTGGAATTCGGTAAATAATTATAAATAAACCGGCGATACTAGATTTAGTTTTAAATACTGTTTACCATGATTATTATTTTTGATACACCTGGTGAAAGAGGCTTAGTTTTTAAAAATATTGTTGTCTTTATGGAGGGCTATTACATAGTCGTATGGAATTTTATTTTAAACCAATTTCAATTATGTGAATTAAATATGGAAAATTATTTTCCTTTCAGTCAGTGTTCAGTCTCAGTGTTTTAGTAGACTTGATTTTGGGTTTATGTTTTAAGTATGTACAATAAAGTTGAATATAACGGAAAGCAAAAACGTAAACAAGTAATGACTTTCTCATTTAAAAAAAAAAAAAAAGAAAGACCGCCCTCCCGCCCCAACAATTTTCAGCAATAGCCAAATTTTATTTTGCACCATCAATGAGTAAAAAAAAAAAAGAAACCGCCCTCCCTCCCTACAGTTTCAGCTGTCAGTTGCCCGAGAAACAAGACATTTATTTTGTGTGGCCTAAAGATACATTATATACGATTTAGATAAAGAGCTAATGGACGTTCTTGCTATAATAGTTTAAAGATACATTATGTAAGGGGGGATCACGTGGCTATGTGGGTAAGACGCTGGCTCGCTAGCCTGGAGGTCAGGTGTTCGATCCCTGCATTGGCCGAGAAAGTTCACCCAGATTTTCCAGCATGGTTTCCCCTTGTCAGTGATGCAGGATGGAGGGCCTGACAAGGACAGCTGTCTAGTCGTTCGGATGGGACGACAAACCGAGGTCCCGTGTGCACATTGATGTGCACGTAAAAGATCCCTTGGCAGTTGGAATTCAATATAAGAGTAGGCCGTAGCGCCACTGCCCGGGCAAAATTTCCCTCATAGCACACTGTACGGCATATGCCCGTCTTCATTAGCCCAGGTTAGGAGCAGAACAGTAGGACGTTAAACCCCTTTTCATTTCATTTCATTTACATTATGTAAGATTTAGATAAAGAGCTAGCCATTCTTGCTATAATAGTTTGAAAATAGATTATGTAAAATGAATTTATTGAAAACTTCATTCAAATTACTCTATTGTGAGCGAAGATATTAGCTTTTGAAGGATTTAAATTAAATATGGCTGAGCCGTTCTAATCTACTTATTATCAGAGATATCAGATGGCATCGAGAGTTGATTAAGTCCTGGATAAGTTAATAAATGTCTAACTAATAATTTATGTAACATTAAAGGCCTAAAGAAAGACCTGCAATAGGCAGATTTAGCTTTTGTATAATGTATGTTTAAATCAAACTTTATTCCGACATAAAGATATGTTGCCAGGCAACAAAACATAGCAAATCTTAATTTTATTTAACACAAATTTGTTTTGTTTTAGTGCACTACACCGGAATATAGAATAGTTATTAAATAATCCACGTTCAGGGTAATGTTTGGGATTAGCCAATAAAATGGTCTGTTGAGTCGAGGGCTAATGAACACAGCCATACGCCATACAGTGTACTACGAGGGAAATTTTGCCCGGACAGCATCCCTAGGGCCTACTCTTATATCGAATTCCAACTGTCAAGGGATATTTTATGTGCACGTCAATGTGCACACAAGACCTCGTTTTTCCGTCCCATCCAAATGACTAGACAGCTGTCCTTGTAAGGCCCTCCGTCCTGCATCACTGATAAGGGGGAACCATGCCGACCATTTTCATAAAAACAAAAATACTTACATGAAGTGCCGAAAGTAAAGAGACTGCTTTCTGTGGAATCGTGTGGGAGTACTGTATTGTTCCGTAGCTTGAAACCATCTGTCATGTCACCATTGGCATTACCAAGAAGACCAGAAGTAGTCCCAAAGTTGCCTCCCTTTATGTACACAGTACCGGACATGTATCCATCAAATGGTGTGATCTATAATAGATAAGATAGGTAAACATGTAACCTAGACAACACAGGTAAACACGTAACCTTGACAACCCCGGTAAACATAGGCGTACGAGGCGGGGGGGGGGGGGGAGGGCGGGAGGGCACCGGCCCCCCCAAATATTTTCATGAAAAAAAATAGAAATCTGAAAAGAGCTCAGAATTGTGAGATCGGTCATAAGCCGAGGAGTTTTTGAACACGTAACCTAGACAAGACAGGTAAACACGTAACCTAGACAACACAGGTAAACATGTAACCTAGACAAGACAGGTAAACACGTAACCTAGACAACATAGGTAAACATGTAAACAGGTAACCTGTACAAAACAAGTAACTGCACAACACATGTAAACATGTAAACATCTTACCTGTACAATACAGGTAAACATTTGATCTAGTAGAAATGGAACTATATCAAAATCCTTACTGATAATAAAAATATATATCAATTCTTACTGATCATATTGGATGGCCGAATGGTTAGCATGTGCGCATTGTATCATAAGGTCTGTCATTGAGTAAACCAGCGTGGTTTCAATTCCCCGGTTGTGAGTGACAAGGAGTAGGGTCGTCTGTCCAACCTTGTGGGTTTTCTCAGCGGGTCCTCCGGTTTCCTCCTACTGCTATAAAGATCCCTCTCTTTAGCAATGGGAGAAAACCGAAGGAGCCACAGAAATCTCAAGAGGCTGGAAATGCGACTCATTCTCATGCACAAGCTGGGAATCAAAACCACACCATTTGACTCAATGATGGACCTTCTCTTTCTTGAATGAGATTCTGTTGACAGACCTTGTGAACTAAAACTCACATCTTAAAATATTAGAGGGGTTGGATGGCTGAATGGTTAGCACGCGCACGCTGTATCATAAAGTCTGTCATTGAGTCAACTGGTGTGGTTTCGATTCCCCGGTTGTATGTGACAAGGAGTAGGGTCGTCTGTCCGACCTCGTGGGTTTTCTCCCCGGGTCCCCCGGTTTCCTCCTACTGCTAAAGACCCCTACACCCAAGCAAATTGTTAAAATAAAATTGAACCATATGTTAGTCCCGAAATGACCTAGTTTGTGTCGAGTGGACCTTAAACCCCATTTCTCTCTCTCTCTTAAAATATTCGGCCACCCGACCCTCTCTTCCTTGAATGAGATTTTGTTAACAGGCCTTGTGAACTAAAACTTACATTTTAAACTATTCTCTTACCTTCAATGAGATTCTGTTCATAAATATAACCACGTACGAGTTTCCACTTTTCATAACCATCTGCATTTCATCTTGATAGTCAGTTGATTTCACACCATCAACATAAAAATCTAAGTCCGCTGAATTTGACATAAATTCTAGAGTCACACTGCCTGTACTCATCTGTAAAATAACGACTATTTCAGTCATCCAATATACGCCACAACTCATTTAACAGGGCATTATGGGAGATTAGATAAAGAGCTGAGAGTTTCCGCTATAATACCAAACATTAAAGGGGCATCATGGGAGATTAGATAAAAAGCTGAAATTCTCGCCATAATAGTTCAAAAATAGATAACGTAAATAGAATATACTGAAAATTTCAGTCAAATTGCTCCACTCCGGAGTTTTGGTTATCCATTTTGACATTAAATCATCCATCACAAAATGTATTCAAATCCAGTAAATATCGCAGGCTAGCGATGTCATCGAGAGTTGGCCAGGAAAGTTCATAGGGATTTTCCGACGTGGTTTCCCCTTGTCAGTGGTGCAGGATGGAGAGCTTGACAAGGACAACTTTTTAGTCATTCGGATGGGATGAAAAACAGGTCCCTTGTATACATTGGCATGCACATAAAAGATCCCTTGGCAGTTGGAATCCCTTGGAGTAGGCCATAGTGCCGCTGCCTGGGCAAAATTTCCCTCATAGCACACTGTATGGCGTATGCCTGTGTTTGTTAACCCAGTCGGAGCAGAACAGTACGATGCCCAATTCATTTCATTTTTTCATTACCAATCAGAATTTGTGAGTACTTACAGATTCCTAAACTTGATAAAATTTGCAATTAACATCTAACTGTTCTAAACCAAACAGGCTCAGGATGACGGACATACACCAGGGAAGGATGACGGACATACACCAGGGAAGGATGACGGACATACACCAGGGAAGGATGACGGACATATGCCATGGAAGGATGAAGGACATACGCCATGGAAGGATGATGGACAAACGCCATGCAAGGATGATGGACATACGCCATGCAAGGAAGATGGACAAACGCCATGCAAGGATGATGGACATACGCCATGGAAGGATGATGGACATACACCAGGGAAGGATGACGGACAAACGCCATGCAAGGATGATGGACATACGCCATGGAAGGATGATGGACATACACCAGGGAAGGATGACGGACAAACGCCATGCAAGGATGATGGACATACGCCATGGAAGGATGATGGACATACACCATGCAAGGATGATGGACAAACGCCATGCAAGGATGATGGACATACGCCATGCAAGGATGATGGACATATGCTATGCAGTGTGTTATGAGGAATAGTTTGCAAGGACATCGGTGCTTCGGCCTACTCGTGTTCGAATTCAAACTGTTCATTTACGTGCAAATCAATGTGTACAGAGGGAACCTCAGTTTTTCGTACTATCCAAACAACTAGACAGGCCATCTGGGAAACCACACCAGGAAATTTCTCTGCCACAAAAATACGAGATATAAACATTTGTCAGTTTGCGATAAATTCATGTCGATCAATAGCTCAAAATAAATAATTTACCTTCGATGCTACACCTACAAACACTGTTGCGTTTCCAGGTTTATCATTTGCCATTAATTGTACTCTACTCATTCGGCTTTGGATTTCAAACATATTTCTAAAAGAAAATTTTATTTTACAAGTAATGGATTGTTAAATGCCAGGTATTTCTTGGATAATTTCTTTTTTTTAATATGGCGTGACACGGTGAGGTGAAGTGAGAACAAACCCTGACGCTATATTCGGCTATCCAGGACATTTTACGGGACGGGTTTAACGTCCTATTGTTCTGCTCCAAACTGGGCTAATGAAGACGGGCATACGCCATACAGTGTGCTATGGGGGAAATTTTGCCCGGACAGCGGCACTACGGCCTGCTCTTATATCGATTTCTAACTGTCAGCTACATTGACCAGAAAAGACATCTTTTAACTTTAACTCAATGGTACCAGTGAGATTCTAAGCCAGATTTGATGATATATTTCTACTTTGCATATATACCAAAATTGCCATACTTTTATCAGAAATAACCACCTCATAAATATTTTTCTGGGAATGTATTTTTAATCTGCGGCCCAGAGATGGATGCATGTACAGTTACGAGAAAACAATGATGAACATGAATCTTTATCTTAAGAGTGGATGTTAACCTCCCTCTCTCTCTCTCTCTCTCTGTCTGTCTCTCTCTCTCTCTCTCTCTCCAGGGGGGTGGATGGCCGAATAGTTTGCGAGTACAGATGTATCATAAAGTCTGTTATTAAGTCAACTGGTGTCATACGTGACAAGGAGTTGGGTTGACTATCCAATCTTGTGGGTTTTTTCAGGGTCCTCCAGTTTCCTCCCACTGCTAAAAACCCCTATGTGCAAGCAAAATTATTGAAATTGAACCTTATGTTAGTCCCGAAATGACCTATTTTGTGTACTTAAACTCAATCGCCGGGTCCTCCAGTTTAGTCCCACTACTAAAGACCCCTACACGCAAGCAAATTATTGAAATAAAATTGAACCATACTCAGTATAGAAATCTCTCTCTCTCTCTCAATTCAAGCATACTATTGAAATGAAATTTTATAAAATATGTCAGTCCCAAAATGACTTATTTGTGTTGACTAGTCATATCTAATTATTTGATCAACTTACGTATTTTTCAGTAAACTATATTCTCCATTACCATTGAAGGTATAATCTGTTTCATCTAACCCAACAATATGAGGATCACCCCAAATTAAAGCTGAAAAATAAAAATTAAATATTTACTTTATTAATGATACATTATGAGAGATTAGATAAAGGGCTGACAGTTCTCACTATAATAGTTAAAAACCAGATACTGTAAAAGGACTTTGCTGAAAATTTCAGTCAAATTGATCCACCCTGAACCGAGAATTTAGCGACTGAATTTTGGGCTTAGCCTCGATCATCATTACTGAAGTCGGTACGATAAAAGTCATAGTCTCGATTATCCATTTTTTAATTTAATCAGCAGCAGCAGACTGGGTTCTAATCCAGTAAATATCGCAGACTAGCGATGATATCGAGAGTTGATTATGGTATGGATAAGTTAATTAATGTTTGATTAATAATTTGTATAACATTTCAGGCCTAAAGAAAGACCTGCAATAGACAGATTTAGCTCTTGCATAATGTAACGTGCCTGTCAATGTATACACAGGACCTCAGTTTTTTGTCCCATCCGAATGACTATGCAACTCTCCTTGTCAAGCTCTCCGTCCTGCACTACTGACAATGGGGACCACGTCGGAAAATCCGGATGAACTTTCTCGGCCAATGCAGGGATCGAACACGGAACCTCCAGGCTAGCGAGCCAGGGACTTACCCACTTAGCCACCGGGCCTCCACTAGTTTACCTACCTAATTTATGTGTATAATTAGAACACGTCGATGGTTGGAACATGGTAAAGAACGACGTAAAACATTTACTGCTAGTATCACTACAACAAGCAGCATAGGCTTCTGACTGGATGTTGGCTAACGTTCTGTTACTGTAAACACCAAAACCAGCCAACATCTCGTTATAACCTAGTAAACTGCCACGCGTCCTGAAAATAAAATCAAAAAACAATTACGACAGTAGTCCACTTTATAGATCAGGAACCGAGCATGATGTCATCGATTTTATCTTCGAATTGTGAGGTCTTATCAACCATCACAACCTGTCAATCTATGCCCAATTGTTCGAGGAACATTCATGTCAAGTTCCATGACAATTGTGAAATGAAATTAATTGAAATTGGATTTAACGTCCTACTGTTTTGCTCCGAACTGGGCTAATGAAGACGGGCATCCGCCATACAGTGTGCCATGAGGGACATTTTGCCCGGACAGCGGCACTATGGCCTACTCTTATATCGAATTCCAACTGTCAAGGGTTCTTTTACATGCATGCCAATGTGTTCACCACACCTCTGTTTTCCTCCCCATCCGAACGACTAGACAACTGTCCTTGTCAGACCCTCCATCCTGCACCACTAACAAGGGGAACCACTTTGCGAAATCCTGATGCAGAAAAGAAGGATGTTATCAAACAAATGAAATAAAATGGGGTTTAACGTCCTACAGTTCTGCTCCTATACTGGGCTAATGAAGATGGGCATATACCAAACAGTGTGCTATGAGGGAAATTTTGCCCGGGCAGCGGCACTATCACCTACTCTTATATCAAATTCCAACTGCCAGGGGATCTTTTACGTGCATTCCAATATATACACGGGACCTCGGTTTTTTATCTCATCCGAAGGACTAGACAGCTGTCCTTGTCAGGCCCTCCGTCCTGCATCACTAATGTTATCAATAATCATATGGCAATGGATATACTTCTTCCTCCATTCTTTTGCGGATGATAATTTCCTGCAAACTAAATCTAGTTATAAGAAATAAATGTCGGAAATTTTGCTCCATGGAAATGGAAGGAGAAGCATCCACATTAGAACTACAAAATCTGTGCATCTGACAGAAATGGCATTTACTTACTTGAATTCGCTTATTTTAAAACGTTCACTTGCGAGCCCATATTTTCCCAGAAAGATAACAACATAAATATCAATTGATATGGACCAATATTGAATTCTAATTTGTGTTTTTAATGTTAAAGCTGGATCTTTAGCTACTAAAATTCTACTCACTTTTCGTAACAACATTTCAAATGCATGTTATCATGTGCCAAGTATTCCGTAAAGCATGTCCTCATTGTTGAATTCGACGATTGGTTGAACTGTAGGTCATGATGAGCTTGTTCTAGCGTACACGGACACATGGCCGTATCAACACCTTTCTCAGGTAACATGGATAATTTATTGATGCATTCGAAATCAGTATTATCCACCATCTGATTCATATCATAAAGGGGAATAACTCTTCTTATATTATTTCCTGTAATCACAAGTTAATAATAAAAAATAATTAATTTACTAAAGCGCACAGTTATTGATATTTATAAATTTTAACCATAAATTGTTGAAACATGATGGCTCAGTGAGTAAGGCGCTATACCTCCCTTACAGAGAGAGACAGACAGACAGACAGACAGACAGAGGGCAAGGTTGGGGTTGGGGATGGGGGCTGGGTTTCCGGATCTGCTTGGGACTTTGGCAGTGGGAGAAAACCAAAGGACCCTGATAAAATCCCTGAGGTTGGAAAGGCGACCCCACTCCTTGTCACGTACAAGCAGGGAATCGAGACTATTCCATTTTGACTCAATGACAGACCTTATGATGTAACATGCACATGTTAAACCATTTGGCCATCCCCTTTCACCAACTACGAGGTCCCTGGAATGAGAAATCCTTACGTCCCCTCATCTCTTGTGGTTTAATGGTTAAGAGTGAGACATATTGATGCTGCACGAGAACCTTAACAATACAGACACTATCCCACACATGCATTTCAATTGAATCATCATATTTCGTTTCGTTTTTTATAGTTCAAAATTTCGATTTACTTGTCTGTATTACTACACTAGGATCTGGAAGAGTTGTTATTTAACTTGTGTTCTGAATGGTGTCAGGGATAAGCCAATGAAACGGTCTGTTACGGCGAGCTTTAGGCATGTTTTGCACAGAACTGTGGATAATCCACTAGTAACATCAATGCCGATTGGTTAATCAAATGTCTCACGTTATAGGGTCATAAGTCGGTCTTTTGACCCCTGACGTGACCTATGGCTATAATTTGTCAGATCTTCATGTAGTGTAGGCCATGGAAATTATAAAAAAACGAAACGCAATATAGATCTGTTCTAATCAGATTGATATTTCATTAGTATAAAATGATGTGCGACTAGCACGTTGACCATACCATTATTTGAAATAATCCCTCACATGCACTTTGGTGAAAACATCACAATAAGTCCAATATTATAGTAATGAACGATTGGCACTTTATTTAAAATACAATCTGTTTAAAATACGGATCTATATTTCGTTTTTTTTTTTTTAATTTCAATGGCCTACACTACATGAAGATCTGATTGGTTGTACTGGAAGATTGAGTCAGGTGTCATACGAACGACTTTTGACCCTATGACATTAGACATTGATTAATCAATCAGAGTTGACCTTTCTAGTGGTTTACCCCAATGATTTCATTGGCTAATCCCTCATGCCATCCAGAACGCAGGTTATATAACAACTCTTCCATATCCTAGTATAGTAAAGACGAGTAAAACAAAATTTTGAACTATAAAAAACGAAACAAGATGGAATCTGTGTTTTAATCAGATTGTTTGAAATAATGATCCGCTTACATCAAAGGAATGTTTTTCGGTGTGGTTCCCCCCTTGTCAGTGATGCATGACGGAGGGCCTGACAAGGACAGCTGTCTAGTCATTTGCATTGGACGAAAAACCAAGGTCCCGTGTACACATTGGAATGCACGTAAAAGATCCCTTGACAGTTGGAATTCGATATAAGAGTAGGCCGTAGTGCCACTGTCCGGGCAAAATTTCCCTCATGGCACACTGTATGGCGTATGCCTGTCTTCATTAGCCCAGTCCGGAGCAGAACAGTAGGACGTTAAACCTCATTTCATTTCATCAAAGGAAGGTATCAACAACCCATGACAAAGTTATATATATATATATATATATATCAGTGAAGACTAACCTGGTGTAGGGATCATCTTAATCATGTCAGTGGTGGATCCTGTCAGGAAACTTTTAACCATTCTTTCAGCGCTTTCCTTCCATATTTTATCATAATTAATTATTGCGAAAGATTGTTTTCCATCTGAGGTTATGATAACTTGAAATTTTCCAGCCTAAAAAAAAAAAATACAAACAGCTTTCAACTTAATCCTTTTTATTCACATATTACGTTCATTAAGGACAGGGGGATCACGGTGGCTAAGTGGGTAAAATGCTGGCTTGCTAGCCTGGAGGTCGGGGGTTCGATCCCTGCATTGGCTGAGAAAGTTCATCCAGATTTTTCCGGCGTGGTTCCCACTTGTCAGTGATGCAGGAGTGATGGCCTGACAAGTGCAGGTGTCTAGTTATTTGGATGGGACGAAAAACCGGTCCCGTGTACACCTTGGTGTGAAAGTAAAAGATCCCTTGACAGTTGGAATTTGATATAAGAGTAGGCCGTTGTGCTACTATCCGGGCCAAATGTCCCTCATAGCACACTGTATGGCGTATGCCCGTCTTCATTAGCCCAGTTCGGAGCAGAACAGTAGGACGTTAAACCCCATTTCATTTCATTTCATTAAGGAGAGCATACATACTTCGATTCCCAGAGAGATGATTACCATTCGTTTATCACTGGCAAAACGCATCGGCCATTAATCAGTCTTAATTCGGTTCTTAAGCTCCACCCCCCGTGGCACCTGATTGGATGGATTAGCTTGAATGAAATGCTGCCGATTTCTAGACAATTAGGCATCGGTTCGTGGCAAGAGTTACATATTAATGATCCTTGGAACATTTTCCACGTCTTGACATCAAAACTTCATTCGAAAACAGCCGATTTGATGATTTAATGGGAACAGTGTGAATGATTCGACTAAATAGGCGCAATTTCTGAAGAATGCGAGTTTGAGCCACCATCTTGGATCTTTGTGAAGCGACCGGCGGAAGGATCCATCACATGGCATTCAAAATGGATGACGAGTTTTACCAGGGATAAGCGAACAGTAAAGTTCTCGCTGGGAGCCGAGATTATTTGACATGGCCTGATCATATGTTCAACTCAAACTAGGTCATTTTGAGACTAACATATGGTACAATTCAATAATTTGCTTGAGCAAAGACGGTCCTGTGTAGACATTGAAGTAGCGTGCATGTCCGAGCAAAATTTCCCCTATACCTCATTTAATCATCCCCTTTTATCTCATTCATTTGTCATCCTGGAGGTCGGGTGTTCAATCCCTACATTGGCCGAGAAAGTTCATCCCAATTTTCCGGTGTGGTTTCCCCTTGTCAGTGATGCAAAACGGATGGCCTGACAAGGACAGCTGTCTAGTCCTTCAGATGGGACGACCCTTGGTAGTTGGAATTCGATATAAGAGTAGGCCGTAGCGCCGCTGCCCAGGCAAAATTTCCCTCATAGCACACTGTATGGCGTATGCCCGTCTTCATTAGCCCAGGTTAGGAGCAGAACAGTAGAACTTTAAACCCCATTTCATTTAATCTCATTCCATTTGTGATTTCCTTTATCATAAATTTGACAATATCACATCACGCTTAATTTTTATTTTGTATATCGAGTAAAAACTCACCAATGTGGAAAATTCTGTGGCTGGATATGGCGTAACTCCTTGCCATGTTGCCATGAAGATCATCTCTGCTGTAAAATTACCCTCTGTTGATTCGGAAACTATTGTGGACACCTTGTCAATCATTGCTTTGTCCATTTCTTCGATGGCTTTCCATTGGCTGATGTAGAGTCCTGTGTCATTCCTCATATCAGGAAGATCAATGTGCCACCAATAAGGAGCCAGTATTTTAAACTTGGAAGAATCTGACCAATCAGACAAGTTCTTGGGTGGATACCTATTGACATATTTTTGGCCCAATGAGAGATAGCCATTCATACTGACCTAAAATACATATAAACAGAACAGTTTGTTATTAAGATTTTAATCCCCTCGATGTCTGTTGACGAGTTTAAAAGTAGTCAAAGATTTGTCAATAAACTTGTAAGCTAACCTTTAACAGTCATTCAGTTCACGATCTAATTAAGTAATTACAACAAACAGTAATTTTGATAATCCCGTAAATATACAAGCTCGATAATTATTCACATTGGCATGCACATACAAGATCCCTTGCCTAAAAGTCCCTCATAGCATACTGCATGGAGTATGCCCGTCTTAATTAGCCCAGTATAGGAGCAGAACAGTGGACGTTAAACCCCATTTCATTTCATTGGGATTATCCGGCGTGGTTTCCCCTTGTCAGTGGAACAGGACAGAGGGTCTGACAAGGACAGCTGTCTAATCATTCGGATGGTACAGAAAACAGAGATCCTGTGTACACATGGGCATGCACGTAAAAGACCCCTTGACAGTTGGAATTCGATATAAGAGTAGGCCGTAGTGCCGCTGTTCGGGCAAAATTTTCCGCATAGTACACTGTATGGCGTATGCCCGTCTTCATTAGCCCAGTATAGGAGCAGAACAGTAGGACGGTAAACCTCATTTCATTTCATTTCTAAAATGCATCCATTAGACCACTTGGCCACACACCCCTCCATCCATGTACATATCTTTTGTATAAAACTATTCATACGTATCTTCGAGCAAATACTGTTCATGTATAATTCTATTCATACCTCTCATAGTGTAAATATTTTCACATTTATCAAACAGCACATCTAATACATTTATTATCATTATGTAAAACATTTGTTCCGGATTTTATGCATGTTTGGTGTTGTTAAAAGGGCAAAATGTAAGAAAGGCCCCAGGCCTAATTTTCCACCCTTTTGAAATAAAGTGATTATTATTATTATTATTATTACATAAGTAACTTACATAGATAGAATGATAGAGGTTATTAAAGTATGGTATTCTACAGTCAACAGATATCGGTCCAACGACTTCATTCTTCATCATATATTTCATAGCATTCTCTTTATTCGGTAATATCATCATCTCTGAAATAAAAACACATATCGTAATATACAAATAGTCACAAATACACTAATGGAGCAACAAGTCAAACTATCCAGTGGCAGGGAGCCACCGTGGTTCACTGACTAAGACGTTGGCATTCGGCAAACCTCGACAGATTCTACGCATCTAATCTCGGCTGTATGACGAATTCAGCCATATTGGAACTATTTTAAAGGTCCCGGATGAAAAATGGCTGCGCCCATGGAGATTTCTGTGGAGAGTGTATTATATCAACAAACGTCAAGTTTGGCATTGGGTTTGGGGAATTACCAGGGAATTATATCAAACCAGCAGCCTTGAGACAATATCTCTGCTCGTTTAGTTATATACACTCGACAAAAGACGCCATTTTGGGACTTTTTTGTAAAATCGGCACGTTTTCCTGTTAAAGTAAACCGGTAGCCGCATCGCAAATGTATGGGCGTAGGTACATATCAATTACTATCATACAGCCGAGGTTAGATGTAGGGTATCGGAATCTGCCGAGGTTTGCCGAGTGAGACGTTGGCTCACTAACCTGGAGATCTCGAATAAATACATGTTTGTTCAGTTAAATGAAGTCTGATCAGTTTGTGGGCGTTAATTAAATTTTCTCACCTATACAGGTAGCTCCTTTCATCATATAACCTGGAGAACATTCACACAGGAAGGATCCTTCTGTATTGGTACAATTCATACCTGGACCATTACATTGATCAGAACACTCATTTACATCTATAATATATAATATATACTAGTCAATACATCTATAATATATACTAGTCAATATATCTATAATATACACTGGTCAATATATCTATAATATATACTAGTCACAATACATCTATAATACATACTAGTCAATATATCTATAATATATACTAGTCAATATATCTATAAACTAGTCAATATATCTATAATATATACTAGTCAATACATATATAATATAAACTAGTCAATATATCTATAATATAAACTAGTCAATATATCTATAATATATACTAGTCAATACATCTATAATATATACTAGTCAATACATATATAATACATACTAGTCAATATATCTATAATATATACTAGTCAATATATCTATAATGTACACTAGTCAATATATCTATAATACATACTAGTCAATATATCTATAATATACACTAGTCAATACATATATAATATATACTAGTCAATATATCTATAATATACACTGGTCAATACATATATAATACATACTAGTCAATATATCTATAATATATACTAGTCAATATATCTAATACATACTACGCAATATATCTAATACATACTACTCAATATATCTATAATATATACTAGTCAATACATCTATAATATACACTAGTCAATATATTTATAATATATAATATATACTATACAAGCCTGCACATACATGCAAGGTACCTGTCACAGACTTTGTCATAAACAAATTATCACATCAGGTGCCTTATATATCCAGGCCTGATAATATTATAATTACATGTGAACTATATAATAACTATTTATATTTAAACTACACAATATTCCATTACACTGTTTACAAAAATACTCCATTATAGCTCAATTTTTCGTCATAGGTCACAAGATCTAAACATCATCCTAGGTCAGTGCCTACGTGGAGACTTAACCTCTCCCCCAAATTCTTAAACCTAACCCTGGACCTAGCCGCAACGCTTACCCTAACCCTAACCTAAAATCTCGCCAACAATCACATGCTCTAATCTTATTTACATCTCAGCGACATTGACGAAAATTGAGCTGGCCTTAACAAATAGATTTAGCCTAATAAGACAGAATAATGAAGAAGTCATTTGTACGAACCTTCCGAACAGTTGTCGCCTTTCCAATTTTTTTCACAGATACAATCATAATCACCCATCAATTCCTGACAATATCCTCCATTTAAACATCTTCCTTCTTCAGAACATTCTTTCACATCTAATAATACAAAAACAGGCATGAAAACAGGGTAAGTCAGACACAAAGGGGATTTCGAGGGGGGTTAATAATACATAAACAGACATGAAAACAGTGTAAGTCAGATACATAGGGGGGTTTCTAGGGGGTTATAGAGCATGTGGGTGTGTATCCGTTATCCGAATAACAATTTCTTTCACATCTAATATTACATAAAACAGGGTAAGTCACAATCTGATTAAAACACAGATCGTATTTCATTTCATTTTTATAGTTTAAAATTTTGTTTTACTTGTCTTTACTACACTAGGATCTGGAAGAGTTGTTATATAACCTGAGTTCTGGTTGATGTGAGGGATTAACCAATGAAATGGTCTGTTACGGTGAGTTCGTGGCGTGCGATGCACAGAACTGTGGGTAAACCACTAGAAACGTCAATGCTGATTGATTAATCAATGTCTGACGTCATAGGGTCAAAAGCCGCTTGTACGACCCCTAACGCAACTTGTCATATCTTCATGTAGTAGAGGCCATCGAAAGTATAAAAATCAAAACGAAATATAGATCGTATTTTAAGTGAGAAGAAAAACTGAGGTCTCTTTACACATTGCCTTACTTATAAAAGAACCCTTGGCAATTCAAATTCCATGAATAGAAGGCGAAATACCACTGCCTACGCAAAGTTCTACATGCCTCACGCATTGCACACATACTCATTGAAATGAAAAACACCATATTTAGTCTAATTTGACCAAAGTACTTTGTTGACAAGACATTAAGCGCCATTTGATTCCATTTAAAGGAGCTAAGTCTGTAACTTAATATTTTTCCATAATATTCAAAATTAGAATTCAATATTGATCAATTTCAATTTATATTTATGTTGTTATATTACCGTGAAACTATAGGATTCTAATATCCAATATTTTAGACACAATTAACATTTTATAATCAGTACACGAGTCGTGTACCCTATGGTTTTGGGGGGCCATTTTGTAATGTGCACATATAAACATATAGTGTTACGCGTTATTCTCATTAAGTGGGTAAGACGCTGGCTCGCTAGTCTGGAGATCTCGCGGGTTTGTTCCCGGTATTGGCTGAAAAAGTACATCGGGATTTTCCGAGCAGTTTCCTATTGTCAGTGGTGTAGGATAGAGGGTCTGACAAGGACAGCTGTCTAGTCGTTCAGATCAGATAAAAAATAACGAGGTCCCTAAACACATTGGCATGCACGTAAAAGTTCCCTTGGCAGTTGGAAATCGATACAAGAGTAGGCGATAGTGCCGCTGTCCGGGCAAAATTTCCCTCACAGCACACTGTATGGCGTATGCCCGTCTTTATTAGCCCAGTAGGAGCAGAACAGTAGGACGTTAATCCCCATTTCTCATTCAGTTACTAAATGCTGTTTAAACAATTAAAGTATGAATGAATTGCTTACTAACTTTAATGACACGTTTTACTAGTGAGCAAAGATTTACTAACCATTATGACAAGTTTTACTAGTGAGCAAGTATTTACTAACCTTCATGACAAGTTTTACCAGTGAGGGTACTGGGACAATCACAAGTAAAGTCGGCTATGCCATCTGTACATGTTATGTTATTATAACATGGATTTGGTTCACAATCATTCTTAACTGGAATAAATATAGAATAATTTAACATCATTTCTGGATGAAATTTTCTTGGGATTTACTGGTGTGGTTTACCTTTGTCAGTTCACTTTAAATATTTTCTGGTGTGCATTTGATCTAAATGCAGCACACAGTAGTATGTGTTCATCTGTTGCTAAGGGAGTCATGGTGGTTCATTTGTACTCTGGCAAATTGGTCAATTCAAAATAAATTTTAGAAAGTATTTTCTAAGTTAGTATTTGATCATGTAACTTTCATATCGACTGGTGATTGACGTCCGCAGTGAAAATAATATAACAAATATTTTATAAAAAAGTATTTGATCGCTGTTAACATAAAATAACAAGTATTTTTTTAAGTATTTGCCTACTGGGAATATAATATAACAAGTATTTTATAAGTAAGTATTTGATCAATGTGAACATATAGCAAGTCTTTTATAAGTAGGTATTTGCCTGTTGTAAACATAATATAACAAGTATTTTATAAAGAAGTATTTGCCTGCTGTGAACATGATATAACAAGTATTTTATAAATAAGTATTTGCCTGCTGTAAACATAATATAACAAGTATTTTATAAGTAAGTATTTGCCTGTTGTAAACATACTATAACAAGTGTCATTAAGTTCTCAAAGGGATCCCATCTACTGAATCAATCAGATCTTATTTTGTTCAGTTAACATCTTTGACCTTGCTTAGACAGTCAATCAAACATTTCTGTAATCAAAACTCCTGTTGGGAATCAAACCAACAAACCCAGACAGGTAATCTTTACACCTCTATCAGGTAAGCTCACGACCAAGTCCGCAGGAAGTACCACAGGACAGAATAATCTACAGGTGTCCCCAAGTCTAATTACAGCACAGCACGTATTTACATCCCTGATACAATAACATCGTATATCGAAGCCCACAGATTCTAATGATAATTTTGACCCACCTAGATCACAGTTTTTTCCTCTAAAATCCACGGGACACGTACAGTTGTAATCACCAGATCCCATATCCTGGCTGCATGTTCCATTATTACACGGATTGTCAGCACATTCGTTAACATCTAAAATAGATCAGAATAAAAAGATCAAAGGCACATCATCTTTATGTTGTGGGAAGCCGCTGTGGCTCAGTGAGTAAGTCGCTTCCTCGTGATTTTCCGTCAAGGTTTCCCCGTGTCAGTGGTGCAGGACAGAGGGCCTGGCAAAAAAACATAGTCTAGTTATTTGGATGAAACGGAAAACGGAGATCCTGTGTAAACATTGGCGTGCATGTAAACGTACCCTTGACGGTTAGAATTCAAAACAAGAGGAGGCTGTAGTGCCGCTGTCGGGGCAAAATTCCCCTCATAGCACAGTACATGGAGTATACTTATCTTCCTTATCTCAGTTCATTTTGTTTCAATTTTATGTGGGGTTGGATGGCCGAATGGTTAGCGCGTGCGCGTTGCATCATAAGATCTGTCTTTGAGTCAACTGATTTGGTTTCAATTCCCCGGTTGTATGTGACAAGGTCGTGTGTCCAACCTCGTGGATTTTCTCCAGGTCCTCTGCTTTTCTCTCACTGCTAAAGACCCCTACGCATAAGTGAAATATTGAAATAAAATAAAAAGAAACATGTTAATCCCGAAATGACCTCGTCTGTGTCGGGTGGACACTCTCTCTCTCTCTTTCTCTCTCTGTCTCTACATGAAAGCAACATATCATTTGGTGTTTGATTTTGTTTAATTTTATTTGGGATATGTCTTATTGTCTAATAACAAAATATGTAACCCATGCTGGCAAAATATGTCGGAATGCACAAAGTCTAATTATTAGCTACAGACAAAACAAGTGTAAATATTGATTTTAATCGAAATTGAGATTTTCACCAAAGTGACTCTATAAATATCGACACAAAAGATCAAATTCGCAATAAAACACCTTTATTTGGACGTTTTGTAAGAGTACCGAATTCATAAATCTGTCTTTTGTCTAATAACAAAATATAAGAAATGGTGAAAATTGTAATTTTCTAGATATGTATAAATATATACCCTCTGTACAAGTTTTTCCCATCCAACCACGGGTACAGTTACAGATGAATGAATTGGTTCCGTTATCCGTACAGACTCCATCATTTAGACACGTATCATTCATACAGTCATTGACGTCTGTAAAAAAAAATATAACATAGTAAAACATGAAAACACAACCAGAGCCATTTGAATCCCAGCCCCATCCAATAACTTGACTGTAGTAAATGAAAATACAACCAGAGCTGTTGGAGCCCCCAGCCCCATCCAGTAATAGTACATGAAAACACAATCAGAGTATTTGGAACCCCAGCCCCAGCCAACAGTAGTACATGAAAATACAACCAGAGCCGTTGGAACCCCAGCCCCATCCAACAGTAGAACATGAAAACACAATCAGAGCCGTTCAAATCCTAGCCCCATCCAATAATTTGACAGTAGTACATGAAAACAGATGTAACCAGCGTCTGGAGGCAGGGCCTTCTTAACGTGTGGGCATGCTAACTGAACCATATTGGCTCCCATTAAATTTTCTGAGGCTTGCTAACTGAACCATCTTGGCCCTATGTATGTTGTGACTTTCTGTTCAAACGTTTGTGTTGATTAATGTTAGCTGCGTACAGCATGGTTTTTAATGTTTAAACACTGATGGTGTCAAGACAGCCCTGCCCTTGAGGACTTCAGTAACTTCTCAATTCTAAGCTGAGAGGACCCCCTGTTGACAGGTGTGGTACAAACAATCCAAAATGTGATAGTGGATGTGTCAACAGCAATTCTATATACCGGAAAACACAGGAAAACAACCAGAAAACACCAGAAAACAAACGGAAAACACCATTTTATACTGAATACCGAAAAACACAGGAAAACACACTAAATACCGGAAAACACACTAAATACCGGAAAATACCGGTGTTTTCCAGTGTTTTCCGGTATATCGTATAGCCTGTGTGTGAAAGCCATTTACTATGACATGATAAGAAGAAATGCATCAAAAAGAGGGCCTAAATAGAATACCAATTCACAATGGACATGGGTAGGAAGAGTTAAAGTGGTCTATCAGAAATATGACATGAAGGCAACAGCTATAAATTAGGTACCAGAGAAACCAAATGATTAAACATGACTGATGCGACTTCTCTCGAGCTCAAGGTACTGAGTAAAACATTGAAATCCTGGTAAACAAAAATTACAATAAGAATTTGGAAATAATTTGATGTCAGATTAGCTACCGTACTAAAAATATTGGTAGCATGTTAATAAAAGTAAAGTGATTTACCTGTATGACAAAGAGAAAAAAAAGAGATTTACCTGTATCACAAATAGATAGTAAAGTGATTTACCTGTTTCACAAATCCATCCCTGCCAACCTGTTGTACAATCACAAGTATAATTAGAGTCTCCATTAATACAAACAGCCCCGTTAGCACAAGTATTATTTACACAATGATCAACTGAAAATATACAAATATATAGTCTAATTAATATAAAGATATAGTTTAGTCAGTACAAGTATAGTCTAATTAGTAATCGATATAGTTTAGTCAGTACAAATATAGTCTAATTAGTAATCGATATAATTTAGTCAGTACAAATATAGTCTAAATAGTAATCGATATAGTTTAATTAGTACAGATGTAGATATATAGTCTAATTAGTACCAACATAGTCTAATTAGTAGATATATAGTTTAATTAGTACAGATATAGATATGTAGTCTAATTAGTACCAACATAGTCTAATTAGCAGATATATAGTTTAATTGATACAGATATAGCGTAATTAGTAGCAATATAGTCTAATTAGTACATATATGGTTTAATTAGTAGAGATATAGTCTAATTAGTACATATATGGTTTAATTAGTAGAAATATAGTCTAATTAGTAGCAATATAGTTTAATTAGTACCAACATTAATTAGTAGAAATATAGTCTAATTGGTACAGATATAGTCTAATTAGTATAGATATTGTCTAATTAGTATGGATATAGTCTAATTAGTACCAATATAGTCTAATTCGTACCAATATAGTCTAATTAATACATATATAGTCTCATTAGTAACATAGATATAGTCTAATTAGTATAGATATAGTCTAATTAGTATCGATATAGTTTAATTAGTATCGATATAGTTTAATTAGTAGAGATATAGTCTAATTAGTACCAACATAGTCTAATTAGTAGATATATAGTTTAATTGATACAGATATAGCGTAATTAGTAGCGATATAGCCTTGCGCGTAGGGATCTTTAGCAGTGGCAAGAAACCAGAGGACCCGGAGAAAACCAACGAGGTTGAACAGGCGACCCTTGTCACGTACAACTGGGGATTCGAAACCACGCCAGTTGACTCAATGACAGGCTTTTTGATACAGCGTGCATGTGTTAAACCATTCGACCACCCAATCCACTAATATAAGTCAGAGTGCATCAAAATTTATTTTACTTTACATGATGGGATAAAGAATAAAATAATTTACGTATTTTTTACCTTGTGAACAATTTAAACCCAAATATCCAGTGGTACAGTTACATGAGTAAGAGTTGATTCCAGTGTCGTTACAAGCTCCATGTTGACATGGAGATGGATTGCAATCATTAACGTCTGCAAATAACATAATTACAAATTAGTTATAATCATTTGTCCAAAATATTCATTAATTAATCCGTTTCTATGAAACATGTAAATTGGAGTTTTTTGTTGGTTGTGGTGATGTAGATGGGGTCCTGATATACCCCGCAATCTCAATGAACACCATAACCTTTACCAAATTAAAGAGTCGGTGGAAGACCCCCCGGGGCCTCCCTAACCAAAAATTCTGGGTCTGCCACAGTAAGGTTTGTTAACCATGTGAACTCCTTGGGGGGGTTGGGGGGGGGGGTAGAGAAGTAGCGAGTTCTGGTGGTTCAGCAAGTTTCACGCTGGCTTACCATTACCATGACAACAGATCAATATAAGGCTTTACCATATTGAGCTGTCGATCATCTACTAGCTTTTAAAAATGAATAGGATAGGGAGTTAGTATTCCTCCGAGCTCCAATTTAATCAGGGCCAAGATGGTTCAGTTAGCAAGCCTCAGAAAATTTAATGGGAGCCAAGATGATTCAGTTAACATGCCACCAAACTCCAATAATCCATTGGGAACCGGGACAGTTCAGTCAGCATACCACCAAACTCCAATAATTCAATGGGGGTCGGGATGGTTCAGTTAGCATGCCACCAAAATCCAATAATGCAATGGGGGTCGGAATGGTTCAGTTAGCATGCCACCAAAGTCCAATAATTCAATACGGATCGGGATGGTTCAGTTAGCATGCCACCAAAGTCCAATAATTCAATGGTGATCGGGATGGTTCAGTTAGCATGCCACCAAACTCCAATAATTCAATGGGGGCCGGGATGGTTCAGTAAGCATGCCACCGAACTCCAATAATTCAATAGGGATCGGGATGGTTCAGTTAGCATGCCACCAAACTCCAATAATTCAATGGTGATCGGGATGGTTCAGTTAGCATGCCACCAAACTCCAATAATTCATTGAGAGCCATGGTGGCTCAGTGAACAGTGGTGTAGGATAGAGTGTTGTTCCCTTTGTCAGTGGTGTAGGATGGAGTGTTGTCCCCTTGTCAGGGGTGGTGGACAGAGTGGTTTCCCCTTGTCAATGGTGGAGGACGGAGTGGTTTCCCCTTTTCAGTCGTACAGAAGGAACATCATCCAGTTGTTTAGACAAATAAGAACCCTTGACAGCTGGACTTTGATGAAGAGCAGGCAAAGTTTCCCTCATAGCTGTGCCTTAATTATCCAGCTGGTACCAAAAAATAGACCCTAAACACTCTTTATTTCAAAGAACTGAGCACAAACTGCTTTGTGTTGTTATAGAGAGAGGTAGAGAGAGAAAACAATGGGGTTTAACATCCACTCGATACAGACTAGGTCATTTTTGGACTAACATTCTGTTCAACTTTATTTCAGGGTAGGGGTCTTTAGCTGTTGGAGGAAAATAGAGGGAAGGGAAAATACCCACAAGGTCGGGCAGGTGACCCTACTCCTTGCCACATACAAGTGTGGAATCCAAACCACGCCACTTGACTCAAGGACAGCAGACCTTATGATCTAGAGTGCATGTGTTAGACATAAGACAATTAGGCCACCCAATTCCTCTAGTACAAACAGATGTTTTTTATCGTTCCGAATTTAGTAATGATAATCAAGGCTCGGCCTAAAATTCAAACACTAATATATTTGTTCAGAGTGGAGCAATTTGTCTGAAATTTTCAGCATATTTCAGCATATGACGTATAGTCATTCAGAAGGGACAAAAAAAACATGGCCCCGGGTACACATTGGAGTACACGTAAAAGAGCAAGAGAGAAATGGGATTTAACGTCCACTCGACACAGACTAGGTCATTTCGGAACTAACATATGGTTTAAATTTATTTCAATGACAAGGTAACAAGTGAAATGAAATGGGGTTTAACGTCCTACTGTTCTGCTCTGACTAGGCTAATGAAGACGGGCATATGCCATGCAGTGTACTTTGGAGAACAGTTTGGCTGAACAGCAGCACTACGGCCTACTCTTAATTCAAAGTCCAACTGCCAAGGGTTCTTTTACCTGCTCGCCAATGTGTACACATGACCTCAGTTTTTCTTTACGTCCGAACGACTACACATTGTACCCTGCCAGCCCTTCGGCCTGCACCACTCTCAAGGGGGGACCAAGCCGGAAAATCCTGACGAACCACAAAGAGAGAATAAAGAGAGAGAGAGAAATGGGGTTTAACGTCAACTCGAAAAAAACTAGGTCATTTCGGGACTAACACACGGCTCATTTTTATTTCAATAATTCGAGTAGGAAACCGGAGGTCCCGGAGACAATCCACTAGGATGGACAGAAGACCCTACTCCTTGTCACGTACAACCAGGGAATCGAAACCCCACCAGTTGACTCAATGACAAACCGAATAATACAGCCCACACATGCTAACCATTCGGCCATCCAACCCCCAAGAGAGTAAAGTGATTTACCTGTATCACAAAGCCATCCCTGCCAACCTGTTGTACAATTACAGGTATAATTTGAGTCTCTATTAATACAAACAGCCCCGTTAGCACAACTATTATTTACACAATTATCAACTGAAAATATACAAATATATAGTCTAATTAATACAAAGATATAGTTTAATTAGTATAGATATTGTCTAATTGGTATAGATATAATGTAATTAGTAGCACTATAGTTTAATTAGTACCAACATACTTTAATTAGTATAGATATAGTTTATAGATATAGATATAATGTAATTAGTAGAGATATAGTGTAATTAGTAGAGATATAGTATAAATTGTACAGATATAGTTTAATTGGTACAGATATAGTCTAATTAGTAGAGATTAATTAGTACAATTATAGTTTAATTAGTACCAAAATAGTCTAATTAGTATCAATATAGTTTAATTAGTAGAGATATAGTTTAATTGGTAGAGATATAGTCTAATTGGTACCAATATAGTTTAATTAGTACCAATATAGTTTAATTAGTAGGGGTATAGTCTAATTAGTACTTAGTACAATCATTGTCTAATTAGTAAAGATCCATGCACTTCAAAAATCAAACTATCGTATAATCTTCTGCTATAAACATTTCAATCTTTTCAAAAAGGATTGTACAATCCAAAACATTATGATGAATAAACCATCGCTCTGTTGAACTCAAATATCTTTTGTCTAAGTGTTGAACAGGGTTTTTGAATTATCTATTCTTGTCTACTCTCCACTCGGGCATCATCGTTTGATTTTACAGCTACATAGATCTACTGGTCTGTCTAGTCTCTGCTATTTTTTTAAGGGAGTTTTGTTCTCCCCCCCCCCACCTCCCCTATTTTGGTCCAACAGAAACATATATCAACATATGTCATAACCCCCACCCTTCGCCTATTTTGGTCCAACAGAAACATATATCTACTGGTCTGTATAGCCTCTACTACTCCTTTAAGGGAGTGTTGTCATAACCCCCACCCTTCGCCTATTTTGGAAATATTTACCTTGTGAACAGTTAGCACCTAACCATCCGGTTGGACAGGTACAGTTGAATGAATTCGTTCCAAGATCCATACATGTTCCATTATTGCTACATGGATTGGGATTACAATCATTCACATCTGAAAACAAAATAAACTCACTGAAAACCTTTGATTAAAGATACAATATGGGAGATAAGATAAAGAGCTGACAGTTCTCACTACAATAGTTAAACACTAGATAATGTAATTGGAATATGCTAAAAAAAATTCAGTCAAATTGCTCCACTCTGAACAAATATATTAGCAATTGAATTTTAGGCCTAGCCTCGATCATCATTACTAAAGTCGTTATGATAAAAACATAAGTCTCGATTATCCATTTTTGGATTTAATCGATCATCATTACTAAAGTCGTTACGATAAAAACTTAAGTCTCGATTATCCATTTTTGGATTTAATCATCAATGAGCGTTGAGCAGCAAATTGGATTCAAATCCAGTGAACATCTGACACATAAGATGACATCGAGAGTTGATTATGGTCTGGATAATTTAATTAATGTCTAATTTAAATAACATTTCAGGCCTAAGGAATGCCCTACAATAGACAGATTTAGCTCTTGCACAATGTATGTTTAAAGGTCATCGAATAAAACACTCGGATTCTCTGTGACTCAGTGAGTGAGACGTTGGCTCGCTGACCTGGAAACCCCTGTTTGACCCTTGTGTCGACCGTCAAGGTTCATCAGGATTTTCCGGCGTGGTTCCGGCGTGGTTGTGCAGGACGGAGGGCCTGGCAATAGACAATGTATAGTGATTCAGTTGGGACACATAAGCGTACACGTAAAAGAATTTAAGATTCAGACAATGAGTTGCTGTAATAGTTCAAAAATAGAGAACGCAAAACGAAAAAATTAAAAATTGCATTCAAATCACTTTATTCTGAGCGAACTTATAACTGAAGATGTATATAGCGTAGACAATGGAGACTTCGTCTTGATTATCCATTTTATTGTTAAATATTAAAAATGTCACAGGTGTTCTAATCCATGTAAATCTTGGCCATCCGAAGATCTAGAGAGTTGATTATAGGCTAATCGTGTGAATATATGTCTACATAATAATTTATATAACATCTGAAGCAAAAATATAGATCGGCAATAGGCAGATTTGGCTCTTAGATAATGCATCTTTAAAAAATTAACACAATTATTTTACCTTGTGTGCATGTCGGACCTTCCCATCCACTGGTACAGGAACAATTAACTGAATTTGTACCATTGTCAACACAGGTTCCGTTGTTTGAACACGATGATGGTGTACAATCATCTACATCTAAAACAATATCATGGCATAAATAATATTGAAGGTAAAAGAGAAATGGGATTTAACGTCCACTCAACACAAACTAGGTCATTTCGGGACTAACATATGGTTCAATTTTATTTACATCATTAGCTTGCGCTTTGGGGTCTTTAGCAGACGACACTACTCCATGTCACGTACAACCGGGGATTCGAAACCACGCCAGTTGACTCAATGACAGGTCTTATGATACAGCGCACACATGCTAACCATTTGGCCATCCACCCCCCCCCCCCCAATATTGAAGGTGATTTATGTAAATATTTAAAGTCAATACTTTTTTATGTCAAATGGGACAGATAGTCCTATCAGCTATGGAATAATGTTGTAAGACAATAGCTGGTACAGATACATACCCCTCTCCATATATCATCTCTCTCTCTCTCTCTCTCTCTCTCTCTCTCTCTCCATACATACCCTCTCTCTCACTATACACACCCTCTCTCTCTCCATCTTCATACACACCCTCTCTCTCACCATACACACCCTCTCTCTCTCATACACAAACTCTTTCTCTCATACACACCCTCTCTCTCCATACACACCCTCTCTCTCACTATACACACCCTCTCTCTCCATTCACACCCGCTCTCTCACTATACACCCTCTCTCTCTCCATACACACCCTCTCTCTCTCATACACAAACTCTTTCTCACTATACACACCCTCTCTCTCCATACACACCCTCTCTCTCACTATACACACCCTCTCTCTCCATACACACCCTCTCTCTCCATACACACCCTCTCTCTCACTATACACACCCTCTCTCTCCATACACACCCTCTCTCTCACTATACACCCTCCCTCTCACTATACACACCCTCTCTCTCACTATACACACCCTCTCTCTCCATACACACCCTCTCTCTCACTATACACACCCTCTCTCTCCATACACACTGTCTCTCTCCATACACACCCTCTCTCTCCATACACACCCTCTCTCTCTCTCCATACACACACTCTCTCTCACTATACACACCCTCTCTCTCCATACACACCCTCTCTCTCACTATACACACCCTCTCTCTCTCCATACACACTGTCTCTCTCCATACACACCCTCTCTCTCCATACACACCCTCTCTCACTATACACACCCTCTCTCTCCATACACACCGTCTCTCTCCATACACACCCTCTCTCTCCATACACACCCTCTCTCTCACTATACACACCCTCTCTCTCTCCATACACACCCTGGGGAGCGACAGTGGCTAGGTGGTTAAGACGCTGGCTCGCTAGCCTGGAGGTCGGGTGTTCGATCCCTGCATTGGCTGAGAAAGTTCATCCAGATTTTCCGGCGTGATTTCCCCTTGTCAGTGGTGCAGAACGGAGGGCCTGACAAGTACAGCTGTCTAGTCCTTCGGATGAGACGAAAAACCGAGGTCCAGTGTATATATTGGAATGCACGTAAAAGATCCCCTGGCAGTTGGAATTCGATATAAGAGTAGGCGATAGTGCCGCTGCCCGGGCAAAATTTCCCTCATAGCACCCTGTATGGCGTATGCCGTCTTCATTAGCATAGTATAGGAGCAAAACAGTATGACGTTAAACCCCATTTCATTTCATTTCATTTTCATACACACCCTCTCTCTCCATACACACCCTCTCTATCCATACACCCTCTCTCTCTATACACACCCTCTCTCTCTCGCCATACACCATCTCTCTCCATACACCTGTCTCCATACACAACCTCTGTCTCCATTCACACCCTCTCTCTCCATACACACTTTCTCTCTATACACACCCTCTCTCTCTATACACACCCTTTCTCTCTCTCTCTCTCTCTCACTCTGTCTCCATACACACACTCTCCATACACACCCTTTCTCTCTGTAGTTGTCAGGTGCACAATAGAGATAAACAAGCCAACAGTGAGGCTGATGTCCCCCGCCGAAATAGGAAAATAATTAGAGGACACATATAAATTTATCACAAATTATCTTTTACAAAGTATTGAACAATCAAACAGTATATCTTTACTTATAGTCTAAGCATACAATGTTTTTGATGGAATAATTATAGCATATTAAGGGGAAAACATGCTCTATGCCTACAGATCTAGAGTTTGGTTGTATCAACGGGTCTATTTTCCATCTTGCTGCAAGTTGTGCAAAGTTCACTGTTTTCTTTCTGTCATTAAATGTCAATTCATTATTGCATACTACATTTTTAATTAATTTATAATAGTTTCTTTTTCAATTTGTTTTTTCCATTTATTTGTTTATTTACCTTGCCTATATTCATTGTATTGGATTGTATTGGAATTGCTCAATTGATGCTTTTATCAATACCTGGTTATAATAATTTTGAACATTTTAACTCAATTCGAAGGAGTGTGACGGACAGACAGACAAACAGACGACGGACGAACCCATTTTAATAGTCCCCTGCTTTCTTCGAAAGGCGGGGGACAATAAGCATACACACCAATTTTGAACATTTTAACTCAATTCGAAGGAGAGTTATTGTGTTCCAAAGTCTCAGCAAATCAAATTGCTTATCGCTCTGCTTAATCTGAGCAGAAAATGCTCATTATCGATCTTAGTCAAGGTATTACTGTAATGAAACTATACACCAAGTTTCATCACTCTCACTTAATTAGAACTAAAGTTATAGTGTCCCAAAGCATCAATCAATCAAATTGTTTATCTACTTAATTAGAACTAAAGTTATAGTGTCCCAAAGCATCAACCAATCAAATTGTTTATCTCTGCTTACCCTAAGCGGAACGGACAGACAAACAGACAGACGGACGAACCCATTTTAATAGTTCCCTGCTTTCTTCGAAAGGCGGGGGACAATAAGCATGAACATTTACTCAATTCGAAGATCAACCAATCAAATTGTTTATCTCTGCTTACCATAAGCGGAACGGACAGACAGACAAACAGACAGACGGACGAACCCATTTTAATAGTTCCCTGCTTTCTTCGAAAGGCGGGGGACAATCAAAGTAGGAGAGTTATTGTTTTCCAAAGTCTCGACCAATCAAATTGCGTATCGCTCTGCTTACCCTGAGCAGAAAATGCTCATTATCAAACTTAGTCAAGGTATTACTGTAATGAAACTATACACCAAGTTTCATCAATCTCACTTAATTAGAACTAAAGTTATCGTGTCCCAAAGCATCAACCAATCAATTGCTTATCTCTGCTTACCCTAAGCGGAAAATGCTCATCTTCGAACTCCATCAAGGCATTGACCTAATCAACACATACACCAAGTTTGAACATTCTAGCTCAATTAGGAAGAGAGTTATCGTGCCCCAAAGTATCAACCAATCAAATTGCTTATCTCTGCTTACCCTAAGCGGAAAATGCTCATCTTCGAACTCCATCAAGGCATTGACCTAATAAACACATACACCAAGTTTGAACATTCTAGCTCAATTAAAAGTTATCGTGTCCCAAAGCATCAACCAATCAAATTGCTTATCTCTGCTTACCCTAAGCGGAAAATGCTCATCTTCGAACTCCATCAAGGCATTGACCTAATCAACACATACACCAAGTTTGAACATTCTAGCCCAATTAGGAAGAGAGTTATCGTGTCCCAAAGCATCAACCAATCAAATTGCTTATCTCTGCTTACCCTAAGCGGAAAATGCTCATCTTCGAACTCCATCAAGGCATTGACCTAATAAACACATACACCAAGTTTGAACATTCTAGCTCAATTAGGAAGAGAGTTATTGTGTCCCAAAAAGTGTGACGGACAGACAGACGGACAGACAGACAGACAGACGGACAGACAGACGGACGAACCCATTTTAATAGTCCCCTGCTTTCTTCGAAAGGCGGGGGACAATAAATTTTTACCTGTATCACAAAGAAACAGTAAAGAGATTTACCTGTATCACAAAGCCATCCCTGCCAACCCGTTGTACAATTACAGGTATAATTTGAGTCTCCATTAATACAAACAGCCGAGTTAGCACAAGTATTATTTACACAATTATCAACTGAAAATATACAAACATATACTTTAATTAGTATAGATATAGTTTAATTAGTATAAATTGGCTGTGGCACTGCCCTTGGAGGTTGGACATAGAACAGCCAGTATGAAAGACTTGTATATAAACATTGTTTAATTAGACCTATTAGGCTAGAACAACCAGTATTTATATAATGATTTAAACTCAAGTATATAAATATTGTTTAATGAGTGAAAGCCATTGAATGGGACGGTAGCAAAACAAATCGTCTAAAACACGATTCCAAGTGGTATCAATTCAATCCTGCTACATCAAACAAAATTCTGATGGTTCCAACAATCACAGAATAATTAATTGACTTTCGGTCCAATAAAAAAAAATTCACTAGGTTATATTTGTCGATCTTACAAAGAGTGTTTTCATGACAATATTAATTAGTTTTTCAAACATCATTATGTTTAAGACGCTGGCTCGCTAGCCTGGAGGTCGGGTGTTCGATCCCTGCATTGGCTGAGAAAGTTCATCCAGATTTTCCGGCGTGATTTCCCCTTGTCAGTGGTGCAGAACGGAGGGCCTGACAAGTACAGCTGTCTAGTCCTTCGGATGAGACGAAAAACCGAGGTCCAGTGTATATATTGGAATGCACGTAAAAGATCCCCTGGCAGTTGGAATTCGATATAAGAGTAGGCGATAGTGCCGCTGCCCGGGCAAAATTTCCCTCATAGCACCCTGTATGGCGTATGCCGTCTTCATTAGCCCAGTATAGGAGCAGAACAGTATGACGTTAAACCCCATTTCATTTCATTTTCATACACACCCTCTCTCTCCATACACACCCTCTCTATCCATACACCCTCTCTCTCTATACACACCCTCTCTCTCTCGCCATACACCATCTCTCTCCATACACCTGTCTCCATACACAACCTCTGTCTCCATTCACACCCTCTCTCTCCATACACACTTTCTCTCTATACACACCCTCTCTCTCTATACACACCCTTTCTCTCTCTCTCTCTCGCTCTGTCTCCATACACACACTCTCCATACACACCCTTTCTCTCTGTAGTTGTCAGGTGCACAATAGAGATAAATAAATTTTTACCTGTATCACAAAGAAACAGTAAAGAGATTTACCTGTATCACAAAGCCATCCCTGCCAACCCGTTGGACAATTACAGGTATAATTTGAGTCTCCATTAATACAAACAGCCGAGTTAGCACAAGTATTATTTACACAATTATCAACTGAAAATATACAAACATATACTTTAATTAGTATAGATATAGTTTAATTAGTATAAATTGGCTGTGGCACTGCCCTTGGAGTTTGGACATAGAACAGCCAGTATGAAAGACTTGTATATAAACATTGTTTAATTAGACCTATTAGGCTAGAACAACCAGTATTTATATAATGATTTAAACTCAAGTATATAAATATTGTTTAATGAGTGAAAGCCATTGAATGGGACGGTAGCAAAACAAATCGTCTAAAACACGATTCCAAGTGGTATCAATTCAATCCTGCTACATCAAACAAAATTCTGATGGTTCCAACAATCACAGAATAATTAATTGACTTTCGGTCCAATAAAAAAAAATTCACTAGGTTATATTTGTCGATCTTACAAAGAGTGTTTTCATGACAATATTAATTAGTTTTTCAAACATCATTATCAATATATGATTTCAAGTCATTCAAGTGATCGATATAGAAATATTGTACAGACTAATTTCTGATTTCCTTCAATGAAGGTGGTGGGGGGTATGGTTTGACGCATGCACTTTAGATCATTAGGACTGTCAATGAATCAAGTGGCGTGGTTTGAATTGTGTGTTAAAAGGAGTAGGATTGCCTTTCCAGTCTCATGGATTATCACGAGGTCCTCCGGTTTCCTCCCACTGCTAAAGACCCCTATCTGCAAGTGAATTATTGAAATAAATTCTTAACAATATGTTGGCCCAGAAATGACCTAGTTAGTGTTGAGTGGATGTTAAACCCCATTTCTCTCTCTCCTGCAAGGCAATAATATGTAAGGGTTGGAGAGAGAGAGAGAGAGAGAGAGAGAGAGATTAGTATCTGTTTAAAACCAGTGATACATGTAACACCAGGTGTGTGACCACAGGGACCTCCCACGTCGTCCCCCCCCACCCTTACTCCATCCTATACAATGTATGCCCCTCAATTAACAGAAATATTGTCTCAAGAGCTTCAGATTTGATCAAATTCTGCGATAATCCCCCAGACCTTCGGTAAATACGACGTTGTCTCCACCCCAGATACCTGGCTGCTTAAAAATTATTGAACACACCCGTGAGCAGAGGTATAAATATGTGGTGTGTTGTGTGATTTATCGTATATCTAGCGACGTCTAGACTGTTCTATCCTATGGCGTCTCCAGTTTAAATTTGGTTGGGGGGAATTCCTTTTGACTCAGTTGGTAGAGGTATGTGTATTCCAGGCCTGATGTCTCGGGTTTGTTTATCTGGAGACACCTAGATTGTTCTGGTCTGTGCTTTATGAGTTTAAACATCCTACTGACTTGGTTGGGGCAATTCCCTTCGAATCACTTGGTAGAGGTATGTGTATTCCAGGCCTGAGGTCGCGGGTTCATATATCTGGAGACACCTAGATTGTTCTGTCCTGTGGTGTCTCCAGTTTAAATATCCTACTGATTTGGTCGGGGGAATTCCCTTCGACTCACTCGGTAGAGGTGTGTGTATTCCAGGCCTGGGGTCACAGGTTCATACATCTAGGGACGTCTAGACTGTTCTGTCCTGTGGTTTATGAGTTTAATAAATATATCTCCTACAGACTCGGTCAAGGGAATTCCCTTTTGACTCATACAGTAGAGGAGAATATATTCCATACCTGAGGTCACATGTTCAATTTCTGACAGGCACATTTATTAATAATAAAGTAAATATATCCCACAGTTAAAATCAATATTAATATCTGTAATTAATTATATCAACTTGAGCTGTCCTCCAAACAACTTTAATGATTTTTATACAACACAATCGCATATTTATACATTAATTATGATATCTGTAATTAGTACCTATTAAAATAAGTGATAACTATATCAATCAATCAATAATAATAATAACAAGCCAACAGTGAGGCTGATGCCCCCGCTGAAATCCCAAAATAAATAGATGACACATTTTAATTTATCACACATTTATTTTTTTTCAAAAGTATCAAGCAATCAAACTGATTATCAACTATACACTAAATTTCATCACTCTCTAACAGATAGAATCAAAATTATCTTGTCCCAAAGCATCGACCAATGTAATTGCTTATCTCTGCTTAGCTTTAGCTCGAAATGTTAATCATTGAACTCAATCAAGACATTCACCTAATGAACATCTACATCAAGTTTAAATATTCTACCTCAATTAAAAGCAGAGTTGTTATGTTCCAAAGTCTTGACAAATCAAATTGCTTATCGCTCCTTAGCCCAAGCAGAAAATTCTCATCATCGAACTTAGTCAAGGTAATGATATAATGAATCTATACTCATCTCTCTCACTTAGTTATAACCAAAGTTATCGTGCCCCAAAGCATCAACCGGTCAGATTTCTTATATCTGCTTACCGTAAGCGGACAATGTTTATCATCGAACTAGATCACGGCATTCGCCTAATGAACGCCAGGCCCATAGCCAGCTTTCTTATCTCTGCTTACGCTAAGCAGAAAATGCTCATCTTCAAACTCTATCAAGGCATTCCCCTAATAAACACCTACACCAAGTTTGAACATTCTAGCTCAATTAGAAGCAGAGTTATTGAGTCCCAAAAAGTGTGACAGACAGACAGATGGACAGACACATTTGATCATAAAAATATAAATTATATATCCTTTATCTTAAAAAAAATTTTTGAACTAATCTGGGGGAGGGAAGGTAGACTTTTAAACTGGAGTCTATGGTTGCATCCTAGTCGGCACCCTCTTAATCCAGTTTATTACTGGTAAAAAAAATACGGTAAAAGTAATATTTTATAATTTGACAGTAATGAATTTAAGTCAATATTTTCCAATAAAATTCACTCATGCATCACACATGAAATGTTTATTACATAATGTGTAATAAAAGATAATATATTAAATGTTGACAATAAATGCACATTCCAAAATAAAATTTAAACGCATGCAGCACATTGAAATGTTTATTACGTGTACGTGATATATTAAAGATACATTCCCACGTACAACCTGGGTGATTTAATGACTAAAAACATATTCAAACTAATTAATTTATCATAATTTTGCTTCAAATCCTTCTCAAAACATTGTAATTGCCAAGGAACTCAGCTATAAAAAAACGATCAAAAGAGGTCATGTTTGTGTCACGTGACTTACCGCTCTCGGTACCTATCGCAACTGTGCGTGGTCGGAGAAGAATTCATTGCATACATTCTTTAATCGCTTACTATTTATTACAAATATTCAATCCTAATTAAATTCTCAGATTATCCACTGCTCGAGTCTTTTTCCATGATTTTTATCTCAATAAGTATTGTACGTCTAACTCTTCATAAAGTTTATCAACATGTACATCAAGCGCTCAATCTCTGCGTGCAACCTTTGACGTCACGCGTGCAGATGTTCCTAATCATCAGGCTGTCGATTAGGGGAACCCTTACATTTTTGTCCTGTATGTGCTCCATGAGTGTTTTTCAGGGAATCCAGTATTTTTCTAGTAAGATTGGATATCTTTACTTTCCATATATACCAAAATTGCCATACTTTTATTGGAAATAACCACCTGATAAATACTTTTCTGGAAACCTATCTTTAAATGTTGACAATAAACGACCATTTGAAAATAAAATTCACTAATGCAGCACACATGAAATGTTTATTACGCAATATTTCAAAAGCAAATATAGGATATAATGACAATACACCAATATATAATAATAAAGTATTTCAAAGAAATCAATAAATTATGAATAAATTCTACTTTCATATAAAAGGAATTGATTAATAACACGAACAGACATTAATTTATAAAGTGAGTGACTGGCTGACTCATGATACGAGTAAACAAACAACACATTATCAATTTCTCGCATTCAATGCTTTGTCAATCGCATGAAATACCACGCCTTAAAAAGAGAACAGGTGAACAGTTATATGATCGAATTTTAAAACAGAACTAGCCAATGGTGACAATGATGCTTTGAACATTAATAGAGGGAGAGAGAGAGAGATAGAGAGAGAGAGAGAGAGAGAAATGAAATGAAATGGGGTTTAACATCCTACTGTTTTGCTCTGAACAGGGCTAATGAAGACGGGCATACGCCATACAGTGTGCTATGAGGGAAATTTTGCCCGGACAGCGGCACTACGGCCTACTCTTATATTGAATTCCAACTGTCAATGGATCTTTTACGTGCACGCCAATGTGTACACGGGACCTTGGTTTTTCATCTCATCCGAATGACTAGACAGCTGTCCTTGTCAGGCCCTCCGTCCTGCATCACTGACAAGGGGAGAGAGAGAGAGAGAAATGGGGTTTAACTTCCACTCCACACAAACTAAACTAACATATGGTTTAATTTTATTTCAATAATTTGCTTGCGCGTAGGGGTCTTTAGCAGTGGGAGGAAAACGGGGGACCCAGTGAAAACCCATGAGGTTGGACAGGCGACCCTACTCCTTGTCATGTACAACCGGGGATTCGAAACCACGCCAGTTGACTCAATGACAGATCTTATGATACAGTGTGCACACACTAACCACCCACCCTTTAACATTAATAAAGAAACATAGTTAGGTTGATGTACCCTGTCTTAATAATGGCTAAAACAAATAGATGATACCTGTTAATTATTTGTACATAGAGAGAGAGAGAGAGAGAGAGAGAGAGGTTTAACTCTACTTGACACAAACTAGGTCAATTCGAGACTAACACATGGTTTAATTTTATTTCAATAATTTACATTCGCATAGGGGTCTTTAGCACCTTGCTACTTGTCACATACTACTGGGGAATCAAAACCATGCGAGTTGTATATTTATTTACTAGCAGGATACCCGGATTCGCTCGGGGGTCATAACTCCGAAACCGGAAGTGGTAGGCTAACGCCACCTGGCCTATGTTACTCCCCTGTCCGAGCTACCCCTATACCCCAAATTTCAGACTCGGGGCAGACCTAGTGTAGCCGCCAACCCCAAACAGACAGACAGACAGACAGACAGACAGACAAACGACAGTCACAAATATATATAT